GTCAACTATCAAACTGGCCCTAAAGTCTGTGAGCACCCTATAGTATTTGAAACCTTGTGTCTTGCCCCTAGCTTAACAAAGCTTGCCACATCCCTCTCAAATATTTTATCCCATCCAAGTGCTAAGTAGGTCCAACACCCATTAGCTTCCAAGATCAAATGGCATCAGGTGTGTTCACAGTGGCATGGAAGTATGCCTCTGAAAACTTAACTAAAAGTAGTATCTACAACACAATATGCATTGTGCCTGGTTTCATAGCTGCATTTAACAATCGTCTTAGATGTTATTTTATTGTAAACGTATTACTGTTGATGGAAGCGACCTCAAATACTGTGCATGAGACAGAGATATAAACCTTTTCAATAAAATACAATAAAGTCTACTTATGGCTGTCTGTTCTATAGCAGTGGTTAAAGAAGCCGTCAATGCATGCCACATTTTGTCCATTGTTTGGTTTTCCTCAATACTCAGCAACGGTAAGAGCCTTTCCAGCTGATCTCTTTTCATTTTGCATAAAAGCCTTTGCTGCTCATTTGTTCAGACTCCCATATGTTATTGTTTTCAAGGTAGAACTCTGTATAGGAATGTTGCATATTCTCAGCACTCAAAACTGTATTTTAAAACTGGGAAATGCAATCTTTCTCCTGGGTAGCATGCAATGTGCAATTCTTAGTGTTGTGTGGAATGTGGCTAGTCAGGAGTGGCAGCTTGGCCCCACAACCATGGGAGCCTGGACCCATGGGTGCCATGTAGTGTGCATGGCCCTGGCACCTAAATTTGTGGGTGTCCAGTCCCTTCATGGGGAATTTTGTGGGTGTCCAAGCACCCAGGACCCCAGGGAGTTGGCACCTATGTGGATAGTGGAATCATCTACTGGGTAGAGGGAGACATTAGTGGGGACAGCCATCTCCTCACACTCACCAATTTGTGACATTTTCAAATTATGTCATTCTTCCAATGCTCTGGAGTCCTTTGGAAGCACAGGAATGTCCCCATAGTCCAAGGAGTGGGGAAACTTTGGCCCTCCAGATGCTCCCCAACTACAACTCCCATCAACCCTAACAAGCACGGCTCATTGCCAGGGGTTATGGGAGTTGTAGTTCAGCAGCATCTGACAGGCCCAAGGTTCTCTACATCTGCAGTAGCCCCTTAAAGAAGGGCATACAGCAGCAGATGTCCCCCTCTGTAGTAATGCCCCAGCAGTTTGTGCTGTTTTCTTCTTTGAATGCAGTGTGCTCTTGCATTAGAGCCCATAGATTCCAAAGTTAAGAAAAAGCAGTGAGCACACACGTAATTCTCCCTTGCAGCTGAGGTCCCCTTCCCCATCCATTACTAGAGGATGGGGTAGCGTACTACTCATACTGGACTGGGGATAGGTTGAGTACCTTGCTGCAGGAAAAGTCCAGGCTTCTAATAATTCGGAAAGGCTTCCTTAGCTTGTCTAAACCCATCTAAATACACATCCTTAAATGGCTCCAGGGCAGGGGTGAGCAATTTGCTCTCTACTGGGAAAACCATACCCACATTTATACAAGGGCGCCCACAGAGAATACAACAAGGAATGAGTTACTGGCAGTTCAATGACTTTTCAGGGAAGGAACCTATTTAGTTGATTTATTCCTTATGAGAGAATTCAAGGCTGATAAAGAAACTTCTCACCAAGTGTTCTTGGCTTTTATTTCTGTTACGTTTATATAGGGCTTTAATAACAAGATATGTAGCTTCCGAACTCATCTCTCATCTCTTAAGCACAAATCCATTCCTGAGGTAAGTATACTGACTATAATGGCAAATACTAACAATATTTTGTCAACTGTAAGTTAGACTTATTCTTCCTGCTGCAGTTAAAGGAAAGCAAATGGCCTGGTACTGGAGCAGGTTTTGCAAATAGCATTGCATGCAGAACCCTGTCAGATCTGGTTTCAGAACTGCCTTCTAAAAGAACACAGAGCCATTTAATGTTTTTGTTAAAATTCAATCTTTCCCCAGCTTTCATCAAACTCCTGCAAAGCATCTCTACATCCACTAAAAGTTAGCCCACCCGCTTAGCCACAATATTTTTCAAACAGATGGTATGAGGGAGGCTTGGGAGGAAAAAACACATGTGCACAGAATAGGATTGCAGGCACGGCTGGGTACGTACGATAGACTAAATTTGGTTGTTTTTAAAAGGTCTCATATAAAGCTGGCTACATATGCCTGGTTTTATCTTGTGACTTGTAGATAGGCCAAAGTTAGCCAGGTCCATCTATATAGGAATGCTGCCTTAAGTTTAGGGACAGTATACATAATGCTAGAAATTTGTAGTTTGTGGGCTGGATTGGAAAACATATGTGTAGCATTTTGGGAGGTGCCACTTTCAGTGGTGCCACTGTGCAAACAGTTCAAATGCATGCAAGGTGCATTTAGTTGTGTTGCGGTATGTTCTCAGTGGTAGTGCGTGTTTCCTTGTGAAAGGTCCCAAGTTGCGTCCCTGCCACCATGAGAGGGTGAACCTGTGGTCACCCATCCATTTGGTGCCATCTCCCATCCACTCCAGCTAGCATGGCCAATGGTCAGGGGTGACAGGAGTTGCAGTCCAGCAACATCTAGAGACCACAGGCTCCATATCTCAATGTTAGAATTAGGGGATCCTTTTAATTTGATCAAATCAAAGTAAAAAAATGGACAAATCCGCCAGGGGAGTAATTAAGCATGCAAAACTATAGGGCCAGGAGATACATTTACTGTACCACTAATAGATTGTAGCCTGTTTAAGGAGTGGTTTGGAAGAGTAACCCCAAGCCACAACCTTTCGTTGCCTGGCTTGACTCACAGCACAAGCTTCCCTGGGTTGGTGACAGTTTTCTTGCATTTGAGATTTCATTTAGCTGATTTCTTCTTAAGTCTTGATGTCTCCCAGCCTCTTACTGAATACATGAAACCCCATTTCTGCATTTTATGCCCATAGGCGTAGCCATGATTTTTGTTTGGTGGGGGGAAGAACCGAGTTATCTGTGGCACAATTGGTCAGTTAAGTATTTTTATTTATTTACTTTTTGGAGAGGGGGCGGCTAGCTGCCCCTCTGCAGCTATGCCCATGTCTATGCCCATTCATTAGAAACACCCTTGTTAGCAAAGCTACCTTTCAGGCAAGCCAGTTTGAAAGTTCAGCCATGTCACAACTATTTCCATTTCAGAATGATGCTGAAACATCTATTGAAGTTTTCCCTAAATGTTATTTTACTGCTGCGAAACTGTCGGAGACAGATCTCTCTCTTTAAATACTTTTGACTTTGAAAGAGCAGGGAGTGAAGAGAATACATACTGCATTCCATAAATACTGTATATTACTGGGGGGGGGACCTCTACCTTCTACGATGACCCATGCCTTCTCAACTGACCAAGCTGAAGCTTCCTTATTTGTACTGCATCGACAGATTACAGACCATCACACCAGGGGCTTAATCTACGGGTAAATATTCATAGTTTATTAAGCTTCAGGGAAAGCATGAAGCTGTTTAAGGCATATATGGAAGAACAGTGTCACAACAGAATCTGTATCTGAGGAAAACAGGTTTGCTGCGTGTTAGCAAGTTAGCTTGAGTGCCTTTGATGTGTAACTAACAAGATAGGGTGAGCTCCATGCTGCTGCTTATTTAAGTACTGGAAAAAGCCTCTTTTAGGCTAATTGAGGCCCCTGCATGTGTCAGAGTGGCTTTTACCTTGAAAGCCAAAAAAAAAAGTAACCCTGACTGATATGCAAATGATAGGAACAATGGAAAGATGAATCAGGGTGGATTCTGAGTGCCTTTGTACTTTTGCATCAAACATATAGGGAATGGAAATCCCTGAACTTTTCACAGAAGAGGCTGGCGGGTTTAATGCCAGGCTAGTTTATTCTTAGTAGGTACCATTCTTTTTTGGTTAGTGGTAGGAAAGCATAGACCGGTTGCCCTTCCCTGGTCACCCTTCCTCCCTTTCCTGCTACGTGCAGGTTCACGGAGTGGCTATTAACACCACGTGTGAGCATAGGGAGGAATGACTACTTTCAGCAAGAATGGACAACAACCCCCACCCCCAATAATTTATCCAGGAAAACAATAACCCAATTATGTTTTCCTACCCTGGATTAGCAGAAAGATGCAACTGTTTCCATTAAACTCTTTCTTTGGAGAAAGATGCTAAATAGCATGGGCAGAGGGATGAAAACCTTGCCTCGGCGGTACCTGCATCAGAACCAATACTTGTATAGCACTAACTGAGATCACAGACAGTTTGGGTCAATGCAACAAGTACCCCCCCCCCATGCATATAGCTTCCACACTGAAGCCCAATATAGTACTGTTTCTTCTTATAGGAAGGAATATCCTACACCTTGCTTGGTGAGGATTATTAAGCCAGAGCCTGGCTGCAATGATCTCCGACAGAAATAAATTGCCATCAAGGTTCCTGTTTATAAAACAGCCTCGTTTTTACCAGTAGCCGATTCCGCAATGTGGTTTCATGCTGCTTTTACCGGGGGATTATACTCTCATCTCCACCCCTCTCACTCCAGATTTCCCCCATGTTTGGGCATTTCTTTTTCTGAGAATAACTTTGAAGCCTTTTAAAAAACACAACAACCAAAAGAAAAATAAAAGAAAAATCAGCTGTGTACATTATTAATGAAAGGAGTTGCATTATCTCACAAATTAGACATAGGGGGTATAGAGGGGTGTTTATTTCAGTTCGAGTTCTGAAGCCTGGGGTGTAGAATCTGTGCATCCTGCTCTTCTACTGGTCTCTTGTGGGTCAGCTCAGATTTCAGCTGCAGTAAGATTGCTTCGGCAGCCGGTGCATCTATGCCATTTGCTTTGTTTGCGAAAGAGATGATGGCCCTGGTGACCACCTGGTCGGGTTTTTGTTTGCTCTCTGTGGTCCTACCCTAGTTGCTTTCTGTTGATGGTGACTTTGCCGACCCACACGGGCTATAAGTCTTCTTGCTGCTGCTGCTGCTGCTGTTGTTTCAGTGTATTGCATTATGCCAAGGAATAGATAGCATTAACTGGTGATGTGGCTTCTGAACTCTCATTGCCTTCTGTCTCCTCTTTGTCCTTCTTGACTGTGTACTGGCCAATAAAGGAGCCGTCCTCATTGAACTGCCCTTCACCTCCTTCGCCATAGTCCACCAAGCTGTCGTCACTTTCTTGTTGCTTTATCGTGCCATCTAAAGAGGTCTGACTGCCCTGCAGCGGCTTGTTGTCTTCATCACTAGCATCAAAAGGAAAAGAAGTGCCATCAGTAGTGGGAAGGAATGGCTTTAAAGGGACAGGATCACAGTAAACATATGAAACTGGTTTCGTCCAGGCGGTTGTACTTCAGAAGGCAAGCACAGTGCAGGAAGAGCTGGGAAACACGGCTCCAAGCAGCTTTTTGCAAATTACCGATGAAATCTTTGCCAGTGCAAAGCTATTCCGGTGCAAAGGATCGTATTTTCCCAATAACCTAAATAAATCAGGAGGGAGTCTCTTCTTCAAAGGACTGTGATGGTGGAAGCCTGACCACAACTACAAAGTGAATAAACCATGTAGGAGCTCTGAGCTTTCCAGTTGTATTAAGCCACAGTCCCATCAAATTCTAGTTTCTTGTAGTAAACAAAGTTTTCTGGTACACTAAAAGCTTAACAAATTTGTTATGGCATAAGCTTTCAAGGACTGTAGTCCACTTAAATCAGTTACATGAAGTGTTATCCTGATTGCAGGCATGCGTTGTATATAACACACACATGGTGGGGGGAGGAGACTGTGAACAGTAAGAGAAGGAAATGAAATGCAGAAAAGTACAGGTGGTGATAATTATGTATTTAACAGTAATTATCACAAAATTATCCACCATTCACAAAGTATGATTGAGTTGGTAATACACCCATCCTGTCACCGATAAGCTAAATAACACATATGTGATGAAAAATCCATTGTACCCATTTAATCCACAAATTATAGCACTGAACTCCTGATTTATTGTGATTCAGTGGTTTTTACGGTTAGTTATAGAATGTTCTAGGGTCCCAAGCACAATGGACTTTTAAGAATTACACTACATATTAATTGGCTTACCAATGACAGCATGGCAGGATATCAACTCAACTGGTTTTTGTGAGGCTGCTGTTAAGTAAATAATATTTACGTCTGGGTTTTTTCTGCATTTCATTTCCTTCTGATCTCACTGTTTATATCCCCGCCCCACTCCATGCGTATCTTAGATTAAGACTTTGTGCATCTGATGAAGTGGGCTATATTCCATGAAACTTATGCTGTAATAAATATGTTAATGTTTAAGGTACCACAAATCTCTTCAAAGAGACTCTAGGTTGGCAAGAGTTGTGTTGAGGACCAGCCATTTAGAAGGCAGCTGAGTGGCTCTAGTTCAATACAAATTGGGCGTAATATATTTAAGTGCCATTTTGGCTATTTTTAATTTACTCTTAACTATGCAGCTTTTGAAAATGATGCAGAGACACTTTTAAAAATGGCACTTCTACACTTAGCAGGGGAGTTCCATGCCCTTTTCGTAAGGGGAATTTCTGACCTGCAAATATGCATATTTTATTACGTTACAGAAAGTCCCACAAATAGTACTAGTTTCTGCTTTTGCAGTCTTGTTGTTAGCCCCAAGATGTTGGGGACTCAAGAACAACCTTCTGCAGAATTCATGAGGCTGGCTTAACAATACTGGGGCTTTAAAAAAAAAGGCCCAGGTAACATCATAGAGAAAATGGTCCTATCACTGGTTGCTAGCCATAATGAACCTTCTATGTTTAGAGGCAGAACCTCTCTACCCAATGCAGAAAAAGAATCGGGGGACATTTATCTCCATTATGGCCTACTTGCATGCTTGCCAGGGAGGTGTGTGGCTAGTCAGTGTTAAACAAAATATTGTGCTGGAGCCGTTGGGACATTCTAAAAGAGATGTTTGTATACCCACATGTGCAGGAATTCATGTATTGGGCTCTGCCAAGAACAAAAGATTTAACTGCCAGGAACAGGAGACTCTGCAGATCAATGGGGGACTGTTTTAGGGATATGACATCTTTATCATCTGCCAACCTGAGTCCATCTGTACCTCCCTCTGCCCCTTCCCCTTGAAGGGAAGAGTCTGGACTCTGGATCATGTCATCAAATGCCATAGAAGAGACAGCTATGTATATCCCCATATATACCTATTGTAACTGTACCATCATGTGCATTTCAACTGTAAATTGTTTTGGGAGCCAATCCTGACTTAAAAGAAGGGTGTAAAATAAATAAATAAATAAATAAATAAATAAATAAATAAATACCCAATTCATTGTCATATCTATGAGGCTCAACTTTTTATCCTAACACAAAGAAAGATCATTTAAGGTTTTGTGTTGCAGTTTTGTTTTGCCATAAGAATCATCTGGTTTTGCCATAAGAATTATCTGGTTAGACAAAACATGTAGCCCACCATTCTGCCAGACAGTGGCTACAACAAGCATAAATAACAGAACAAGTGCTGTCATCATTCCTCCTGATCTTGCAAAACTGTCTAACAGAAGGTAGCCTGTGATAGCTCTCTAGGGCAGGCATAGGCAAACTTGGCTCTCCAGATGTTTTGGGACTACAACTCCCATCAGTATAAGGCAATATAAGGAGGCAAAAAACAAGAATGAGAGACCCAGGGCTCTTCATCTAAAATCTTCATTTTTCAAACCAAAAGAGTATGCAGATAAAATATATCCTGCATCATAATGTCCCCTTTGAGTTGCCCTCCCCCACGCCCACCCCATTCCCAATATACCAGGCCAATGAAGTTTCTAAGATATTCCCGGCTGGTTTTGACCTTCTAAAGGCTACAGTCCAGAGAACTATACAGCTAATTCTGTGGGCCCAGTGGGGCTTTTGAGTTCCTTCCTCGCTCCCCTCTCTTTAAAGAGCACTCCCTCACACAACAAGCCAAGTGGCTTCGCAGAGGGCTGCTGCTGAAAGGCAAAATGTCAAAAAATTCTCTTGCGCCTTATTTAACCTAGCTCTCTGGACTGTAGGCCAAAGAAGACTGTTAACTTGGTTGCCTTGTTAGTGCGTTAGGTATATACAACTTTTAACACACAAACAACAGTTTACTTATTTGGTTAAATGGAAATATTGCAGCTTATTTAAAGTATTAAGGGAAGCCTGACTCAGCCTGGTTCAGGAGCATCATGGTCAAGAGTTGCATATGTCAGAATGAATATTTTCTGTGTATAAGATTTCTAGGGAATCTTCACTCTGAACTGATGCAAGGCATCTGGTAGCTGCTGACTTTTTCTTCACCATGTTTCCGTTGTTTTACTGCCTAGCATGTGAAATCAGGCATTATCTTGCTTTTCAAACCTCAGAGGCACATAATACAAGTAGCTTACCTGAGTATATGGGGGCTACTCAAATCTGCAGCCCAGAAGACCCCTTTTCTTGTGACTAATCTCCCTTTGAGTGCTGAACTAACCAATGGCTGTCATTGCCACAGCTGAATTAGTCACAGAAAAAGGAATGAAGCTGAGGCCACGCTAACTCAATTGGTTGTGTGTCAGCTCCAAATACGCAGGCAGAATGCAACTCATTGGACACACGTTGCCCGAAATTTCAAGGGAAGGAATAGTAAGTGAAACTTTAATGGTGTTAGATGAAGGTTGGTGGTGGAGAGGCAGGGAAAGGTGGTAGAGAATAAGGTGTGTTTCAGTGATGGAACTGCTGAAAGAAAAAGCTGTGTGCCAGACTTTGGGGCAGTCCACAGTCCTACCTTTCAAGAGACCTTCATGGTCCATGTAGAAAGACAAGGTGAAAAGGAGAAGAAAGAATGGGAATAAAACAGAGAGAGAAGCAGAAAGAGCCTGATCAGAGAGCAACATGATGAAGTATGCATTTCAGGGGAAAGTGCTGGGAAGAAAAATCCACCTATCCCCCCACCCCCAAAGGAGCTAGCCACTTTATTGTTTTGCATACGGAATAAATTAAAAATAAATAAATAAAAAACCTGTTGTGCATCCACATCAAAATATGTATCTAATGGATTCCAAAAGCAAGTAATTTGCAAATAAACCCTAAAAAAATGAGATGTGCCCTCAAATCTGAGGCAGGGAGGGAGGGAGCACTAGTAGGGCAGAAGATACAACCCCACATGGCTTCATTAAATGTGGTCCTGAAAGGCAGCTGAGCAGCCACTAGCCTGTGGTCTGTCATGCTGTTCCAATGACGTAATGTGCTACAAGCCCCTCTCAGAAAAGGCTGCCTTCAGGAAAGAAAGGAGCATGGTATTCGCTTGACCTTGGTGGAAAACAGGCAGCTCTGCATATGAAGGGAGGGGGTGCTTCTAAGTTACATTTCCACTGTGCGGAGATTGTACCAGATGAGCAGATGGCAAGTGTCTTTTGGGAGGCAGGTATATATTGTGGTTTCCAAATGAGTGGACTGGAGGGGAAGGCACTCTTATTCCATATATTACAAAGGACACACAAGAGATTTGCCTATGCGTAGTGGTGGGGGTGGGGAGTGAGTGAAACAGGAAAGAAATGCATTATGAAATGCATCTGCTCCTTTCTTGGCGGCTGTGTTCAATGACCTCTGGGGCCCTGGAAGAATACGGAATTGATTAAGGCTCTTTCAAGATAGGAATTCTGACTGTCATGTAGTAGACACTGCCGATGTCAGAAAACTGGCCTAATAGAGACCCACTTCCAAGTATCATGAAATTGCTATCTGGGTTCACATGAACCCACTTGCCAGCAGTCTGGGCTGTATGCAAGTGCTCCTAGTTTTTAACAGGCATTTGCCAATTCCTTGTACTTGCTATTGCTATATTTTAGTTGGGGATGCGTTGAAATCACCACTGCAACTGCAAATGCTTGACTGAGTAGAAAGCCCAGTAACATTACCTGAAAATATATGGGGAGCAGGAAGGAGCAGCTTGGATGGGACCAGCAGGTCTGAAGTTTTAAAATTCTAGTTCTGATTTGCTTCTCTCTCTCAACCAAATCAGTTGGCCTAGTAAGGCATGGTTACTGGAACAGAATGCTATTTAAGGACATAGGTTTCCAAACATCTTAGCTTACAAGGAGACCATTATTCTGGCAGCAAAGTAGAAAGAAGTGACAGTATCTCTTTAATTACAGGCTGCAGTGATTGGAAAGCAGTGTGCACAGGGCACTAAGGATGTGAAGGGCATGATGAAAGCATATTAGACATGCTTCTATGAAGGTAGGAAGAGAACCAATAAAGAAAGCATGTCAGCACATATCCTGTCCACCTTTCAAGCACTAATAGTAACTTTTCCCCCAGACTGCTCGATTCCTTGTGAATTTTAAGCAGCTAACCACTTTGCTTCTGACTCCTTATGGGATGTGTCACTTTTCTAACACCCTGCATTAACACTCTGGTTAATTGTAAAAAGAAGAAGAAGAAAAATCTGTGATTTTTATCTAGGGGGGAAGGGGACGACAGTTGTTAAAGCATTGTGCCTTCAAAGTGTCCAGCTTGCACATCATGAGTAATCACAGTTAATGGCTTGCTGTGAATGCAAATATCACTCCTCTCCTCTAGACGAGGGATGGGGAATTGGATCCAGACTGCAGGCCGGCTCTTTATCTTCCCCACTCTCCATGGGCAAGGTTTAACAGGTAGATGAGGTCATGCAGTGTGCGCTGCATAGAAGCCTCTACCGTCAGCTGATGGAACTTCAAAGTACCATGCATGACTCTCTGTAAGCACTAATGACCAGCTGATTGTAAGGGCTTCAAAGTGTCACACACAGCGTCACAAATGTTGGGGCTTATTATGAGCCTCACTAGGCACTATGCACAGGGTTTTTCAGGTCCTGCTGACTGGGAGTGTTGACAAAGCTGTTTTTGGCCCAGCAATGTCTTTACCTGCTCCACACCTGGTGCCATTTATGACTTCTGGTGAAGGGCAGCGAGGTATGGCTTGGTCAAAACAACCTTGCAGGTAAAATGAGGTTTCCCACCGCTGCTCTTGACAGCGGGAGCAACAAGCGACGATCTCTGTCTCAACATTATGCCTGACTGGGAACTGTAGTTTGCTATGCTGAAACAAAACATGGTTGGTAAGACAAATCTTGGCTCAACACCCTGGTTTGTTTGGAAACAAACCACAATCCCTACTTCAGACATAACCTTAATACCTGGGTATTAAGGTTTGTTACGCCTGCTGGCTACAAGGGACGAGTGAAACGGAAGCCTTCTGTGCATTTGATGGTTTAATGGATTACTGTGATGTGCAAATTCTGCCAATGTGTGTGCATGAGGAGCTTAATATCAAAGCTATGGCATGTAACACAGTGACTGCTTCTGCAAAATGAGCATTCAGTTATAAAATCTAAGTTTTTGATGGGTTACTTCATTAATTCGTACTGTGCTGTTTTCTCCTGTCGCCATATTATTATAGTATTTGTCTCTTTATTTTCAATTTGTGCGTTAAGAAATTTTCTTTCAGATTTATGCAGAATTCCAGACTAAACTTTTATTCTCACAATGGTTTTCTTGGACAAGAATTGGTGATTCTCAAATTCTCCTGATATGCTTCATCAACACACTTTCATTTATTCAATAAAGTAAGTAATGCCTGATAGGATAGTCAATTAACTAGTGTTAATCATAGTTTTTCTTCTAGGTTCATTAGCTTGGAGAGTTCATAATCATCAATATGGTTTGGAATAATAAACTCACTAAGAGAACTTTAGAATAGAGGGCATGGGTTGGAAACCAACCCACTACTTACATCAACAAGACAGTGCTTAAAGTTTCATGGGGTGACAAATTGGAGTGTATCCTCTAAATGTCTAGTTATGTTTGCAAATGATCAGCCTTCAAATAAGCCCTCCATTTTAGATTTGCTTATATGGTTTTATGCTGCAAGATGTATGCATGGTACTTCTTTCAAAGTTCTGCAGGGAACCGTTCAAGCAGCTTGTTATTCATGACACCAGTTCTTGCTCTTCATCATTTCAAATCAAGCCCTTTTGTATTTCTTTCAAATAATTCTGGAAACTCTGGAGGATTTCGTGGGAGCTCAGTTCAAAATTAACTATATCTGAGCAGAGGGTCTTACCATTAGGGAGGGTGAACCAGCCACCTCAGGCAGTAAATTTGGGGTGTCATGAAAGGGCAACAAAGTGTTCATTATTTAGTTTGTTATTATTGTATCTTTACTGCCAGGAAGCAGGAAGAATTGCTTGTGGGGTTTTCAGGTGCCAAAATAACTTGGCTGGCCTCACGAACTATACACCTTGACTTGATGGTGGTACACCATTTGCTGTTCTGCCTCAGGCAGCAAAAGGTGTTCGGCTGGCTGAATCTGAGTAAATCATCCTGTTTGCTTAAAAGCACTAAGCAAGCAGAGATGTACAAAGAGCACGTTTGCTCTAAGTCACATAGATTAACAAAATGCTAGCAGTGTTACCTGTTTCAGTGCCTTGGAAGCAAGGGGGAAACAAATGTAAAACTTGAACGCAGGACCCATCTGTGAACAGCCAAAGAAAACACCTTGCTTTGGGAAGCTGAGATAAAAAGTGGCTGATGTCCTTAAAAGGTTGCCTTTGAGTTTCATAGAGGGGTGATTGTAGTGGCACATGGCCCCCACTACAACAGTCAAGAGAGGTGGGTTTGCTAGGTTATACAGAGACGATCAACAAAATGAGATTGTCTGAGATCCTATAGAAAAGGATGGAATATGGAGCCCATCACAGGCTTTTGGAGAAAATGTGTTTATTTTTCTCTAGATACAATCTGAGCACGGTTGGGTTAACCTGTTTCTGGGCAGTGAATGCACGAGCGTGAGGAGGGTAAGTTGCTGAAAAACCCTGAAGATGCCTCTCTGAATAATCTGGTGTGTGAGAGAGACCAAACACATTGCTTCCATCTCTCCCATAGCATCTAGCTTTCTATCTGCTGTGGTGATGCTAATGAGCATTCTATTATCTTTCTTGGTCCATCATGTAGTGCAAATTTCCTGGGACTGTACCATTTCAGACTACACATGAAGCACTGCACATCTGAATGCCCATGTCCCCACTATCTGCACATACAATACTAGCACAAACATAAGCTAGGACCTCTGTTCCTCATGTGCTAAGTTTCCAGAGAAATTTTGATGTGAGTAAAAAAACATCTTTTATCTGCAGCCTGAAATGGTACAGATATAGGAATAGTATACCATGCAAGTTATCTGCATGTGGAGATCAACACCTTTTTCTTTTGCAGAGATCTTTGAGACATAATGGGAGAACAAAGGGTGGTAGAAAATGCACATTTATGGGAATGTGATATCTTGATGACTATTGAACCGACAAAGTTGCTCTTTGTAATAGGTGGGGTAGAGGGCAGAAAACAAATGCCTGTCACACATACCAAGCAGGAAGCATACCTGTAATCAAACGACCCATTATCTACCTTCTGGTCATCAGGGTCCAGGGGTACATCTTTATTTTCTCGCACTGTGAATACATATGCAAAGAAGAAGAAGAAGAAGAAGCAGACATCTTACTTTCATGTATTCAAGGCTGCAGTCCTAAACACACTTACGGGACTTGTTTCTGACTTGAGTGGGGACGGGTGAGGAATCCACCAAACTCCGATTCCAAAGCAGACTCTCACATTTTGATCTGGGCAAATCATGATTTCAGAATGAGGGCTGTGGGCCTGCTTCTGCTCTTTTGAAAGTGTTTCCTGATCTTTAAACTTGTAAAAATGGTTAATCCAGCCACCCTTGGCCCGAGCAGCTAGTGCTTTGAATGCAATAGAATGCAAGTCCCTCTGGGAGCAATGGGATTTGATGAAGCTCCATCATTCTCATGAAGAAATGTATGGGAAAAAACACTGCTGCCCCCAGAATTCACATGGACCCTTCACCTCTCTCAAACATTTTTTTTTAATACCTTGCTGTTTGTGCATGGATATTTCATGTTTTTCTTTTTAAAAATATACACTGAAATGGGATGGGGGGACTTAAGTCTCATCCCCATGTAGAATTGGTTCAGATGTTTATGTGTCCATCCATTCCTAGGTCTGAGAAAACCTGTTTAGGATTGTGCTGCTAGCCTCCCAGCCTCTGCTGTCTTGTAGGTGGTCAGGAATTTAGACTGAAAATGGATGAGAAGCATCTGAAGAAATAACTGACATTGAGGTGGTTTTGCTGTTGGCAAATGTATGTGCAAAGTCATTTTTGATCACTTCCATGCTTTTAATCTCCAAAATATAATACACATAAATCCCAGGCTGAGCAAGATTCTGATTCAAGTTCTCTTTCAAATCTTGTCTCCTGCCATTGAAGTAATCATTATTATTTCCTGCATCACAAATGCCTGGCTCAAAACTGTCACGCTAGTTGCATGCTGAACAGAGCGCAACAAATAAATTGATGTTACTATATTGTGAATAGTAAGGGGAGCATTTCCTGTGCATATGGTGTTTAGAATTGTTGGGAAATTGTCCCATGAGCTTAAAGCAAGACAAAATACAAGCTGATGTGCCTTATTTTTAGAACTGCTGCTCTAGTATTATTTGGATGCAGTCCTGAAAAAGCCGACATTTGCCGACTACTATATGCAGTGTGATATCTGGTAAATAATAAAACAGAAGAAAATAGTAGTAAAAGATTATGGCTTGGAAGTGTTTCCTAAACCACAGCTATTGTAACGTACAAAGAATATTTCTTGGACTCTTAATATGACCATACTCATCTTAACTGCATACCCTTGGGGCTAACTGAATACTCTTAACTGTGTTTTATAGAGATATTTAGCACTCTGCTATCTTACTTTGAAACAAGGATCTCTAGACAGACCAAGTCATTTTGCAACAAGTGTGCATGTGTGTATGTGTACACGCGCGCGCACACACACATTCTGGTTTGCCCTTAATTGACTAGAATGTGGGATTGCTCCCTAAATACAGTGGCCAGATACACCAGACAACTTGGATTACAAGCCAACATGGCAAGCTTTTCAGTGCCATATGAGAACCTTCCTATTTATGCCAAGGCATTTTGGATTGTGTGGATGGCTTTTGGAACTGTATTCTATTCTTGCTTTTAGCTTCTTGAGTTTTTGTTCTCTCCTCTTGCGTCTTATCAAACTTATTTGCTGGTTTTAAATTGTATTTATACGTTGTGTGAATGAATTCTATTCACACTTTCCTACAGCACCTTGGAATCTTTTTGAGGAAGAGTGGTTAAGACATCTTTGGAATAAATTAAAAGCAACCAGTTTACTTCATCCCAATATCACATAGACCCTTTCTACTGGTGAATGTATTCTTAAATTACCACACTTCCTTTATGCTTGAAAAGACCCGTGAAAAAGTAAATAATTTTTGCAAGGGACAGTGGGACAAGTGAAAGAAATACAAGTATATCTATTAGCTGAAAAATGTGAGTACATTTCAAATACCTCTTCCAGCAAATAAAAAAAGGGGGGAAGGGACTTATATCCTATTATGTGATTGCCTCTCACCTCCAGAGACAGCATAGTCAAAATCTGTATGGTACTTCTCCCCCCCCCCCCCCATGGTTAATAGTTCAGGTGGGATGGGGGTCAGGGGTCAGTGCAATTGTGATATAGAAAACCGTGCAGGAAGAAAAGTTTAAGAACTCCCTGTCCTAATGCAGCTCCCTAATAAAAAAACCCTCTTGCATATCTGCCCATAAATAATATGGTTTTTCTCTTTCTTTTAAGGAAACTGGTCACGGATGCCCCATGTTATGTCTCTTTTGGACCTTGGCATAATAAACAAACACCATGCCATGTATTTTAGGTAGGGTATTATTTCCTTTTGGACTAAGGAAACAGATAATTGTTTCTGTATAACTGGCTTGTCATTCTTGTCACGCACTGCAGCTTGATGTTAGAAGCCGCCTGCCACAATCCTTATGTGTACTTAAGGGTCTAGCACAAAACCTTCTTGCACACAAGACCTTATCAGATCTTGGGAGAGAACACAGTGGTCATCGCACAACCATAGTATGCAGTCCAAGCAGGTTCTGAGAGAGGTGTTTTACCCCTAAGCCCTTTGAAAAAGAAAGGTATCAATGCAACCCCCCCTGGAGAAAGTCCTTTTGCAAATACAGAAGACACTTATCGTAGTGAGGTCAAATCCCAACAAAAGTCATGGGATGAGGCTTCACCTCCTACCTAGCTGGAAGTCCTCTTGCATTGCCTTTAATGAGATTAATTCTTTTCAGTGCCACAGCTGCTAAAAAGTGGTAGGACGAAATCCTTTGAGTGGGAAGCCTATGATCAGTGCTGTTTTTCTAGAAGAAGAGGTGCTGGAACTCACCATGAACATCTCCTTTGTTCTCTTATAATGGCAATGGCACCTACGTGAGAGATGCCAGAACTGAGTTCCAATGAGTTCCGGCAGAAAAAAGCACTGGATGATTATGATCAGACCATCTATCTAGATTTGGGAATGAATACTTCAAACCCAACAACAATGCTAGTTGATAGCTATTTCTCTTACCTGGATATTTCCCTCCTCTGCTTCTCTTAATGAAGCAAACTATCAGCAAAATCAGGACCAGGAGAGCGATGGCACACATCAGTCCAATAAACCAGCCCTGAGTTGCAATGTCCCCTTGGTTCTTGTTATAGGCTAGTAGGAGAAGTTGAAAGAAAAAACGTTAAGAAGAAATACAATTGATCCACATAGTGCTGAAAAATGAAAATAGCAAGCAAAAGCTATTAGATGCTTCCTGTCCCACCCATTCCCAAGCTTCACATTTGAGGACTGGTGTCTCTCAATGCTGGTCTTCCCAAATTGGCCTGGTTTGGTTGCCACATGAAACCACAGTTAAAATAGAATTATGGTTAATGTAAAAGAGCAGTATGCTAGTACATGCTGCTCTAAAGTGCCTGTTGTGACTGGGGAGGAAGCAAATCAAAGGGTGGTTTTGTATATTATATGCGAACCAGCAGTTGTGATTTGTTTCTCTCCAAACCAAGCATGGAAGCTAAGGTTTGTTCTTTGCTTAATAATAATAATAATAATAATAATAATAATATTTATACCCCACCCATCTGGTTGGGTTTCCCCAGCCACTCTGGGCGGCTCCCAACAGAGGACTAAAAACAGAATAAAACTAAAAACTTCCCTAAACAGGGCTGCCTTCAGATGTTTTCTAAAAGTCAGGTAGTTGTTTATTTCCTTGACCTCTGATGGGAGGGCGTTCCACAGGGTGGGCGCCACTACCAAGAAGGCCCCCTGCCTGGTTCTGCTCATGGGCTGCATTCACATTGCAGTTTATTCTGTTCCCCTGTTTTCCTAACTGTTTATTTCCACATCACATTTGAGCTTTTACACCACATAAAAGCTACTTCCAGAAATACACTAGAATATAGTGCAAGTTTAGTGCTTATTTTCATGTTATTTGCAAATGAATTTTTTTTGTAAACAAACAACATAGAAATGAGTGCTAAAGTTGTGCTATATTCTGATATATTTGTGGAAGTGGCTTTTATGTAACATGAAAGCTCAAATATAATGTGGAAATGATCAGTTAGATAGATACTGAGAAAATGGAATAAACTGTCATGTGACTGCAGCCATGGTTTCTTTGGGAGAAACAAACCATAAGCACTGGTTCACATAGAAGACAAAGGCAGCCTCTGGTTTGTTTCCTCCTTGACACACCAAAGGAAGAGTGCAATAGGGACTTTTGAGCAGTATGCTCCAGCACACTGCTCATTCACATAAAGCACTTAATTTTAACTATGGTTTAACATGTACAAACCAGGTCATTATCTTTCTCTGTGTGTGGGGATTTTTCAGATTTGAGACATCATATCGGGCCTTTCTATTTTTCCAAACACATCACAGCCCAAGTTCTAACAGTGACAATTCAGATCCAAGGGCAGCAGTGAAGGCAAAGGATAACACAGGTGGGTACAGCAGACTTGGGCAGAGAAATAAATATATGGTATTGCCTAACAAAGGAGGGTTATATAAAATGGGTGGGGGGAGCAGAAGAAGCTGGGTAACAGATTTGATTCATGGTAATGGGAAATATTGTAGGTGGTACCTCAAATGAGGATGCAACGTTCTCCAAGGAACAACCAAGGATTCATATTTATCTGGTACATAGCTAGAACAAACAAGTACAAAAGGCTTCCTAACACATTATTCAATGTCCTGAAAACCACAGAGAACATGAGAGACTGAGGCTTGCCCAGGCTTGTGTACAATGCATTAAGTAATGGTTTATAACATGATGTGTTTTTGCAAAACATCACAAAGTTTTCCCAGGGAAAGTGGCAGGACTAAACAAACAAACAAAAAAACCCTCTCAGAGCCCTGATTAGAAAGCATGGGACAAATGGAAGAAATCATGGGATGAGCCCTAAGTCATGCTCATTAATTTCAATGAGTTTACTCTGAGTGAGCTTAGTTGAATACCACCCAAAGCTTGAAGCTTATGTGACTTACCAACTATGATGGTAGTATATTTCTTCTACCGGTAAATTATTTTGCGAAAAAGGAAAACATACACATCTAACTGACCTAATTATTATAATATTGCACACAACCCAGTACTCTGTTGGATTTTAAGCAAGTGTTATTAGTGACATATGACAAGTGAAACAGAGTCAAGTCTTAAATGAGCAGCAATTCATTGAAGTCAATTCCTAGCTTATATAGCACTTTATTTTCTTGGGCCAAGTTCATCCTGAATCACTAAAACATAGACATTTGAAAGTACCTAACTTGTGCATTTCAAACTTCGCAAAAAAGCAGAGCTCATCAAGACTGTATGCACACTTCATTATAGGAATGATTCACTCAGAGAAACTGTGAAAGGGTTTAATGGTTGGCTTCATGACTTTAAAATCAATGGTAATTTTTCCTCCTTGTGAATCAAACTGGAATTGCGCTATTAAACCATAACCTAATGGCTTTATCAGAACACCAGTAGGAAGTAACATGTATAAGCAGCTTTCAAGTTATTGACAATAAATTAAAAATATCCTGAATAGCACTAATGGAAGATTATCACAGCCACGCAGAGTTGAAGTTCTGCCAACAGCATAATGAAGATACACTCTATATTCGTAGCCAACAGACCTTTCTCAGACTCTCTCTGGGTCTTCTCACATTAAGTGCTCAATTCCGCAATACTTACAACAAAAGTTTGATCACAGGAGGACATGCAAATGTATTAGAGGACACCCTCTCTTTTAATTCCACCCAAATAAGTGAATATAAGTTATTTTGGTTCCCCAGCCCCCCTAAAATCAGAATCAGGTTGTCTTCAAAGATGGGAATGAATTATAAAAAATGTGCATTTGGCCTCAGGATTTTTGGGGCAGAGGCCCAAACTCACACAATACCATGGCCCACGAACATTTAGACCCCAGAGCCATCTTTCTTAGATATAATTAGGTAAAGTGTTTCATGCTGTAGTTCGGCCACAGATAGGGAGCACTGCAAAAAAAATTATGATGAGAGGCAGTGGATGGGAAGTCCAGGCAAGCCGTAGAAGGACAGGCAGAACAGACTGCAGCCTTGCACTGCCCCCCCACCCACTGACTCCTTTGCTTGCCAGCCTCAGGGACCTTGCCCCTAGGATCCAGATCCCCAAGCCAGCTAGCCCTGTGCTAGCAACCTTCCTCCTCCTTGGCCAGCCTCAAAACCCACTGCTGTTTCCACCACCGTTTAGTATCAAGAGCAACACAGGGGTGAGGAAGGTGCCCAGAAGTGCCAGCTAGCCTTGAGACCCAGAGCAACGGCATGAAGTGGAAAGGAACAAGGAAGACGCCCAGAAGTGGTAGCTGGCTGTCCTTGGAATCCATGGAAAGTGGAAGCTCTAAGCTGCCCCACCTTAGCCCTTTCATCCTCTGAAAGAAAAACAAACACGTCCAACTACTCTCCCTAACAAAGTCAGTACTTCTCAATTTGCCTCCCTCAGTGCAGCCTCTAGGTTCTCTGTAGTCATCTTCCAGCATCTTTCGTCTGTCATGATGTGCTATCTTAACAATCGCCAGTGTTCCAGCTCCCTTAGAAAATCTTAAGGCCTCTTTTGCTTTTCACCTCCATCTCCATTGTGTCTCTCACCACAGCTTTTTAATTACACTACTTTCCAGCTTGACTTACACACAATGTTTTTACTTCCCTCCCAACCTCTTAGCCCATCATTAGAAGTGTACTGTAGACTCCTGCTTAAAGTTTCTGGTTTTTTCCCTTAACTGTCATGTTCCAAGGCTGAACCTTTGACCGTCCTGTGCAAAACTTCCAGAACATTCCCTAGTACTTTTAACCTTCATGTGAGTTTTTGAGCCTTTAAAGCAAAAGCTATTGTTGGACAAGTTTTAACAGGAAACCCAAACTCAAAATGTTTGAAAGGCCTATTCTCAGGGGCAAATACTGATTTCCTGTTACGTTCATATCATTTGAGGAATCTACCACTACATCATTATGATGTTTTTTCAAAAGGTATGAGCAATTTTAATTGACTCAAAAGTGCCAGGTGCCCCATTGGCCTTTGTGCTTTGACATTCTCCCTGTTCACTACTGGCAGCTGATTTACCATGCATTCCCTTTTCCTGTTAAAAGCACTACGGTGGGAAAAAAGTCCACTTTGAAGCTATTCTAATGGAAGGAGCAAGACACTAATTGCATGGACTTCAGAATTGCATTAGGCTAAATGAAACTACAGGGTTGACAAAGAGGGAATAGAATTATACTGGAGGCTTTTGGAACAAATGGTGATTCAATTAATGATGCTAACATATAAAAGCTTTCAATAGAATAGAAGGAAGATAGGAAAGGCAACTATCAGATCGCACGATATGCAGAATGAAAGGGGGGAAAGTATAATATACAAGTATACTTTTGATACAATAATGATAAAAAAATCCTCCAACATATTCACAGAACCCTGTCCAAATCAAATAGGCAATGTCAAAATGATACAACGGCACACATCAAATGTAGTTGTTCTGTCCTTCTTAAGCATACATTTCATTTGCAAACAGCCTGATCCCGTTTTGCAAAGCCAAAACGCTTTCACCTGATGTCTTATAGCCATTGGCATGAGGCAACAGTTTCTAAACTTGATGCAGCCTTGCTTTGGCTTTTAGGGGGAAGTGTGACAGAGACCAAAAGAGGATGCCATAGGACAGAGCAGGGAACCTTTCTTTAGCTCAGTGGGCCAGATCCTTATCAGGACCGGTCTCACGGGCCAAATTTGACAGGTGGGTGACACCATCTGCCAATTAAATGACATAAATATGATGTCACATGATCGACAGGTGGGCGTGGGCATGCACCTTTAAAAATCCCTTAGGCAGCTTTGCAACTCTCCTTCTACTCCCCATTTAAACCCCTAATTCCGGATGTTAGGGTGAGCATGGGGAGCTTTGCAAAGGCTTTAAAGCAACCCCTGTGTTCCTCCTTGAGTGTCAAAAAAATAGAAGACAGGCCTAAATGTACATTCCCAATATTGAATGTAACTTCATTGTACTCAAGGTTGTGCCAGGTGAATGTGGCTTAGGCCCCAAAGTCCTTGGCAGATAACAGGAATCCACACCTACTTTGCAGTTGGCTGCGATTTTTATGGATTGGCCTTGCTGGCCTCCTTCTGGGCCCCACCTGTAGAGCGACATCAGTGATGAATTGCATTTTGCATATAATAGGTTGTCAAGACAGCGCCACACCCTTAGGACATTTTACATGCATACTTACTGTATTTTTAACAGGGCAGTGGAGGTTAATATTATTTTTCCATCCAGGTATATTTGTGTAACATTAAATATCACTCACTGCACAGCAAAGTATTGTTCTAATAAACCAAAACTGAGCAAAAGAAATAATGTAGTAAAACTGCAGCTGTGGGGCTACTTGGCTAGTGCAATTTCTACTTAGAAAAATAAGCTGCTGTCTCCTGAAGAGTGACTTTCAAAATAACCTAAAGAAAAAGGACAGCGCTTTCGTCTCACAGGTATTAATGATGGAACATGATAGTAAGCTCTGATCTATCACATCAGAAGCAGCCAGCCTGGAAGAGAAAAGGAATGAAAATACAAGAGGCACTAAAAGAAAGCAAGGGAGGTCACTAAAATAGTGTAGCTTTGGCAGTCACCTGGGATGCATCAGAGGAAAAAAGCATAGATCTTGGAAATCTTCCATTACTGTATCTTGAGATACAGAAAAAGTACTCTTTTAATGCACAAAATGCATATGGAACACACACAAACATACAACAAAAAGCAAATCTATCAGCACTGATCCAATTTACCCAATTACGGCCAGGAGCAAGAACTGTGTTATTCCCTTGTAATTTTTTTGGTTGATGTAGCTAGGAGGTTTGCCAAGCCAAAATAAACTAAAATATTTAGCCTGATATATGTTGCATTTTGGATTCTTATTTGTAAACCACAACACATTCTGTGTAAATCAAGGTTCATCTGAAGCACTGCTCTCAATATCCAGTTTCCTGGGGAAAACACCACCAAATTTCAGTGAGATAGCACCACTAATGAACTATGTTACGTACGGTTACATTTTCAACATATCCATCCTCAGCTGGGAGGCATTTCATCTGCAACACAGAAGATGATCTCACTCTCTACACACATACGTAACTATGTACAAACTGATACTGGATTGCAGAAAAAATAAAGTTCCCCAAGATCAAACAGATGGTTCTTTCTGGTTCAGTCCATTAGCAGGAAGGATGTACTCCTCCAGTTGCTGGACTGCTAAAACTGTATGCCATCTGAGCAAATATTTACAAATGCAGCAAAGGAACTGTTGCTCAAGCATTTCTGTAAAAGCTACTAGCCGTCATGATGGCTATACAGAATCTGCATTTTCAGGGGCACCATGCCTCAGTGTACCAGTTTCTGGAGATCAACAGTTGGAGAAGGCTATTGCCTTCATGTCCTGCTTGTGAGCTTTCCAGTAGCATCTGGCTGAACACCTGGGAAGCAGGATGAGAACCTCTCCACTCACACCAGTGCAACTGTGAAGGTCAGCAGTGTTACAAAAGTTAATTGTTTCTGACAGAACAACCAAGTTGTTGAGGGGCTGGGGCGGGCAGGCAGAAATTGCTTGGGGGATGTATAGGAACTGTGGGCCACTGGTTAGTTACCCGTGCTAGATTTTAAAATATGGCATTTTTCATTTGTTTTCACACATGTTCAGACTAGGTTAGCAATTTCTTTCCACCATTTGTCTGTATGCCACCATAAACTTTATCATTTTAGAGTGAAAAGAGAAACCTTGCTTAAATTGTGTGGACATTTTGCTTACAGCTTTTGACACATTGCTTAAAGCTTTCTACAGAATGACCTTCCGATTCTTTCCACTCAGCATACATTTCAGCTATTTCTCACATGGAAACTACTTTTCTAATTACCTGCATTGACAAAAGGAGCTTTTATTATGGACACAGGAGGAAACCTGGGATATGATTATGTTTGATTAAGCTGCACTATGGCTGAAGCTGATTGTTTGACAGCTACCTAAAATTCTGAAAGCAGAGGTCAGAAATGTGAATGCATAAACTAATATTTAGTAATATTTAGTAAAGTCTGACTGGTTCCATGCTGTAGCCCTATAGCACTACCAGGCAGTACTGGAAATAGATCTAAAAGGAGATTCCACACAGTATTTAACATTGTGTTATACCATCCAGGAATGTCTTTTACCATGGTCAATATCCATTATGTTTATTCACAGGCAAGTCCTGTTCAGCAAAGGCTCTTTTCAATGATAATTAAAAGCTTCCTGCTTGGGGTTGTAGCCATTTTATTGCTTCATATTCAGTGGTGCTGAAGGATTAGTGACTTGCCCCTTAATTTCCTCATTTGTAAGCTTCCTTTCATTTTTAAAAATAGTGAAATAGAAAACAGGAAGCTTCGGGTAAAGATGAAGTAGCCCTGAAAGATGTCAAAAGCAATTGTCTACATTAGACAGGCTGGCAATCCAATTGTGTTTTTATTGCCACTCCCCCAACTGAAAAAACCCTTGGGAAACAGAAAAAAGTTACTGGAATACATTGACCTAATGATGTTCATTTGAATTCTTCATAAAACAGAGGGGCAACATAGAAGCAACCTATATAAGGCACTTTTGAGACACACAAATAGGATATAAGGCAATATTCTGTAAAGGTAAATTGCTACAATTCTCAGATTGTGACTTCATTTGAAATTATGAGTATGCCACATAGCTCTGTGGATGTCTTGCAGACAAATCGACCACATTATAATATCTAAAATCTTTTTCATGAATACCCAGACATAAAGCCAATCAGAAATTCGCATGTGCTCATGCAACAGCTGGCAGCATGGTAATGAGCAGTGCACACGCACACAAAGGGAAACATGAATGCGCAGATAGCAACACATAGCCTGTAGCATATTCCTTAACAATAGTGTTTATTATTAAGTCTAGATGGAAAACCATGGGTCTCTGCCCTTTTTATAGATATCTTCCAAAACCAAGCTTGTTTCATTAAAAGAAAAGTTATGCCAATATTTTTTTCCTTTGTTTGTTTTAGCAGAACACAGTCTAAAGAACCTCATTAAGAGAGGATACATTTCACTTTGGTACTTGTATAATAAGGGCAGAGTGCACATCGTCAGTGAAGAGATGGGTGACATTTTCTCCATGCATGGCATAATTCCTCCATCTGAAGCAGCAGCACGCAAAGGCAGTAAGGCTTGGAATGGAATGTGCCTCCAAAACGCAGCACATTGTGGGGCTGAACCCCATCTCACCTGGACTTGTCTGAAAGGTTACGTTCGAGCTGATAGTATCATTCCCTTTGAGAAAAACCCGCACTATGTACTTCTCCCCAGGAGTCAGGTCAACCAGCTCCAGAAAGCCTTTAGCAGGGGAAGATTTCACTGTTTTGTTACCTGAGAAACAGAAACTTCATATCAAAGGCAGCTAGCAAGAAATGCAGATTACTCTGTAGGCAAACATCCCTAATGCCAGGTCCAGCTACTGACTCGACACATGTCCCTGCCGATGACACCACTGACTAACACAGAGTGAACACCCAGAGTTTCTGGCACCATCAGTTCAAAGTTGAAGGGCTCGTTTACAGAAGCTCACTCCACTTGTATGTAGGAGAATTCTATTTTCCAGACACCATTTAATCTAACGGAGCACCTGCTTTGGCATCGTAAGGCAGCCAGCAACCAGATGGAAGCTTATCACATTACTGGTTCAGCGATTTTGCATAAAACTAGAAGTGGGGGGGACACCCAGAAAAAGAGGGAAGACTTTGTACAGCCATCTCTGGGAAATTCTTACTTGGAACAGAAAGCGACTGGCATAGGCTTTGTGCAACTCGCAAGTGCCAGATGTGCCGAATCAGTAACAACAGCAACTCTTTTTCTGGCAGCATGCTTCTGATGCATTTGAACTGCCTTTTCTGAATTAACCTCAACACATTTTGCAAAAGATGTAGAAAAAGTCACTTCTAAACTCTTATTAAGAGCATGCACACAGATCACAACGTCAAATTATATTAAAGGTACACTGCTAAAAGCATTCAAACATAAAGTGAATAAAAAAGAACCCTGTTTGCAAACTCCAGTGTAGATACCCTATGAAATTTCAAGTATTCCAATACTTCAGGAGTTTTGGAAGTGCTTGGATGCTGTGTTAACTAAACCTTAGCAAATCATTAGGCATGGAAGTCCCTAATCGGCAATGTTACAGACGTGTATGAATCTACAAATATACTTTTGCTAGCAATGGCTAGGTTAATGAGAGCACCAGGCCTGAGAATTGAAATCACTGGAGTCCTTTAAAGAAAATCTAAGCAGCTGGTTTTGACAAACCTAATTTATCAAAGTACTACAAAACTGGAAGCATGAGAAGCTTCCCAAAGAAAAGAAGATTCCCTTTCCCACTCTGTGACAATGCAGCAGCCAGGGGAGCGGAATACACAGGAATCCTCCAAATCATATCCACACAATGGGTCTTACATTGACTGCTTACTATTTAATCATGCTAGATGCAAATTCCTAAAGGGCCAGTTCTTGATTACTTAATTTAAAAATCTAAACACAATACTGTATTGATAATTTTATGGAACCAACACCTAGAACAGGACTTGGCCCAGCAAACTAAAACCAAGGAAAGCAGGTTTAGGGCACATATATAACTTGCCCCCAAAGCTATAAGGTTGACAGTCAATGTTTAATTCTTTGACCAGCACATAACCACTTAAAAACTGCAGATAGCATGCCAGCAGGAAGTAGAGTGAGGTATGAATGGCTTGAAAACAAAATTTATGTAGATAACTAATTATAAATCTCCAACTAAAACAAAATGTGAGCATTACTATTAACCCCCAAATTATTTGCTATAGAGGGGATCTATAGATTTTTGTATCTATTTCTGCTTCATTCTACGGCACTTACAGCCATCACAGATTCACTTAGGGCAGTGTTTTCTAAAAAGCAGGTCCTTTTTAGGATGTGTTATTCTGAATCCTCCACTGAAAGGACTTGGCAGTTATTGTGTTTAAGAGAACAGCAACATAAAACACAGTGTCAATATAATCTGAAGGACAAGTTAAATGCCATGCCTTTGGTCCCCCCCCCCCCAAAAAAAAAATCCTCCATGCACAAATTAAGCAGTACAATTAGTTACACTATAATGAACATTGCATGAAAGGTCCATTAAACCTCTGAGAGATGACAGAATCTCTGGTGACATTAAGGACCCTGCAGAATTCTCGAGCTCCCAATGCTTACTGTTGATATACTCAACCACAAACTCAGTTTCAGGATCAAATGTGTGGTTCCAGGTGATGTTTGCCCAGTTACTGTTAGGTGAAGCTTTTACATCCCAGATAGGCTGCTTTGCACCACCAGCTGGTGAACAGGTTAGAACAGAGGTTAGTAAACTGGATTATGAACAGAGAGATGCATTCTAACTGCATGCCCAGATTTAAATGAATTGTTTTCCTTCGAAGGAAATGCAGAGCATCCTCCTCCTCCCCACCCCCACCAGGTATAGCACACAACAGACTGTGGATGCTTCAACATTACCTCACATAACACAAACAAAAAACATTGCAAAGCCATTTCAATTCATATGTCACTTTAGTAATGAGAAGAACTTTTTTGGGGGTATATCTAAATATATCCTTTGAAACAGCAAGGTTTGCATAGAAATTACATATAAAAATGTACACCAGGATATATGCCCATGCTAATACTCTCTTCCGCCATAGCCATTTTCTAGTGCAGCCTTGAACAACCTAGTGCCCCCTAGATGCTTTGAACTATTACCAAAGGTGATGGGAGTTGTAGTCCAAAACATCTGGAGGGCACCAAGTTGGTGAAGGTTGTCATTGCATCAGCAAATTGAGAGGTACAACATTTTCAAAATGGCCAAGGATAGAGACATCAATCTTTCTGCCAAATTACCTTGGAAGAAGGATAATGGCCCAAGATAGACGTCATGTGTCCATACATCTATAAGAGCACAAATCACCTTAGGAATTTTAGTGCCACAAATTAATGAGCCACTTGCCTGTCCAAAGCAACACTCTACAGGGCAGGGTCAACTCAGCTGCCTAATTCTTACAGGGCACTGCAGAAGGTTACGTTCCCAGCCCTTATGCCAATTCCTACTTTGCAGGATTATAGAAATCCCACATAGCAGCTCCTGGTGGTCTACGTAACTAGACAGGCAGAGATTTATTAATGATGATCTGTTTCAACATTGCACCAAACCAAGGTGAAATTCATTGCCAATTCTCACTGTTTTAAAATTGAGAAAATACTGGAAAGCAAAATGTTCTTGTCACTATTCTGGATAGTGGGTAACAGAATTAGCTGGTTTTAGGTCAAGTTAGTTTGTGACAACATCAGTTTAACTGGCTTCAATTCATTAGTTTAGAAACTCTGACTATTGCATTTGGCTTCAAGTCTATACATACTTACCTGGGAGTAAGTCCCACTGAATTCAGTTGGGGTAAGTCCCATTGAACTCAGTGGGACTTACTTCTGAATAGACACGCAGAGAATTGTTCTATTAGCTATTATAACATGATAAAGTGAAAACACTTCAATATATCTTTGACATGAGAACACATTCTTCAACAATAAATACAGCCACTTTATGACTTAGAAAATGACAGTTTCCTCCTCAGCTATACTTTTACGTCTTTACAAAAAGCTATTTCTAACAAGAACAGTTCAGTTTTTAAAATGTCTATAATTTCATATCTTGATCCGTCAATTACCACTGCATGCTCATTCATGCAACATTTAGTTTTCAGCCACAGCTGAGAAATCCTTGCATCAATAAACTGCAAGCCAGGCATCAAGTTCATATGCCTATGCTTAGAATATACATGAGCATTCCCATTGACTCCAATGAGACTTCATGCATGCAAGAAATTTGAAGCTGGGCTTAATCAGAACTACTTGAGTTTGCTTTAACTTCTCTTCAGGAGTATAAATTTACTGCAAACCATGAGATACTACATGGTTGTGGTTTTTTTTTTTTAAGTGGCTAAGCAAAATGAGGCATTGTGCCCCAGTGGTCAGTCAAAGACCTTTTTCTGGATGTGTTCCTATTTCAGATTGAGGTATTTATATGCAGTAGATGTGGACTTGGTTAAATATCTGTTCCAGTAAGTTTGACACATGTTGCATTTTTCATACAGGGCAACCAAATATTTGCATAGTGAACGTTTGGATGTGCACATCATTTGTTGGTAGGGACCTAGCATGATCTCTCTGCAGCAGCCCTAAGAAGCAGTTCTCTTATGTAAAGATTTTTTTTTTAACACTGAAAAGCATCATATGGTATTTGCCAAGTCCCATAATGAAACAGATGCATTAATTAATGCAACCACTGCTTTTACTACATTGTATGGATGACAGCCAATTTAGCCCACTATATTTTGTTATAGTGTATTTGCTGTACCTGCTTATCCTAGCCTATAGAAAGCAAGGACAACTCTTATGCATAAACAAAGCTGCCCTGTCTCTCTGAAGAGCAAATTACCGGTAATCTAAAGTAACTTTATCACGGCAACATACTGAGACCTTGAATGCACAACCCAAGGATTACTTTTCATTTGCTGCTAATCTTTTATCACAGCACTGAGAAACTCTACGTGTTGGATGGTTTTCAAAGCAACCATACCTTGATGTTACGCCTGAATTACAGGCTTAAAAAACCCCTGACAAGATCCAGGTATGGATTGGACGACTAATAGAAAAGGAAAGATGAAAACACAGTACCAGAATCCTCTACTGGGATACCTATTGTGCTAGCAATAACTGTGGTGAGGGCTGCTTCTGTGGTGGTTGGAGCTTCTGTGGTGGTTGGAGCTTCGGTAGTGGTTGGAGCTTCTGTGGTCGTGGTTGTGGTGGTAGCTTCTGTGGTGGTTGCGATAGTAGTAGCTTCTGTGGTGGTGGTGGTGGTGGTGGCCACAATGGTAGTAGGGCTGATGGTTGTTGGAGATATTACAACTGGGAGAAGGAAGTGTAAAAACTACATTTTGAAAAGTATTTATATTTTCCAGTTCTTTGGCTTTGTCATTCCCTGAAGCTAGGCGCGCATGCAAGATATGGCAAAGTGGATCAAGACACACACACACACACAAACAAACACAAAACATACAATTCAGGGGCAAAAAGAACGAAGCCATTTGCAAATAGGACAACAAAGCCTGAGCTTCACTTTCTTTCCTTGGCACACTTTTGACTAACAACAGTTAATGCAATTCAGCTGCAGAGTGGGCAGGTGTGGGAGAGTCCTGGAATCCGTCAAATAAAGGCGCATGCAAAACCTTCTGTAGGCAAGTGCACTGTAAACATATGGGCAAAGCAGCAGAAAGTGGGAGGCATTGGCTTAAAACAAATACTTGCCCACAAACATGCTATTTGTTTTTAGGTTCCATTCACTGACGGAACAGAATGCTTCTCTTGGTTGTGAGAGCATTAGGGCACTCCAGCCCCTGCGGACAGCAGATATAGGCTTAACTGGATTGAAAAGCAAGGAAATGCATACATATCTCCGTGAGATACCATGAGAATGGGCCTGACTCCTCAAAATGGAGCAACTTGTATGATACAGCAAGTAAAGTTTCCCTCCCTTGACACTGAAATAGGAAACTTCAAGGAACAATGCAGAACAAGAAACTGTGATTCAGCCTTTTAAAGTTAAGAGTAAGACATGTGGAAACCACAAACAATGAACTTAACTTCTAAGTGGTTTTTACAATTCTAAAGCTACCACGTTTAAAACATAGCTATTTTAAGACTCAGTGGGTTGCCAAATAATACATCTAAAGAAAATACATAATAGTTTCACATGTGAATGCACTTATAATGTGATCCTGTATATATCTGGGCCTTACTCCCATGTAAACAGATCACAGCTTTAGCTCATGAACATGTGTTTGCTTTTCAAACATATAGAAGAAATAAATACAAATAACTTTTATGTATCCTCTCCTATGGTGGCTTCCTGCTTCTGGAATGCTCTCCCCAGGGAGTTCACCTGGAACCTTCGTTACCTATCTTTAGTGGCCAGGCAAAAACGCTCCTACTCTCCCAAGTCTTTGACTAATTAAACAATCTATGGCCTTTTAAAGTGTGTATGGGGTAGTTATTCTTTTTGTTTGTTATTATGGTATGTATTTTTGTGTTTTTATATTGTAACCCACTCTGTGATGGATGAAGGGCGGTATAGAAATTTTATAAATAATAGTAATAAGAGTAAGAACTCTTATACAGGTGGGACTTAGCTCAGGGTTAAAATACTAAAGGGACTAGGGCTTGCCGATCAGAAGGTCGGCAGTTTGAATCTCCGCGACGGGGTGAGCTCCCGTTGCTTGGTCCCTGCTCCTGCCAACCTAGCAGTTTGAAAGCACGAAGTGCAAGTAGATAAATAGGTACCACTCCGGTGGGAAGGTAAACAGCATTTCCGTGCACTGCTCTGGTTCACCAGAAGCGGCTTAGTCATGCTGGTCACATGACCCGGAAGCTGTACGCCTGCTCCCTCGGCCAATAAAGCGAGATGAGCGGCGCAACCCCAGAGTCGTCCGCGACTGGACCTAATGGTCAGGGGTCCCTTTACCTTTACCTAAAATAACTAAAGTAGGGAAGGGAAGAAAATTGTCCCATTTCTGCCAAATCAAAAGGTTTTCCATATTCTTCAAAAGCACTAGGTTTTGATAATTTTTTGGCAGGAAGCATATTGTGCTAAATGGGCCATCGGCAAGGTAAATCCTATTCTCTTAAAAATGACAGAATTTGGCTTTAAGCAGGCAAGTCACCTTTAAACAGACAATTAGATTTTAAAACTCTTAGCAAAATAGAATGATCCAATTTGTTGTGGACCAGGCAGAGCAAAAATTAAATTAACACTGCACACCCTGAACTGTAGCAAAGGCATTTCTCAGTTGACAGCTTTCTGACAATAGAATTTTGTGCAGATCATACATTTTCCCTACTTTTAAGCTCTGAAGCAACATGAAATACTTATCACAGATTCTCACATCTTGCAAATTTCAAATTATTTATTTTAGATGAGGTTGGACTTCAAATTGAAGCCCATTCCCACACTCCAATCCCCACATTGTGTTAGTTAAAAAACCCAACAACCCTAGTTTTTGTAGAATCACACACACATGCTGTAAAATATATATACCACTAGAAATAACTGTAATGTTAGTCTGTAGATAAGGAACAGTTTTAAGCTGATCTGCTTACTACAGCATCAGTGCTGTATACTTCCTCTATCTGTTTAAGATTTTTGGCAGAGCAAGCTGAAAATGGAATTTAAGGCATTTTTTGTCTTGCCTGAATTCTCCCGGGGGGTCAGGACCTGAATCCCAAAAAGGATATGAATGGGAAGAGAAATAGTGCTTTTGGTTAATAACATTGTAAATGGACTCTTTGTTAGTGGATTCTAGATGAAATAAGATGGTCTGGGTTAAGACCAGAGGTCAGGCTACATTATGAAAATGGACCTTCCTAACTGCAGAAAGTCTTACTAGCCGTTTTGGCTTTGTTATATTGCTCTCTCTGCAAAATGTCTCTGAAAACCCTTGGCTGGTTTGCTGTAGTACAGATTGCTTCTGAAATTTAAACACATGGTAGAAAGTAGCTCAGCTACTGGGTACCGCTCTACCCATAAAACCTGCTGCATACTTTGATGGCTTTTGTTTGTCTGTTTTTGTAAAAATTAATATCAGAATATTTAACGCTGGAACTTTAAATATAGCCCACTTAGTGATCTAATCCTACAGAATACTAGGTTTTGTCACTCTCATAATGTGGAAAGATCACAGCTGCAAGCTTCAATCAACTAACCCAGGGATGTGAAATCAGCTAAAGCTTTAATGACCAACTAAAAATCTGCACAATTAATCAGCTAGGCCAAGAAGTAACAGAAATCTCACATGGGGAGTCCTGAATGCTTCAATAATGTGCAACATACCATTTCTCTCCTCCCTTCACTAATTTGGACTAAACAGAATTTGCTTCCCCCCATCCTCATTCCAGTTTGTATCTGGGAGGCAAACTATAGCTTCCAAGGAACAAACCGCTAACAGTGCTCGATTGAAATCAGTGGGCAGGATTCACCTAACCAACCCCATCAGCAGAAGCCCTGTGTAACGACTTCCACTTGCATAATGGGGCTTCCTCCTCCCTTCCAAAGTACCCCCCCAAAATTGGTTGGGGGTTTTACCTCAGAAGAAACCCCAGAATAGTGCCTCAGGGGAGAAGACCAGGCAGGGGGAAGAGGGAGCCCGACTGCACATCGAATTCCACTCAGTATGTCTTTTAAACCTAGATCTTGCATAAAACTGATAGGCTGTGAACTTAAGGTTTTCCCCTAAGCCATTTTGTTTCTGATGATTTGCTGCAATCGGGAAAATTCCATATTCTCAATTTCCTGTTTTTAAAAAATGAACGCCAAATTGGTGGGCTTTTAATTCTAAACGATGTAACGTAGCTTTCATTTGTTACACTTCCAAACTCTCCACACATGACTGAAAGTGTCCTTTTCCTTCACCCCAAGCCTGACTTCCCAGTCACAAGACGCCAAACAAGGCTTTAAATCTTGAGGATTTCATTGTTGTTAACAGTCTTGCCATCTCTCAAAGTTCACTATATATAATGAGTTGGCTTAAGTGCCCCTTTTATCATCTGGCTTTCGACCTCCTCTGGGTCCATGAGGGTCAGACGCTTGATATTCTCCAACAGAGTGAGGGTTGGAGAATTACTCCAGCATTAAAACGAAAACACACGTTCTCATGAATTTCTATAACAAATGAGGTTTGGAGTGAAAGATTAATTAAATACACTTGAGATAATCACAAAAGCTCTCTGGACTACAAATGGCTCCCCTGCTGCAGAAGAACCAAGATATGCCCCCCCCCCAAGCACTTGCAGGTTCACTGAGGTGGACACACATATGGTTTTTTGTCTTTGAAGGATCTTGAACAAAAGATGCATGACACCAAAAGAGAACCAGTGCATAAAATCAGAGACCAATGAAAATCATCACACTATACAGGTAATCTTCCTGCTGCTTTTGTCCAACAACATAATAGGTGTAAAAGAAATGAAGACACCAAGCAGCCAACAATACTATCTATTTGGCAGGATCTTCATGATAAACCAAGTGTTCAATTCAACATCACAGCAGATGCCACAGCGATAGCATTTCATACCTTCATGCAAAAGCACAGCAAATGCAATAAAGTCACTTTAAAGTGTGTAAGATTTGTCAAACAACACTGAAGAAAAACCCAGAGAAAGTGCATTATATAACCAAGGAACTCAAGCTTAGGAAAACTAGCATGTATACTTTATAGAATATGACAGAGGGAAAGTGGAAGAGTCTGAGTTCTCTTAGGGCCTTTCTGCACTTACCGTTATAGTGGTAGAGTTGTTAGGTTTGGGGCACTTTTTGACTACACAAGATTGGCATTATTCAGCTAGTATTCTGGAATAATGTACTAAAGAAGCTGCCTTTTCTTGTGAGGCTAAATAAATAAATAAATAAATATTCTGACTCGGGAAAGATCCAAAATGGATCTTTGTGTGACATGTGAACAAGCATCGTCCTATTTTCTGTGTGGAGGGTTGGTGGTTGTTGTTTGGGAGGAATCTGTTTCCCAACACTTCCATCTGATGGGTGCAAGCAGCTCAGAGGAGAGCTTTGGCCAATGCAGAGTCCAAGTCAAAGTATTGTCCTGACAGCAATCATTAGCTGCATGCAAAATTTCATTGCAGCAACTAGGTTTGCAGTAGCTCAGGCAGACACGTAATTCCTCTTCTAGTCTCCTAGACAACCACAAAATTGCAATTCTGGAATACTAGGCATTAAATACCCTGCCCTGAAAAAGAAATCCAGGAAAGGGCTACCCATGCCCAGAATGGCAACATTTTCTGGCTGAAGGAACATGAGGGTGTGACTACAGCCATGGAACAATTCTCACTTCAGATGCAACCTTTACTTTTTTGTGGAGAAAAAAACCAGCCCTTAATCTTTATTAGGAATCAGATTTGTTACTGAGCTCTCTTCCTGAAGCTTCTGATTTCACTCACCATTTAAAACTGTACTCTGCTTTTCACCTGACATGTTTCCTCAGATGCAAAAAAGTTATTTCCTGCAATTCCTAGAACTTTCTGTGGCCTAAGGTAGCTGGTGTTCACCGGAGCTACTCTTCTTTAACTGGGTCCAACAGCAGTCACACAAAGTAATTAGTACAAAAAGCAGGTCCACCAAAATGATTATCTTGGGGTAGCACAACTGCATTGTATAGCACAACTACGGCAACCATTGCTGAATGTTTACTTTAAAAGAGGGTGGGGAATCAAGCCCTGCTGTCATAAAGATAAAGCTGCAAAAAAATGTCCAATCTTTGGGCTTCATGTTTGGATGGATATGAAATTAGATTAACAGATGCTGGCAGGTTCCCTGCTGTGGCAGTAGGAAGAGAAAGACCTAAACTGGCCAGATGGAGGAAGATGGAAGCAAAGGGTAGCACTGGAGAGTGGTTGCGTGGGTTTGGTCCTAATCCTAATAAAGGTATTCCTTCATTTGCTTCTGAATATTAAACACATGACAGAAAGAAGCTCAGCTGCTGGGTACTGAAGGGCGAAGGAGGGGACTGGCTTCTCATTTGAAATCCAACCCTTTAATGAGAGTGCACTGCGGGCTTAAAGATAAAGGGAGCCTTTGATCAGAAGCAGAGCCTTGCTGCATATGAGGAGTGACAAAGACATACTGTGAAGGGCAATGGACACTTGGGCAGCCATCTAAGGGAGTTGTGCAAGCACACAGTGTGTGGTACTGGAAGCAGCATCTGAGCCATAACCCTCCTTGTGTCACAATGAGGACTTCAGGACTTTGAAGTCCTGTCCCTCTTCTAACGCACTTGGGTAACGTAACCATTATCAACCCGCAGGGGAGAGGGGAACTTTGAAAACATACTAAAAGGAAAAATCTGATTTTAAGATAGATCCCACTAAGGTGACTATTTTGGCAGGAGAACGCTGCAGAAAAGACAATGTCCATTCAGCCACTTTAAGGTCCCAACAGATAGTCATGGCCAGGTATTTCAGCTGTTTTTTAAGGACATCAAACGTGGGTTTGGTTTTAAAGGTGCTGTCAGCTGAAACCACTGGCTTGCTTTGTAAGTTTGCTATCCAGTGCTCTAACCACTATTGGGCACCCTTCAGCAAGGATTAACTTTGGCAAGGAGTGACAATCATTTGCTGGAACCGTGCACTTCCCTTGATGCCAGTGATGCAGATAAACCAAGTGCACTAGAGGCAGGCTTTTCTTACACAATTTATAGAACAGCATGCCTGGGTTTATTGCCTTGGTATGTTCCGTGAGACTGTGTTTAATTGCTATGGTGTAAGAGTCAGTGAAAGCAGGCTGAAAGACACAGATGTGCAGCTTTCTAACTGATTAGCTAAAAGTAAATGAAACCAAGAGACCCTCACTAAGTAATGATTTTCCCCAGAGTAAAGGGCTCCACTTATGTTCATAGTCTCAACCTCTATATCCAGATACAAATGCTGCCTGCTTTCATTAGCAGAGACGAGAAGACAGAATTTGAGGCTCTGCCTAATTAAATCTAGCATATTATTACTGAGCCTGCTTCGACAAATATACAGGCTGAACGGGGAAGGTGGGGAATCTGTATGCAGAAAGAAATACATATCTATATTTCACAGAGATATATTTGCATTCATACTGATTATCCAAACTTCAATTTGATGCAAAGGAGGACAATGCTCATGTACCTAGAATAGCTGGACTGAAGAAGGAATTTTAACAGGTACAGGTTGTTAGGGAGGGATAAGAAAAGCTGTACCTGATGAGCCTCTTCAATACAAGTTATTTCATACAGGAGTTCTGACCTTTATATATAGTCATTCTATCTGTGATGGATAAGAGGAAGGGAAAATCAAGACAACACGCTGAGGCTTAAAAGCTGCAGAAATGCAAGGAGCAAAGTCTGAGAGCAAGGTTGTTCTAGATAATTGGAGGATGACCTCTATTTGCCAGAACAGCAAGCAATAGGTACACACAGCACAATTTCCTTTGGTAGTGAGATAACCACATATATTCCTTATTTAAACCAATACACATGGTACTCAATGTGTTAATAACTTCTAATTCAGCAGGTTTTGTTTTGTTTCTTTCTCCAGTCCCCTTAATGTTTTTTCTAAAATTAAATGTAGCACCTTAAAGGCTCAAGGTAGAAATGTTTCCCTACTAGCTGCTGAACATTTACAGTTTTCAATGTTGAACAGGAATCCATTCATTTACTTTTAACCTACTAAACTGAAATAATTGCTAGAAAGGCATGGAACTCGGTTGAAATTTCTCCATCACTAATAGTGTAATCTCTATGTATGTCTGCTCAGAAGGGAGTTCAATGACACATGCTCCCTGGCAAATGTGTATAGTGCTGCATCTTTAAAAGTACACTTCTAGAGCCCTGGTACTGCCATGCACAAAGGAAACAACTAGACACACACGTACTATTATTTAATTATTCAAAGAAGATTCTAATGGGCTGTTAACAAGAACTGCCTTCCCAGAGTGTGTGTACAGCACTTGTAGGCTTGGGAAGGCTGGATGAATATTTTATAAACACTGATGGGGAGCCAAACCTATTTCCAGGAGAGTTTTCCCTTGCTTTGGCAATGTGAGGAAACTGAAAGAGAAATAACCCATTAATTTGCTCCAAGTCTAACGACTGCAAAACAAACAAACAAACAAATAAATAAATATGCAGACATGTAGTCATTCAGTAAGTGATATAAGTGCCAAATTGAATGAACCACAAATGTGAGGACTGAAATATGGTTCTGCTGAAAAGCTAATCATCTTAGGCTTGTAACAATATAGCACTAAGTAAGCATCCCTCCAGCGTAAGGATTTATGCTTGCGCAACAGGACTTTCTGCCCCTCTGTACCCTCTCCAAATATGCTCCAGAGAGTGGGGGAACCTGCAGGAAAAATTTAGGGGCCATGCATGGAGAGGTGAGAGAAAGTCCTGTTGTCCGTGTAAATCCTTGTGCTGGCTGGATGGTTACTTAGCGTGACATTGAATACAAGCCATTATCCTCATGTCAATCTCTACCCTTGATTTTGAAGCATTTATCTCCCATTTCTGCATATGGGGAAAGACTAGCAAATTCTTTATTTTCTACCAGTGGACATCCAGTCTTTTTCTTCTTGACAAAGAAATTTGTCTTTGTCAAGGAATAGGACTGCTACCCAGGCCTATTCCACAGAAACCAGTGGCTGCTGCTTCTTAGGCACAGAACCAAAAATTCTAGAACTTATTCTTTCAAGAGTCAGATCTTCCTGAGATTTTAGTTGTAACTTCTTACACATTAGCAAAACTGCTTCTCTCTAGCAGAAGAGCCAGAATCAATCACTTATGGACTAGTTGTACTGCATAACAAAAAACAAATTGATCCAGATTTATCCTTAGCAAATGAAACTACAATCCTTTAAATCAGGGTTGCAGGAGAGCAAGGCAGACAACTCTAATAAGCCACTTTCTTTCATCAGAGCACACTGCTGGATTCCTAAGTGTACGTGAGGAACATCAAATCCTTCCCTGTCCCTAATGTAAATCTTAGGTCTAGCTCATACAGTGGATAATATCACATCATAAAGAAAACATGGAACTAAGAGCCTTTTGCTCATAGTGCACATGTCAACATTCATAGGATCTTGGCAACCACACATGCATTTACTCTGTAGGAGCTGCAAAACACCACTCATAAGAGCTAATAATTTTAATGTATGCCGTGCTAGACTGGCATCCTTTTAAACCAAATTGGACAGGCCCTTTTTATGTAGGCCATGCAACTGTTTTCACACTGTGGTCCAGCAACCCCTGAAGTTTCAGTCCATCTAAATGTACAGCTTTGTTCTATTCAGTTTGTACATCAGTACAAAATATGCTAGACTAAAGGGCAACTGTCAGCTTTAAAGTCTGAGTAAAAGGCTTTTTTGTTTTGACATTGCACAGAATATTGCTCTGGTTCTATCATTTTTATGTCTCCAAAATTGTCAGACTTGGGTTTCTTGACACTTTCCAGTTTTGATTGTTAATATTATTAGATCTCATAATTCCAGTCTGAATTCCGTTACACAGTAGTTCTTCTGGAAAGCATAACAAAAACCTTACAATTCCCTTTCCAAGGTGAGATGTGTCTGACTTCAAGCAGTAAAAATCTGTCTTCTATTTGCCCAAACAAAACATGGGTCAGGATGAAGCCAAAGCTGGGCTATATAATGCTACATTCATACATGCACAAATAGAGCCTAGATTAGATTCAGGCATTATTGGTGCTGTTCAGTAATGAGTTTGGTTAACATCAGAGGTCCACAAATACAGTAATCACAGATCACTAGCGGCAAATTTGAGGAGGGTTGTAGCTCAATCAGTGAACATCTACCTTGCATTCAGAAGGTCCCTGGTTCAATACAAGATCTTTCCAGGTAGAGCTTTGTAAAATCCTTGCCTCAAACCCTGGAGAGCCATTGCCAATCAGTGCAGGCCGTACTGAGCTAGATGGACCAATGGTCTGACTCAGTATAAGGCAACTTCCTATGTTATCAACCAGAAATTTAATTCTGGTGGTCACCAAAAAAAGCCTTTTGTTTATTTTGCTACTTGGCAATGTAAATGCTTGGTTGCCAAGCTCCAGGACCAACTCAGCAATAGAAGCAAATGAGTCAACTCCATGAAGTTTCAAGATCTCAAGGGTACCAGCCTCAGCCATGTCTGAGAGAGAGACAGAGAGAGGTGCTGCCCATGTTTTAAAATGAGGTTCCAAGTTGCAGCTTGCAGCTGGATTACATACCCTGTGTTTCAAGGTTCTTCTGAGCTCTACCAACTTTACGGGGCTTGATTATAATTATAATAGGGAGGAGTAATGAATGCAAAAAATGTATTCTGATCCAAAAATGTATATTGATCCAATTTAAAAGCATGATCTGATACACATTTACTCACAAGGAAGCCCTGCCAAGTCCAAACCAAAATGTGTGGGCACTTGGTTATCCTAGAGCAGAAATATAATTTTGGTTCTTTAATGATCAAAAGTAGATCAATCTGCTACCCTTTATATCGCTGGGAATAAAAATACAGTTAAAAAGGTAGGAGGGAGGATCTATACATAAGGAAAGTAAGTTTGCAAAGTAATATCAGTTAAATAGTTACAACAAAATAAGGCAGGGGAAAGCATCAGCAGAAAATACAGCCCAAACCCTACTAAAATATTCAAGTCCAATGCAAACAAAGACTTTAGATGGGGCAAGAAGGCTAGAGAGTGAATTATTTCTCTCTCATCCTATGAATGTAGCAGCTTCTGTAAGCTCAACGGGAGGATGAAGCCTTTTCTTGCCCAGGATTCAACTAACCCCAGAATACCAAGGGCACCAAAATGCATCCTCATTTCCCAGAGTTCTGTATTGTGACTCCTGCCAACTGAGATTTCCCAAGCCAAAAGGGGACTGTTTTTATTATTGCGGTGAACAAACTTTGAGTGCTGGGGACACAAGGGTTCAGGGACACTCTTTGGTTCTCCAAAAGCTGGGCTACAGAATGATCCTGGCACCTGCAATCTGATCAGCAGACAGTCTCTGGCATCTGCTGTCAAAAGAAATTTGGTGCTGCCCTTTTGCCTGTCAGCCAGACAACCCCTGGAAAAAATGGGGGGGGGGGGGTATTGCTTTGTGTCTGACTAACATTCTCAGGAGAACAAAACAACTCCCACCTCCAGTTGTGACCAAAGGCAAATGTGGACCTTTCTATGATGCAACTGAAAAATGGATGCTGTTCCAGAGAGACACATTTCCAAAACTAGGGCACTTTTAGACACATTTTTATAGCGGAAAACAATAGCTGCTCTCAGGTTATAGGTTAGGGTGCTATAATGAACACAACTTTGAAATGCAACCTGGTGAGGATTTTTTCTTCTTTTTAAAAATGCCTCTTCCCTGTTATAGACTGTTGTTAACACTAGGCTCTAGCGTAGGGAGAGGCAACCTGATGTCTTTTTCCCCTCGAAAAGCACCCTGGTCCACTCATGGAACAACTCTCCTACGGATGGTTCACCTTCTGGTTGGTCACTGTAAGAACAGGATGCTGGACTAGATGGGTCCTTGGCCTGATCCAGCAAGCTTTTCTTATGCTCTTAACACATGTAGCTTGAGGGAATGGGGCAAGCAGAGGATGGGGCCTCTGGCCTGCACGAATGCAGAAGATTGAGCCTTTCATTCACCAGACAGCCTTCAGTTCTCCCACGTGTGCATAAACACATGCAACTTCTCTGTATCTCAGTGTTGTTAAGTGGTAGCAACAGCAAAAAAAAATGCAGAAGCCTATCATGCATACATGCGCAGCAGCAGCAGCAGCAGCAGCAATAGCAGCTCAAACATTATGGTCAACCCTTTCAATGGACCCATTCCCTACATCAGAAAGAGTAGGCTATCTGCCAATGCATCTGTCTATACATTCTCTCCCCCATTGAAAGGGTTAACTTGGTGCATGCTTATATAATGCCAGCGCTCCCAAGAGACAAGCCTTCAGCTGACACTGCCCCATCATGCCTGTGTAGTCTGCCAGCTTGGTACAGTACCTGAGGTTGGAAGAACTTCAGAGTGTGCAGCGCCAAACACAGGGAAGGGGAACATGAGGAAAGAAGGGAAAGAGAGAACACAGGAATATATAAAACCACAGCACAAACATGGTACATAAACATGGCAGGCTGAGGCTGTAATAAAGAGAAGGTGTGTTAGTCCGCCATATTCCACGGCTACCCCCAGCCAATCTTTACCATAAATGACCATCCAAACCAACGGAGGGAGACACAGTTGATTTGGTTTCCTTCACCTTATCTTCATTTCTTGGGGCAAAAGTTCCGCAGTTTGTGGTTTTAAATTCAACCAAATGGGTCTTTCACATCCTGTCAGCTTCCATTTGAGTCCTCTAAATGTCAGGACAAATTCTATTCTACTGCAACTTGGCCGCAAGCTCATTATCGATTCTTAGACACTTATGATGGATGAGACAATAGGCAATGCAAATAACCACAGGAATACTGTATTTCATTCGCATCCCCTGGCTCAAATAACGTCTGCGAGAAATGGAAGCTGTGGCTTGGATCTTTATTTCCATTTATAAATGCCTCCCCTGAATCGGTAGGAGAAAAGAAAATTGGCAAGGCTCCCTCTAGGCAACATGCTTTTGTGCAATTCCAAATGCTTAGCTGCGTATTGCGGAGTGTCTGATGGGCCTAAACGTTCTGCCTACGGAGACTGCTCAACATTCATTAATAATCTGAGTGGTACACATCTCCGCTTTTATTTGACGATCCTGCAAAACCTCACTCATGAGATTCCACTGAGGGACAATTCCCTTGACCCACAAGATCACTACAGTATTTATGAAAACTTTGCTGAATTCCAGTTGTGTTGCCACATACACTGAGGCAGTCCTGCATTACCGACACCACATGCAGAAGTCAATGTAGTTTGGGGTTTCGCACACTGCTTTGAACACTCACAAAGCAACAATAATCCCAGTATGAAGAATCTTCTGCATCTGGTGGCAGTCTGCACACTGTCACTTTAACACATGACAGCTATGGGTAGAATTCAGCATGAAAATGAAAGAGTACCTTGGCTACTAGAATGCTACCAGGAGGGTGTTTTTCTTTTTTAAGCATAAGACCACAGTTCACCTCCTTTGTTGTTCAAACTGTTCCATAAGTTCCATTAAATGTTGCAGGGCCTACAAAGCTCTGGCTCTCTGTAGCAAAGCAACTATACTTGGGTATCTTGGAAAGATAAGCAAAGGTTTGGGAGAAAGAAAGAGTAGTTTTGAGTATATCAGACCTTTACAGAATATCTTTATTTTATATGAATGTGTGTGTATGTATGTGTGTGTGTGTGTGTGTATATATATATATATATATATATATATATATATATATATACACACACACACACATATATATATACACTATATATATATATACTATATATATATATATAGTTGTTTTAATGCAATAGGCTGGGAGACACTGGACTCGATTACTGTGATGCAAACAGCACCAGCAATAGAGTAATCACCTCAATTCAGACATAACAGCAATTCATGGTTTGTCATTATGAGAATTAGCCAAGTGTCAGGCTTGCTTGTTCCTCCTTCCCCTTCCTTTCTCCACTGAACACAAGGGGTGCAGATCTGAAGCTTTTACTTCAAATTTGTGCTAAACCATACGTTTTCATTTCCTCTAAATGTGGCAAGCTATGGTTTATGGAACCCATAATTTACAATAAAACCAGGATCTCAAATGAGAATCTAGCTGTGGTTTGGTATCCCAATTTGATTGTAAACAACGGTTTGCATGCAACAGTTTGCCACATTCTGTTGAAATGACAAGCCATGGTTTGCTGCAAATCAGAAGGAAAAATTTCTAATTCACCGCTCCCCAGATTTCTTCTACAGAAATTGTTACAAGAAAGCCTTTTTAGACTGCTATGATTGCTCTTGGGCTAATTCAAATTACCAGCAACATAACAAATGCATAGATGCTATACAACAAATCCAGGAAAAATGTGTCTAGAAATAAGATTCTGAACCATTATTTAAATTCTCCACTCTTCCTCAAAGCAGTTTTGCAAATTCTAAGAAAAATCAAAATTTAGTGCGGGAAGCACCTTCAGAGTTCAAAAGTTGCAGTGCATTCACTAGCTATTGTCAACCAGAACATTACCCCCCCCCCTTTAATACAGTATGGGAAGAAATATCTGATAACATTATCAGCAAGTGCTATATATAACATACCCGGAACCTGCCCACTTATAGAAATATGGGAAGCGATTCATTTTTAAAATGAGTATTCAGGGAAATACTTTTCCCACATATTACCATTCAGGAGATAAAAAGCAAGGGCTCATTAAATACTGTGAGAGACTGAGCTGAATTTGGGGGTCTTTCTGGAAACGTTACAGAATGTTAAGAGTCAGCTTTGTTTTGCACTCACTTCCCAGAGGGCTACTGAACTTTCACTTAGCTTGACAGATATTTCACAAAGAGTATTTTATCCTTTTACAAGTCTGCAAGTTGTGGCATTTTCCTATGGAGGGTCGTTTGTTGATTACAGCAGTGATGGGAAAGGCTGTGCATCTCTAGCTCATTTTTTTGCAGTTTTCAGGAGGCTATTGGATGCATCTGTTTTATAAGTTTCTCTATCAATAAGAAGTATTTAAGCCTGATTAATAGTATATCAAGTTGCAGAGATGTTCTTACGTTGTGTGAGCTGATTGCCTTACAGAAGAATGGATTATTATTACAAAAGCTAACAAAGGATATACAATTTCTATTAAAAGTATTCACATTCTGTCTTCTTTCTTTCAAATGCACGTAACTGCTTAATTTTGTAACAAAGCACATTCCCATAACTCTCCAACAGCTGGGAGATTTTGTTGGTCTTCATTCCCTGGTATATACAACCGTAAAGACTGTTACCATGTAGGAAACCTTTTCTCTAGAAAGTACTATTTCCTTAGCATAAATGAAAAGAAATAATTGTAGAACATATTGTAGATTATCCTCTAAAAACTTCTACATTTTCGTCTTAATTGTACATTAATATCTCATTGCAAAAATACTTGTCTTCTGGGCAGTGCAGATCTGTCCTGGGGAGGCGGGGAAGAGATTGCATAGCAGAGCAACTGTTGTATTCACAGCCCTGTCAGCATCTGCCCGAAGTCACTCAATGAGTTTTATTGCCAAGCCCTTATTGAAGTCAACAACTGGCAGCCTTGTCCAATACCCCTAAGAACTTTTGCTAGCCTTAATAAAAACTCTCTCTCTCTCTCTTTGCTTCCCTCAGAATAGATGGGTATTTTGATCAAGCAGCATCATTGGTTGAACAAAATGGCCCCCTCACCACATTTATTTTGTAAGCAGTGTAACAGGAGAGGTGGTGTCTTCTGGACAGAGGGTCATGAAGGGCAGAAAAATAAGGGACTTACCCGAGGTAGCAAACAAAGCTCTTCCCAGCAGGCTGCTGGCAGCCATTTTCTTCTGCCAGAATCTATCTGGGAACGACAGTAGGTGATGACAAAGTGTCATTCCCACGAGACTTCTGGGATGAAAATGGCGACTGCTATACCAAAGCACTGCATTATCATGTAAAGTTGTTTTCATATGGGTTCTAGTAAAAGAAAAGGTGATCTTCCAACCAGAGACCACTGGAAATAATTCTATTCTACTGCTGTGAAACTGCCAAGGAAAAGGGAGTAAGCAAAGGGAGATGCCATGGTGCCAGGGGTGTGCCTACCGACCCCAAGTGGCCTGGGTGTTTCCTAAAAGGCTAGAAAAGGTCAGGAAGGACATAAAACCTTCAAGGCTTCTTTTAGGGGGAAGGAACCTAGTTTGGTAGTGGGGTTAGTCTGGAACCTGGCTGGAAGTTAGGAGAGATAATGTGGGGTGCTGGTGGTGGTGGAGTCATGGGGTTCTGTTCAAACCCTTTCCCCCTCTTGAGCTGTTGTTTTAAGCTAGCATCAGTCCAGCCTGCTTGCCCAAAAGCCAGTTCTTCTCTACTTGTTTAGTGCAAATCTGGTATACCCTAACCTGAAAAACATGTCAAGTTTCAAAAAAGGGAGAAAATTATACTTAATGGACCTGTGAGTGGGCAGATACATAGCGAGCCAATCAACACAATATACAAGAAGCTGGATGCCAATGTCAGTAAAATAAAAACTTGAGAGCTGCTTAAAATCTGAAATTATTATGGCAAGCAAGGTGGTGGTGGTGAAAATGATTGCTTATCAAATAAGTACATTTAAAGGTAAAAATAAACCTCAAGTAAAGCAATCTACTTTGCAAAAGACCCAGAAGTGCCAAACACAAACAGTTACTGGCATGTTAGTCAACTTTGAAACCTGTTAATATTGGATAAAATCGTGTCACAAACATATATTTGAGAATCAGAAAGAGAGAGAGAGAGATGGAGACAGAGAGAATGAAATACTATTATTGCCTAAAAACTTGAATGGGTTAAAAAAATGATGATTAATTTTAAAATATAAAAACTTAAATTATTATTATTTATTAAATTGGTATACCACCCCATACACACAGGTATTTAGTTGAAAAATAACTAAATTATAAATACTAAGTTTCTCATAATCATCTAGTTTGACATTAAGTAATGAGGCTACAGGCATGCTCGTCCACCCTTGAATTTATCAACTAGCCTGGTTGCTCTAGGCAACAAGGAATTCCATGCAGGCAAGTGAGTGGGATGGCCAATGGTGGAAGAACCACTGTACATCTCCTTTGCCAAACCCAAGGAGCCTATTGAGGTTCTCTCTCTCTCTCTTTTTTTTTTTTGCAAACTCATAATTTGTGGTGGTTTAGTTACAGTGTTGTGTTAACTCTACAGTCAATCTCTAACCGCATGTCTTCTACCCAATAAAGATGGCTTTTATATGTAAATGAAAAACCAAGCTGATCGTTTCTCACTAATGGAGATTTACACTCCACCTACCAAACATAGGCACTTTATCTTCACCAGATGAAAATAAACTGCTTTAGTCTGCCCAATAACAATGAGTCCTGCTTTGATCTATCAGCCATAAGCACTTCATTTTTGTTTGCTACTCCCCCCTCCCACCGCCCCGTGAGGGTGCGGCTGGGCCAAGTGAAGCAGAAAGGAGCAATACTGGAAAGAAGAACTGAAGTCCACATTGTACGGTTGTGAAGGTTCCTACATTTCTATCCTTAGGATACAGTCATAAACACATTTACTTGAAGAAAGCCCCTTTGAAGTCAAGGCTACTTGCTTCTAAGTAAACATGCAGGATTGTGCTGTTAACCTTGCAAACTGTCATCTGCATAGTTTCAGAAAGAATCTATATGGAAATATTTTAAAGAGATTCTTTCTATTGGTAAAAGAAAAGAAAAACATGCAAAATGCATATTGTTTGACTATGGGAGGCAAGGCTTGGTTGCAAAACTGAAACAATAGTATAATTAATGCTCTGTTTCAGACATAGGGAAGTTGTTGTTCTCCAAACATTGTTGGACTCCAGTTCCCATCAGCCCCAGCTGATATGGACAGTGATCAGGGATGATGGGAGCTGGAGTCTAACATCCAGAGGGCTACATTTCCCCTATTCCTGTTTTAACTAGTTGTAAATGAACATGGTCTACTGGTCAGATCTGCATCACACTTTAGGAAATATGAGACGAAATATAAATGGGAAACTTGATTCAATGACAGTCTTTTCCTTGCTTATTTAAATAATTTGAATCGCCTTAGTTTAAATCAGTCCACCCTGTCTAAAATTAGCAACTGTATGCCAAGAGTGATGCTTAGCCATTGGTACCTTCAAACAACCTGCTGGATAAAGATATCTTTTAGACCCAAATGATGCAACTAACTATTTTGAAAAACAATGCAAGATATATATGATACCCCTGAACTGCTTTTCTGCAATGCACTCATTATTTAAAAATAATACAGCTAAATCCATCATTCTTGAATATAAATACTCAATTTAACACCAATAAAACACAATGGAAACGTTAATACATAGGACAGCACTGCTATTTAAAAATGTGGCTGGGGTAAAAAGGAAACACATTCAAATCATTTGAATACATTTGATAAACAACAAAGGTTATTAAAAGCTCATTCTTCCAGTATTTGCACTGAAAAAAGTACTTAATAGAAGCTTAAAGGAAAGCTGACTATAGAATAAAATCGAGAGGTTTTGCATAAAAGCTGCTTTGCAATTTTTGTTATCAGCTGTTCCTTTGAAACACACAATCCTTTTAAAATGTCTTTTATAGTAGGGAAATCTGTATTCTCACATAGCAGGAGAAATAATTTATGGTAAATCATTTCACAAAGGAGAAGCAGTGGGAAATGACGTGGAATCTTTTATCAATGTTATCTTGCACCTTTTGAAAAAAGAGAGTATGCCTACAGTACAGGGAGAGGCTAGGGTCTGGGGAAAGAAATGAAGACTTGAAATGTTTCACATGAGGCAGAGATGCAAAGGACAGGCAGCATGAGGCTCTTGTACTTATTTATTTCATAAAATTTATACTCCGCTTGATTGTTAAAAACTCCAAGCGGTTGTACTCCCTGTCGCTTCCCAGCATCAATGTCACTCCAAAAGCTGTTGTGTGGACATTCTAAATCATGTGACTAACTTCATGTGGAGATGTCTTCTGAATCCAGTGGAAAGCCTACATTTCTCAGATCTTCCCCTGATGTGTGGTCAGGACTGGCAGGGGAAGCAACAGCTGGAGTGGAGCCAATGGGTGCTCTCCTACTTCACACAGTGTTAATTGCACAATTTAGAACTCCCACATAGAACTACATGGAACTTCACAAGTAGTTTTGGTAAGGATTTTATATGGCAATGGGACATGATTAAGAGAGCTACTTTTGTGGGACGGGGAGGGGGCATATTTAAGAGGCTGCAAATGATTCTCGCTCAATTTACAGCAGGCCAAGACCTCACATGTCAAAGGTTGGTTTTTATACAGGCGTGCATGGATTCTGAAATACTCTTGAATGCGGCTCCTATGTCCAGCTTGGCAGGGCACACCTCTCTCACCCCAGTTACACTGGCATCATGTTCTCACTTACCTTCATTCAGTGGAAGTGGTGACTCCCCCGTGGCAGGCTCACCTTCCCCAATCTGTGTCCTGCCACGCAGGTTGAATCTATAGCGTGATATGGGGTCCGTCCTCTGGAGTATAAACTTTGTCTGATTAGGAGAGAAGTTTTCCACCATTGTTCTGCCACTTTTGGATCCATTAACTGGAGAGAGAGGCAGGCTGTGTAGGCTTCAGTCTTGTTTTGAGAAACATCCTATGCTATGCATCTCACCATTTCTCAGTCTAGGCTTACACCTGACAAAAGCATTGGCTTTGTTTAAAATGGGTCATGTTCATTTTAGAGGACTTTTAAGCAAAAACGGCTGGGGAATGTTATGCATTCAAGAAGGAAGAACTTTAATTAAGCTAATTAAACTTTTAGCTCCCATGTAGGCCAAAGATAAAACACCATGTTAGTTTTGCAGGGGCTTTCAAGTCAGGGATTTGTTATGGTGGAGAGCTTTTGCACTAATTATTTGAGCAAAAATTACATTGTTCATGCATTTCCTAACAGTTAGGGGCAGGAGATTTTAGGAAGTTAGATGCATGCTTGTTCAAATTCTATCAAGGGGTGGGAAGGAGGTACATTTTTAGGTGCCACTGGCCATATTCTTGGAAATATCTTCTTATGTCAATAACATTTAACTAAAGAATCAAAATGATCAGTAAGAAAATTTGTCACATGTGTCTGGAAATTAGCCTGTTAGTGATTCCTATGAAATCCTCCTGCACTAAGATATGCAATTCACCTCCCAAAGAAATTCTAAATCCTGAATTCCTGATTTCCCCTCCACTGATTTATTAGTATTGTTTTTTCTAATTCCAGATAAATTAGATTCTAAATCCTGGTTAATAAAGAGACAACAAACAAAAACAAGCACAGGACATACAGGCTTGGTATCTAAGGGTGTATCCAATAAGAATGCCATTGGGGTGTTCAGGGTGTTCCCATTCCATAGTGATGGTTTCCAGGTTTGGTTGGCGGATTCGGAAATACCTTGGGGGACTGGGTGCTTCAGGGAAAGATGGGTCCAAGAGAGAAAAGGGAAGAGGAAAAAGACGTATAAGGTAAGGTAACTTAGAAGGCAGACTGGTCAAGAGTATGCACATAGAAAAGTTTGAGTCTGGTGGCATGGAGAACTTGGTAGGAGCTGTATAAGATGCAGTTTCAGTGCAACACAATCATGCCTGCATATCCATTAACAGGAACCTATCCTACTGTTTCTTAGTTGTACAAATTTAGTCGTTGGTGCACGTGTTGTGCTTCCTTCTGTGGGCTAAGCCGCTCCTATGAGCTTGTCTATTGCCAGATGCAGTTTTCATATAATTAAAAACCTACAGTTCTTACCCTTGCCTGGAACTGTACAGATAACCTAATATGCAAGTGGATTTCATCATTCTATCTCTTTGGGATGGTGCCTTCTTGGCCCATTTGCTTTCATCACAGCTAAAGTCCCTCACCATAACCAGCTCTGTTTCCTATGCTCAAAGCACACAAGGCTTATCTGAGCACAAATCACAACACTCAACTTTGAGCCACATTTTATCCATGATGCTTCATGCAACCAAAGCCAAGGCCATCTAAGTCCTATTGATGCTGATGTGAGAGTTGAGAGGTGGGGGCTCACAAGCAGGGTATTGCAGTATGTAGGAAGAGGCTGCTGGGGAAAGACCCTCTCCTGCCATGCCCTTCACCGGCAGGTATCTGGGTCAGAGAGTAAAAAAAGACAGCTTCACAAATGATGTCAAGAAAATTGCTTTTATAAAGGTAGTTTCCGTCCATGCTTCTTGAAAAGACTGCTTGGAAGGAAATTTCCTTGATAAAGGAGATTTGCTCAAAATGCATTAGGAACTCAATCATTTGTGAAGCTGTTTCTTTGTGTGGGTGTTTGGTCTTTTCCTACAGATGTTTTTAATCCTCCTTTGCCTGCTGCCTGGATGAGATCCACATATGTGTGGAACTGCTGACTGACCCGATGGATGCAGGGCTCTCACCTCCCCTGCATTACAATGAAATGGAATGGATTTTTAAAATTCCTTTCCAATATGCAGCTGGTCAGAGTTTTATGCTGAAACTTCCAGGGCTTACCAGTATAATTCTATGCATAGCAAAAGATCATTTAGCAAGTAGGTAAGTATGGGACGTGGGTGGCGCTGTGGGTTAAACCACAGGGCCTAGGACTTGCCAGTCGAAAGGTTGGCGGTTCGAATCCCCATGACGGGGTGAGCTCCTGTTGCTCAGTTCCAGCTCCTGCCAACCTAGCAGTTTGAAAGCATGCCAAAGTGCAAGTAGATAAATAGGAAGGTAAATGGCGTTTCCGTGAGCTGCTCTGGTTCGCCAGAAGCGGCTTAGTCATGCTGGCCATATGACCTGGAAGCTGTACGCCAGCTCCCTCGGGCAATAAAGCGAGATGAGCGCCGCAACCCCAGAGTCGGTCATGACTGGACCTAATGGTCAGGGGTCCCTTTACCTTTTAAGTGCACTCAAGCAGTGGACCCAGTTCAAGCTTCTGTGTGATACATATAAATGCACAATTTGGCTCATTAGCAAGGCAGAAATCAGATTTCATTCAATCCAGTTACCAAAACCAGCAACAGCTGGGGGGGGGGACCCCAGGATTTCATTTTCTAAAAATTACAACTGGAATGAATTCTTGGAAGAATCTTCAAGAACAAAGATATCTGTCTGGTGTGCAATTCTGTGGTTTTAAGTATCTCTAGAATCATAAAGGCGCTGGTGCTTATCAGTCAAAGCATGGTCCATTAGAGTGATATGAGATGGCAACTGTAAACATTAAAGAAGCTTTCACTGCTAGTTATGAGAACTGATGAAAAGCTATTGATCTAGCTGTGAAAGCAAATACAGGCAGTACTCTCAATTCTACCATAAAATCTATCCTTGAGTATGTTAAGAATCAGATGGAATTTGTAGAGTTAGGTAGTAATTGCAACATAAAACCCTTCCATAGATCATACTGCCACGTGCGGCAATGGATCTCACGACTGCTCCAATTTTACAGAATAAAGCTAAGAGAGACTTGTCTGAGAATACATAAGAGGACAAACAGTAGAGCTAGAAATAAAGCCTGGTGTCAAAAGTCAGTGCATCGTGCTCTGCCCAACTCACCAATTTTCAGTTAGTTTCTTTGTGCATTCATTTGTCTATCATAATCTATTATGTATTATGAGTCTGAAGCTGGTGAAAAACAATCCCATGAATCAGAACAGCCTCAGTCCTTAGGGCTTCACTGTGTTGACTTTTGCTTTGCTCCACACTGCAGGAGCACACAGTAATCTGGCAGCTGAAGCCAGCCTAACTATTCATTTCAAGTGGAAAATCCTTTTTGAAGTCTTTATCAGGACCGATGACATAGAACCTAAGGAGCTCTAAGGCTCTCAATAAGACCGTGTTCTGTTCTACCTTCTTATTTCACACATAAAAGGATGGGATTCTGCCAAGCTGGGCCAATAGTATGCTGAGACCTACCTCCTTCAGGCATTGTGAACTCCAGAGTTTCACTTCGAGGCCCATCTCCTCTCCCGTTGACTACAACCATCTCCAGTTTGTAGTTGCTGTAAGGAAACAGTCGGGACACTATGCCCCGTGTCCGGTCTCCAGTAAAACCCATAGACTGCTTTTTCTTAGAGACCCATAGATTCTTCAGCAAACTACTTTCTCTCCAGAAGTAGGCCTTCAAGAAACATGCAAGGTGAGTGATGTTTTTCCCATTTGAGTATTAACTGGATTTCAAGGACAAAGTCACTATGGATCTTCTTCCACCCAAGGATTAGTTCGATCTCACCAACCATTCCACAGGGGAGGAGGAAGTCAATACTGTTTATTGCTCATTTTACAGATGGGGAGACAGAGACATATGGAAGCTGACTCTTGGTCAAGACCATTTAGGCAGATTATGCAATGGCTAACAAAGAACTGCCCCCTCAGCAAAGACCAGGCTTCTAGGCTTCAAACTGCAGTCTTCCCTCATCTATCACTGATTATTATTATTAGTAGTGGTAGTAGTAGTAGAATGAAATTTTAATTTGTCAAGAATCACTCATGGCCATATATATATATACATAACCAGACTCCAGTACAGAGGCAGAAACAAAACAAAAAAATACCCTATGAATGAAAATTCTCAGATCTGAGAAATGTGCAAATGCTTCAAATATATTTTATTTTATTATTTATTTTATTTATTAGATTTATATCCCACCCCTTATCCAAAGATCCCAGGGCAGTGATATAAATCAATTTTGAAAGAAAGTATTTCGCTGCTGATTTGTGTGAGTTTTTGCTTGTTTTCTGTTTGGTAAGACAGAAAACAGAGAGAGAGGGAAAAAAAACATGAACTTGAGGACAGAACATGTTTGGTTTTCTGGAGACATTTTTTATTATCCCTGAGCACAATCCTTGAATTCTGACTAGGCCGAAACAGAACTTTAGTGTATTGATTAATGACATGCTAAATACACACTGGGGATGACATAGAAGTCAGGGGAAACTGCTCTAGGAGCTGATTTTCTTAACCACATTAAAAACAGTTTGTTGGTTTTGTTTTATAAGCAGAAAGACCTCATAAGATAGCAGCTACTTGGAACTCTCTGTTTCTAACTGACTGAGCAATAACTGGATGTTCACAACTAGGGGTGCTTCCAGACAGGCTGCTCATTCAGAAAAAAATATACCGGTATGTTATCTCACTTTCTAGTGCAATTACTCTGTTACTTTTCTCACTGAAAAAGAAAAGTAATTGACAAGTGTTCTAGAAAGTATGGAGTAACAGCCACTATCCAGCAACCTTGTAGAACCTCCATACAAACATATCAGCATGAATGCTCAATGAACACCTGGTCTAGAAGTTCCCTAGAGATGTCTAGAATGTATAGTGTGTAATTTGGATATGATTGGCTAGGAAGGTATCTGATGTGTTGCCCTATGAATGATCAGAATGTTACATGGCTTCTAATGCTTATGGGAAGCACATTTTTACCGTCCAAATGGTAGAAAAATATCTCTCAATAGCACAACTTTAGAACATGAAATACAACAGGTTAAAAAAATGTGCCAGTCCATAAGAAGGGAGAATCTAATTTGTAATAAACGCAGAGATCAAATTTATTTTTTGCACATGAAATGAAGACTTTTTTTTGCTTTCAGTTCAAGGCTAAGTACAAACTCATGATTTTGAATCAGGAAGAAGCCAATTAACATTCAAATGATCAAAACAGGCTTTCTTTAGAATAGGGGATGAAGAATTGCTAAAATCAAACTTGGATTGGATTCCCTATTGAAAAAGAGCAATTAAAAAAATGCTTTGTCTCTCTGGTCTCCCTTCCTCATTCCCCCAGCCCTACCCCCCCCCCCCAAAGCAACCCTTCAAAACAAATCACATAATTATTTTTTGGGTGGATTCTTGGAGGAAACCACAATTGGCACACTAATTTAAAACTGCTTAAATTTCAAGGAAAAGGCTGGTCTCCTTGCCTAAGCTCTTTGAAGTGGGTGGAGGGGATATATACAACTGGTAATAATATTTTGGTTTCTGTATCTCAGCAATGCCCTTACATACCTGTACTTTATCACCCGCCCACCAACACAACTGCAAATACTTATTGTTTACATAATAATAGTCTTCAGTGCCATTTAGCAATTTCTGGGTGTTTCATGTCATCTCCATTGTGTAAAAGACAATGTAACCATCAGTCATCATTAGTGTTGGGTGTTAGCCACATTAATGTGATTGGGTTTGGGTTTTGCTCACTCTGTATTCCTTAAGTTGTCCCTGGACGGTTTCCGGGTACACTCTACTCCATTGCAGGCTGATTGCTGTGCTGTTTACAACTTTGAGTCTAATATCAGTGGGAGCGGCCTTAGGATCTAAGTTGCCAAGAATAAAGCAAAGCAGATATTAAGCATACACAGAAATTTGAAGAAAATCCCCATTTCCCTCCCTAGATGCTGCAGTGGTTTACCCAAAGAAAATCATGTAAACAGGAGGCTGCTCTTAAACATTGCTGCCATCATGTGGAGATATAAAGCAATTTCAAGTGCACATTTTTGACAAGCGTTTGCATGATGGCGGGATCCATTCTACTCTGGTGCCAGTTTCCTGTTTTTCTCACATTTCTCTTTTCTGCCTACCTCACCAGCGCACTCACAATGTTACAGTGCCCTCATAGGTTTTCACAGTTCACCTGACAACAGAAAACTGCCAACTCTAGAGATTTATACAAATGCCTTTTAAATTCAGAGGTGTTTGATTCACAACAAATCAAGTTCATGCTGTACCCATAAAATCATTTACAACTGAAAGTCCCCACAAGCAGTAGTAAGCAATTTCAGATGGAGAAATGCCCATTTAAGAGGAGAACGCCTCACAGCACAGGCAAGCGGCGGGTCTTAAATTTCAGCTTCAGAACTGTCTCTTTGAGAGAGATTTGCAGAATATTGATATGGTAAATATTTCCATAGGAACCGTTGAGGTAAATTTCTTTATCCAGCAGTTGTTAACCCAGAGAAAAGTTACTCCTGTTGCAGGGAATAAGTGCAGAAACATTTTGTCCATAGCTTTGAGGAGAGTTGGTGGCCTGACAGAGACATATTTGACTCCAGGTGTTGTTGAGCTGCAACTCCCTTTACCCTTGACCATTAAAAGCACTGAGATGGGCCAATGCAGTCCAACAACACACCTGGAAGGTACCATGTTGGGTATCAGTGGTTTAGAAACTTGTTCTTTCCTTCTCTTGGCACTTCTGTTTAAACAGATATTACTGATTTTTGAAACAGTTCCAAAGCCCCCGCCCCCTACAAAACCTGTTTATAAGATAGAACAGTGGGAAAGTATACATGCCATGAACAGCCAAGCTTGTTTCATATCACTCAGCGCCATAAAAACAAACAAACCCCACACAACCACTCTGCCCTAAGTAAAAGGCGGTATGTGATTAAAGAAGTTTCCAGGGAAGAGTTTGGCCTATTGAGTGCTTAGTCATCTACAACCAGAATTTGAAAATGTCTGCATTGTACTATTTACAGGAGTTATAAAGTTCTTTACTTTATCTCATTGTTAAAATAGATTCTACTTGTTGTTACTGCATCCACTGTAGCTTCTTATTGTTCAAAATACCAATGCAGATTATTGCCTTGCTTGTTATTCATTTCCTTTCCCCCCCTTTTTAAAAAAGCGCTTTCCTCTTTAAACAGCAAGGAAGCTACCCCAGCAGGATGAGAGGCTTCCTGGTAAGCAGGCTGGCTGGGCTACAGAGCAGATGGGAGGAAAAACCTGCTTATATATTTTCCCATTCCCTGGGGACAGGATATGATGCTCAGGCCAATGAGGAGGGAAACAGCTGTTGCTGGAAAGTGTTTCCTGTGGCTGAACACCATGTGGTGGGGGACAGCTGATTTGCTCTTACTGCCCCTTCCTCCAGGGCTGGGTAGAGCACAGATAATAGAAAAAAGTGTAGATAACAAAAGACAAAACAAAATGAAAAAAGTCTACCACACAACTGACTGGATGCAAGTTTACATACAATGTATCTGGATAGTTTGAGAACAGTATTTCAGTTTGCAGTGAATATAGGGCTGCCATATCTGGGAAATAGCATCCAGGCGGAATTTACAAAAAATGGAAAAAAATGTGCAGGGAAAGCTGGGTATATGGCAACCCATTCTTTTTGGTGGTGAATTGCTTTAAAAATAGCTCAAAAACTTCAACTTTTTGGGGAGATTTTGAAAACCCCCCCAAAAAAACTCAACAATTTGCCCCCCCCCCGAGCTCAACAACTTTTGTGTCCGGATTTTCACTTTTCGAAATATGACAACCCTAAGTGAACAGTTACATTTTAATTGGAAGAAAACCCAGATACCATGTTGTATTTCTTTCTGCAGACTACTAAGTTGAGGATGATGGCATTTCTTCATCCTCCCCCCTCCCTGCCCCCTTGTGAACTGCAGCCATGAAGGATATGCACAACTGAAAACATCATCAACAGAATCAGTTTACCCATTTTCTCACCTTCCCCACTGCAAATGGTTAATTAATTAACACAGCATTGATGTGTGAACTAGTTGCGATTTCTGGTGCAGCAAAATTTTACTATAAAATGGATTCCCCACTCCCATTTACACACTGTGACCTTACATACAACCTGGAAGGAAGGGTTGCTCTACTTATTAATAGGAATAGAAGTGAATTCTGTGATCTTTCAAGGTGATAAAACTTTGATAAGCAAGCACTTTTTGAGAGGCTGGCTACGCTGTCCTTGGTCCTGAAAAAACAAGTCATTCATAGTTGCTTGCAACTGTTAATTAGCTGTATTTTGCAAAGCAAGAAAGGAGAAGCCACAGTCCTTTTCTGCCACAGTCCTTTTCTTCCCATTGTATTGCAGCACTTTTTCTTTCTTACATCACTCCTTTCCTACCTCATCTTCTCCCCTCCCCCACTTACTTCGCCTTTCTATTTCTTTGTTGTTGCAAGTTATTTTTTACATTGTTAATGTGTATCTATACAAAATTACACAGAAAAAATTCATTTTAAGAACAGCACGTGGAAGTGTATGACACCATTATTTGCCTTGCTTTGCTAGAGCCTTCTGAACACAATCCACAAGGTGATTTTGACCAAGAAGGCCTGTAAGAACCTAGAGCAGGCTTCCTCAGCCTCGGCCTTCCAGATGTTTTGAGACTACAATTCCCATAATCCCTGACCACTGGTCCTGCTAGCTAGGGATCATGGGAGTTGTAGGCCAAAAACATCTGGAGGGCCGAGGTTGAGGAAGCCTGACCTAGAGTAAAGATGCTAACAAGATTGTGGCACGACACAGTAAAGAGGCAACCCCTAAAATCAACTGAGATTTCTTCATAAACCAGGTTTGTACATATTGACTTGACAAGCAGGGCATTCTAGATTGATCCCTCTCTCTTTACGCCCTGGTAGAACATAGTAGAATATACCTGACCTCCCTAGATACTCACCCAATTTTCAGGAGGCATTTGAACACCCTTTAACTTGGGTTGCCAATTAAAAAACAACCACTTCCTTCTGATTTTGATCACTAGATATCTACTTCTAAACCTTGTAACCCGACAGAGCCCTTGGCATGTGTTACACTGCTAATTCAAAGTGAATAATATATTTTTGAGAGTTGGCTTATTCAGCAATTCTTTTAGATGATTGCTGGAGAACCACAATGACCAAAACAAACATCACATATAGATTTAACTTCAATGCCTGGCAATCACTTTTGTGACTTGTAGACCTATCTGGCAGCTGCTGAAGGGCATAATTCACTTGGTGACTATTGATTTTGTTTTGGGATATGATTTCAGAACAGGGGGAGAGAATCTATGGCCCTACAGATGTTGTTGGACTCCAATTCCCATCAGCCCCAGCCACCCAGCGTATGACCAATGTTGAAGGATTCAAGTTGTAGTCCAGCAACATTCTGAAGACCATAGGTTCTCCACCTCTGCTACAGAACATAGCAGCAGAGGATATGATTCATGTGTCACTTCTGAATTTTGTTATGGAATAATAAAAGGGGATTATAGTTTGAGGACTCAGGTGAATTTCTTATGTTCCTGAGAACATTGGGAATAATTCCAGCATGAAACTTTCTTTAAGAATCATAAACTGTGGGAGCTAAAATCAGGCAGAGAGCACCAGGCTGATGATCCAAGCACTGTAACTCTGATCTCACTGCATGGTTGTATCCTAGAGTCTACTGGTTCTCAGCATGTCTGGGACTGCCGCACAGATAAGTGGACACCTGTTTCCAAGCTGCCTTTAGCAATGATGCTGGCCATTGACCAAGACTCCCGTGTAGGTTTGTTTTTGAATAAAACCGCTACCATATGGTGTGTTAACAGTCCCTATTCCCTCCACCAACAGCATGACTGCAAGGTACGAATGTTCAGAAGTCTCCGAAGCATTTAAGTCTACATGATCAGGTCCTTTTAAAACACAGCAAAAGAATGAACCTCCTGTGGAGCAATAAATATATGAAATGAATAGGAGTAAAAGTTATGGAAGATGGATGCCTTTTAAAGGTGGAATGAAGCACTTCTACATTCCAGTGATTGTAATGGAAAAGGTTTAAGCCTGTGCTTAACTCTCCTGATGAAATCAGTGTAAAAGTGAATACGGATTTGAGCCCAAGTATCCACAATTTACATTCAACACTCTCTTGTATTTATCCATGTAACTTTTTATTTATATCCCCATTCACATGAATGTTATTTATCTACTTACTTACTTACTTACTTACTTACCTTTGTTAGCCAGACAATGAGCTGGTGACTACAGCTGGTTCATATAACCTCTCCGAGTCTGTTCTAGACCCATAAGATGGAATAATATCTTTTTCTAACCTCAAAATGCTGAGGCAGCCTAGTAACTATATTGTCTGCTGCTGTTCTGCCTCTGATATAGTGTGTTAGTCATGGTTGGCATGTTTTGTTGCTTTTCATGTGTGCTGTTAGTTTGCCTTGAATATTCTATTAATGCTTTAAATAAAGAAGATATGTGTGTATTTTAAATAGATAAGAGATGGAAATATAAATCTTCAAGAAAAATGAGTTAATTTGAAGTTCATGGGCATGCAAGCTAAATGGTCTCTTGGGGCACTCCAGAGACCTCTGAAGTTTCTACATGAGTGTTTCATTCTCCAAAGTGCCTGGCACTGGAATTCAATGCCTCCTGTTAACAGAGCCAATCACATAAGACCTTGGATTGCAAGACTGCCAGTGGTGGAGTCTTTTTTGGTACCCCAAACTCTTTACATCTATGAGAATACTCACAATCTTCCCCCGAGTAGCCAATGACGGTCTCAGGTTCCATAGCAACCCCATAGTCGTTTTTGGCCTGCACTTTGATCTCATAGGGTGTATAGATGGGCGTCTGTGTGACAGTGAACTGGTTAGTGTCACCCTTTACCGTCCTGTTGTTCCAACTCTCCCGGGTGTCTCTTCTTCTCCATTTCACAATGTACTTGAGGTTGGGGCCGTAAACTTGGGTTGCATTTAGCGGCTTAAAGGATACACAAAAATTAAGAAATCCGTTATTACTCTTGTTAATTTTGAACATCAGCTGCTATCCCTGCCACCTGAACAGTGTTTCTGTGACTCCAGAGGATACAGAATCATAGATGAATCTAAAAACAAACAGGACTAACAAGCCCATGGTGTCATAAGCTTTCATATGCTAGAGTCTACTTTATCAGATGCATGAAATGTTGCCCTCCATTGGCAGATTCTCCCTCCCTCCCTCTGTATGGGTGTTTTCAAGCTTTCCTCTTAGCCTTTATGGACTCTAGCCCACAAAAGCTTATACCCAAATATGCAGCCTGAGTATTTACTGTGTCACAGGACACTCTGTTTTCACTGCAGCAGACTTTTCTGTGAACTGCCCTGAGACCTCTGGGTATAGGGCGGTATATAAATTAAAATTCTAATAATAATAATAAATATCACTTTGGAGATAATAAATGCAAAATGTATCCAGATAACTGCATAGTTTCCAATTATATGAATTGCACCAGCAACAAGTATACACATGGAGAGTTATTTTCTTGGACTTGCTGCAGGAATATTTGGACTGTTTGGCTTTGAGATATTGGATTGTGCATGCCATTATTATTTTGGCATTGTAAAGATCATTTAAGTATTAGAAGGTGTTGAATTTTTTTTGTACATTATTGTCAATGAACCACATGCAGAGTTATTTAGCTTGTGATAAAATTTATTGCAGCAAAGGCCATGGAATGCAAACCTTGTATGCAAGAAAAGAATGTGCTATAAACAATAGCCCCCATGTTAACTCACCGTCCAGGATATCACCATGTTATTTTTGGCTGTTCCTGCTCCTTTAACTCCTGTGGGGTTAATTTCTGGACCTGAAATAAATTAAAACATGAAATTTGTTTTAAAGCATTGAATGCTACAACACAGCTACTGCAAGCTTTTCTATACCCTGCAATATTGCTAAAGGAATAATCTTTTTTTTCCCCACATAGGAAGGCTAGAACACAAAGGGGAGACCCACATAAAGCCTCTGCCAAAAGGAAAGACCTATGCAATTGCTATGGTACTAAAAAAGCTATTTGCAAAGCAAACTTTTAAGGTTACTATGACACTGGTGGTGTCAGTTGTTTAAAAAGCACTTAAAACAAAGATGGGGAAACTATGAAGGGACATTAACCCCCTCAAAAAAGTCAGTGTGGAGCAGCGGCTCATGCTGGTAAGGCTAGAGAGAAAGTGGTTACGGTGTACAGCACTACAGAGAATTCCCTCTGTGTATGCTACCCTTTCTCTCTCTCTCTCCTTCTGTGTTTCTATTAACACTGGCCTGAACTAATCAGCTGCAGAGGCTGCATGGAATTTGGTCAAGGGCTGCTTATGGCCCATGAGGTCATGTTTCCCACCACATATTTAAACAAAGGGTTATGAGTAAATTAAGATGCACAAGAGCCTTACAACAGAAACATGCCTTCTTTGATGTTTTGTACAAAAAAAATATCAAAATCCAGCCCATCATTTCCCTAATTTGAGAAAAGTATTTATTTGTGAGGTTCCCCTTGCACTCCATGCACATCTACAGTCCAAAATCTTAAACTTAAAATACCAAGCCAGTACATATCTGTTAGGATCTCTGACAAAAGCCCATTAGCCTAAAGATACTTGGTCGACTCAGAAAAAGCTCAGGGCTGCTTCGTACATTACACCAGGGATGGGAATTCTGTGGCCCTCCAGATATTGTTGGACTTGACTCACATCCTCCCCCTAACTATTGGTCATGCCGGCTAGAGCTGATGGAGGTTGCAGCTTAGCAGCATCTGAATGGCTGCAGATTCCCTATCTCTGCATGACATGGATAAGATGCACCAAAAATGTTTTTATGTGTACACATTAAATCTAATGTAATGGGACAACATGACAAACAGGTGCATGCATATATTTCACAGGCACACTTTCCAGGGAACTGAGACTGGCCACTACTGCTTGATGAGCATACATAGTGACGAATATGGGCTACCTAAAAAGGTAACGCTTGACAGAATCCACATTCTTAGTGTCTCTCTCTTTTATCTGTCCTTGTTCTTGCGTACATTACAATTGCATAATTTTATGTAAGTGTTCTTTTCCTTTCAAATATACCCACCCACTCAAGTCAAATAGCACTTACGTGCCCCATTCGTATGGTATCGCTCAGAAGGCAAGCTGGGGTAACTGCTTCCTACTTCATTCACAGCTATTACTCGGAACTGATAGTTGACGTAGGGTGCAAGGCGCAGGATAGCAGAGTTCACGCTTCCTGGGTAACGGGAATGGTTGTGCCAACTTCCAGGCTGGAATCTATCCTCTTCAAATTCCACAATGTAATCTAGAAGAGCAGAGTGTGAAGGCTTGCTAAAGTTGCGACATAATTATCGGCCAGCTGACTTTTAGAAAGGAAACCAAACCAAAGCAACACGGTTCACCTGTAGGGTTTCAAAGTAGAGGAACAAGTGCTGACCTGTGATAGGGCTGTTGTTGTCGTCGCCAGGAATCCACGTCAACCGCACACTCCTTTCAGCGAGGTCAGTTAGTTCAAGATCACGAGGACGTTCAGGACGTGCTACAGGCAAAAGAATGCATGTAAGGTGCAGGTGTCCCTCATGGGCTAGTCCACTCAAGAGCTGGTGCTTAATATCTTTGGGTATCATGACCACTGATTCTGGGACCTTGCAGCATGAAGCAGAGAGAACTCCACTAAGGCCATTTCCTCAGAGGAAGAATAGCCAGTATTGCATTTGGGGACCTCTTGGACACAGAACACAGCCCTGCCTCCATTGATGGACTCAGATTAGGAATCAGCCTTGCAGAAGTCAAAGGCTACGAGATCAGTGAAGGCCCTTTAACAACTCAGCCAGCTCCTCTACACAGGTGAAACCAAACATGCAACAGGTCTTACCAGCCTTCAGTTGGCTTCTGGCCTCGGCTGGGACATCTTCATAAAGCTACCTTGGTAGGAGAGCACTTCAGCCAACAGGGCTCACTTAGAACTATCCAAGGTTCTGTTTTTCTCTGCCCTCTTCATAAGAGGGCCCTAACAGTTAATCCACATTCTTTGCAAAGTGCAGAGCTTTACAAAGAAGGAACATAAATACAATGAAGGGCAAAAGTCACCTTGCAAAAATAAAAAGGAGGGTGAGAAACACCTCCCATCACTTTTAGCATCAGCCTCCAAAATTCATCCATGCGGACTAATTAAAATATTCTTCCTTTGCAGTAGGGGGCAACATCAACAACAATTTGTGCAACAGAAATCAAGATCCCCTACCCCAATGAGGTCCAATTATCAGGGATATTTGTCATGAGGTTTGGGCCAGCCAAAGTTATTCAACTTTCAGAGGCACTTAAATTTCATACCAAAGTCATTGCAATGGTCAAGCAACAGTGAATGTAAAAATTAATAATAATCAAAGTGGTAAATGGATCAGTAGTGATTACCTTTGGGTAGGGTCATACGGTTAACAGAAGAAGGAGCTGCAAAAATAGATATTAGCTATTTAGATGGTTAGTTCAATTCTTAAGCACAACTTGTTGCAGGGATACAATGTGCAGTGGCTGTGCCAGGTTTCAAGAAGCCCTGGGCAAGATGACTTCCAGACCCTCCTCCACCACTGAAACACTTTGTCTTCCTCTACCAGGAGGCCCTAGTTGCTTCCCATCTTCTAAATGGTGAGAAGGGAATGGACAGAACCCTAGTTCTCTCTTTTGCTTGGAGGAGGGGAAAGAAAGGAACCTGTCTGTTACCTTCCTACAACCAGGAAAGTTTAAAAGGAGGTGAAAGAATGGAAAAAAGGTAAAGGGACCCCTGACCATTAGGTCCAGTCGTGACCGACTCTGGGGTTGCGGCGCTCATCTCGCTTTATGGGCCGAGGGAGCCGGTGTACAGCTTCCGGGTCATGTGGCCAGCATGACTAAGCCGCTTCTGGTGAACCAGACCAGTGCACGGAAACGCCGAAAGAATGGATATCCTCCCACAAATACAAAAATTAGAAGTAAAAAGGACTCATCCTCCCCATCCCTTAACAAGCAGCAGGAAAGCAAATTAAGTTCCCTTTCCTAGTCTTTTTTCAAAACTTTTTTTATAGAGGCTGATGGACGCTTTGGCTCCAACATACCTGACAATCTCTAAAAGAACATTTTGGAAAAAAGTTTGCTTAGTGGTGGCACTTCCTCCTCTTGGTGGTGGAAGCAGTCAACACTTTAAAAAAACAACAAAACAAAACAAAACAAAACAAAACAGCAGAGCAAACAAGCTGCTGCATTCAGAGCAAAGCTCTGGATAGTTTTATCTTTCTTTTTAATTTCTCGGAGTGTTTATGGAGCCCACATGAAAACCAGAGGCACCTGGGTGGGTACAACTGTCTAGAGCATTGCTCCAAAGGCAACTGTGCACCAAACCCTGCTGTAAGGGTTTCAAAAAAGAAGAGTCAGGGACTACCATGGTGGTGCCCTTTGGGAGCACAGGGCACTTACCTTACCCTAAATCAGGCCATTGCTCAGTTATGTCTGCACTGACTCACAGTGGCTCTCCAGGGTTTCTGGCAAGAGTCACTCCCTGGAGATGCCAGGGACTGAACCTGGAAGCTTCTGCATGCAAAGCAGATGCTCTACCATTGAGCTACAGTCCTTCCTCTTGCAGTTGTGTCCCATGGTCCAGCCCTATCAGTACCACTGACTACAAGGACCAGAGTACCGACCTACAGGGAACCAGACAGAGGGCCTTCTCGGTAGTGGCGCCCACCCTGTGGAACGCCCTCCCATCAGATGTCAAAGAGATAAACAACTACCTGACATTCAGAAGACATCTTAAGGCAGCCCTGTTCAGGGAAGTTTTTAATATGTAACGCTGTACTGTTTTTAACACTTGACTGGGAGCCGCCCAGAGTGTCTGGGGAAACTCAGTCAGATGGGCGGGGTATAAATAAATTATTATTATTATTATTAGTAGTAGTAGTAGTAGTAGTATCACTGAATTTTCTTGGAAGACAGGCCCTACCAGCACCACTGCTATGCTCCTAAATGTATTCCAGTTATCCTCAATGTTTCCCTAACTAGCTCACAGACAAGACCAAAACACAAAAAATGCAGAGTTGTTCAAAATGTTTGCTTAGGTGTCAGTGACTTCAACATCTGGACAAAACTCAAGTGTACTTCATTAACTTCAGATTAACCAAAGGCCTGTGGGCCCTGCCTGGTCACTTGCAACAAGGAATGGAAGGATCTGTCCATTTCATTTCTCTCAGTTTCTCATCTTTCCAATTTTAAATTCAGCTTCCCACATTTCTGCAGCATTTTGTGACTTTTTTTTTAATCCTCATGAAAATTAGCTACAGTTAGCAAGGTGCCCTGGTTAATTTTCAGATATCTGCTCAGAAAGGCCACTGAAACCTTTTTGGGTAACCTTTTACTTTAAAGACAATACAGGGTGTTAGAAATTGTTAAGAGTAACATTCCAAATTCAAAGGAATTTGTTATTTGTTTCATGGCCATTGCACATGGTACCTGTATGTGTTACTCTACAACACAGGAGAACAGGTATTAAAATCTGTCAAAATAAGCTGTCAGTTCCCCCATGGACCTCGTCTCAAGCTCTGTAAACTTAAAAGGAATATCAAGTTACCCAGAACAGTGAGATGGGCTCTGGCAGTGTCTCGATCTAATTCAGTGCTGGCAACACAGGTGTAATATCCTTGATCTTTTTCAGCCACTCCATATATCGTCAGGCCATCTTCTTCTTTCTTCATCCTTTCACAAAAGGAAAACATCAGAAATAAATATACACACAGTAAGAATAATCTGACCCCGCAGCTTGCTTCAAGCAATGGCAGGACCAGCTGTAACAGCTATCTTGTGTATGTTTATTCATTTTAATTATATTTAGTATACTTTTATGCTTCCCTGCATCTTATAATCTAAGGGCAGGTTACAAACAAAATGCAAACATAAGAGATAAAATATAAAATGATCTAGTACAACAATTTTACGTTCTGTAACATGGATGGGTAAGAAAACAGACCTCTGGTGACAAAATCTTTGTCTGCAATTGAAACCCCCTTTGCAATGCCCCTCCATGTAACTGGGTAAAGGTGTCCGTCCACTGGCGCAGAACTCTCATTGCACCCACTGAATGTGCAGGAGATGTACAGACAGCGGGATCCTCAACAGTGGTAGCCTTCAGAAAGCTCCAAAATATGATGTTTTGTGGGTAGGCTGAGCTAGTCCTGGATCTGCTCGAGCTCAAGCTGGCCCTCCTGCTATAATTTACCAGCACTGGGCCATATCCAGGCCAGTTCCAGGCTGACCCAACAATTTCCATGCACCTCCACCTTCCAACCTGGCCAGTATGAGCAACCAGGCTAGAGATACGGCAGTAGCTCCACCTCTCTATCACACCCTGCTGCTGTCGTCTAGACTTTAGATTCTTCTGCCAAGCTTTTAATTTCCAGTAAGAGGTAAGAAACACACCCACTGTTATTTTCACACAGTCTGCTACTTCTGTTGTATGTCAGAGTAAGCAATATTAACTGCTGCATAGAGACACCACCCCCAGGAACAATATAGCAACAATTGGCCATTCCAAGTTTATTTATACTGTAAGACACTAATTAACAAATTACATGGAAATAATATTATTCAGTAAGGTAGAAGAAGAGAGTGATTCTGGCTGGCTTTGGCAGCACCGCTACCTTATATAAAGTCAGACTATTTGTCCATCTACAGATGGGGGAACCTTTGGCCCTGCAGATGTTGTTGGATTCCAACTCCCATCAGCCCTAACCAGCTTGGCCAATGATCAGGGATGATGGGAGTTATAGTCCAACAACATCCAGAAGCCCATGGCTTTCTCATCCCTGATCTAGGTCAATATTGTCTACTCTGGTTGGCAACAGCTCTCGAGGGTCCTATCACTTATCACTTGATAATTTTACCTGGAGATGTCAGGGGCAGAACCTGGGACCTTAAAACTACAGTCCCCCTCCCTGGAGAAAAGACAGCGGTACAGCTTACCAAGATAGCAAAATGATTTATTCCTTCTTTGTGTCCTCTGGATACATAAAATGTTCACATCTTGAGAAACATACAACCTATGAAAACGAAGACAGCACAGACCTGCTTCCAAAGTACAGGGGGGAATCATCCTTGAGCCAGGTGACCGTAAGTCTCAGCGTGGGGTCATGCCTAACCCGACACATTAGATGAACTGTGGAACCCTTCTTTGGCACAGCATCCTTTGGCCCATCTATGATCCTCGTTAGATCTGTGAAGAGTTATACAGTTATAAATCGTAAGAATGTAATTTTGGGGACTGTGCGAGTAGTCAGTCGAAGTCTAGTGGATGAAACCACAGTCACTTTGGGCAATGAGAAATAATTTAGTCAGATTGCAGAGTTCCTACAGATTTCTAGCTGCAATTCTTTTCCATACCCATAACTACACGTTTAAGAGTGATAAATCCTGTAAATGTTCTTTTATTCCATAGCAATGCCAACTTTCAATACACATGGTGGTGGTATCTGAGACGTGTACTTTTGTGCTATGGATCAATTTGATAAATGGCTTTTAGAAAAGCAAGTTACTGTATTTTTCCGTGTATTGGAAAAAGACACAGAAAAATCATGTCAAAAAACTGGGGTTGTCCAATACACGGATAGTGGCATGGGGGGGGGGGAGATGTTGCGTGCAGGGAGCTATCTGGGGGCACTGGCTGGTGGCGCACAATTTCTCCTGATGCCGCTGTGCATGGGAAGCACTCCCTGGATCATTTCCCATGCACAGCGGCATGGGGGAAGGTGCCCTCCAGCCAACTGGCTGGCTGGCTGGAGCGCAACTTCCCTTGATGCTGTTGCGCACGGGAAACCATCTAGGGAGTGTTTCCTGCCCACAGCTGCATGGGCAGAGAGGCTCAACAACTTTGGGCCATCTCCCCTCATTTTCTTAAAATGGAGTCCCCCCAAATAGGGGGGAGTCTTATATATGGGGGCATCTAATAGACGGAAAAGTACGGTATATCACAAATTCCAGTGGCAGGAACTGACCTGGTTTGGATAAGCTGTTTTAAATATTTCAGGTTACAGATATGTACTTCTCCAATATATTCACTGACTCCCACTCTGCGGTCCCTCCAGAGTTCTCAGCATCTGCTTAGGGAGCCCCCAAAGGCAAGGACGCCCAATGCTGACAGAGTGTGTGACAGAGTGTGTCCCCTTTCAGCTCACCGTCTCCATTCGTACCTCTTCTTTTACCCCACCCTGTCTCCTTACTCTCTATAATCTTTATATTTCCACCTCCTTCTCCTTTATTTCTATCTTTCCTTTACCCTACCCCCCTCCACTTAACATATGTTGCAAGGATCTACTGGTTAGGTGGTGAAACAGGGTCAAATGACAGATCCCTCCTGTCACTGGAGTGTGGTGCATGATGTTGGGAGTCCATAGCATTCCCATCTCAGTGGCCAAAGCTAGATAGCCTCTGTATCTTCTCATAATGAAACAGGGAAGCAGGATGGGAAATGAACCAACTCACAGGCCTTTTGGAAATTGTTGCTTAGTGTTAGTTCGGGGGAGTCTATCAGCTATAACTCAACAAGTGACAGAGGCCCACAGTCCATTTATTTCAGGAACACTCAATCAGTCACATCATAGCATGTATTGCTGCTTTCCCTCCTGGTTATACTTAAAGCCGCCTTAAGACCCACTGAAGAGCACAGCTATTTAACCTTATGAGCATGAACTAAATATAGCATTCTTGTCATCAAAGGGTACCCAAGATCTACATTATCTGGAGGATACTTGCTCTCTGCTTAAACAGAAGCCATCTTACCTTTTATTTCCAAACGAACCTGGTTCTGTGCTTTGCCCAGAAGATTGGTGGCCACACAGGTGTAAGTTCCTTGGTCTTCTTTCCGAGCCCTGATTATTTCCAAAGTCCCATTCTCGTGCACTATATAGTTGCCACCGTGCAGTGTGCTTCCCTGGCCATTCTTAAACCTCACAACAACACAAGAGAATGCTTGTAAGAGAGGGAAGCAGAATAAAGGTGCAGATTGACTTCCAAGTGTGGGTACAGGATTGCAGAGAAAGTGAGCAATCCTCTGCTCAGTAGGCAGGCGGTTGAGATACATCCAAGAGACATTCCTTTATGGCCATTTATCAATGAATTGAAACACATTTGATTCTAATAGAAATTCAATTGATTTAAAAAAAGATTATCTGTTCCAAACAGATGCTATGGCTTAATAATAAAAATCCTTACCATCGTAATGTGGGGATTGGGGATCCAAAGAATGGACAGTCAAGACGAGTCCGGTTGTTTAGAATTACTTTGATCAGCTGATTACGAGGGGCAAGGATCCGAGGAATAACATCTTTAAAAGAGATAGATAGATAGATAGATAGCCTATAAAGGTAGTCAGAAATTTTCATTTGTTTTACAGAATATATTTCATTTCTAGCTTTACATTTTTGTTTATTTGGCTTTTGCTTATTGTTTTCATAAATGGATTTTTGTCCTCAATCCATTCTAGATGGGATGTGTGAAACAATTAGCTTTAGAACGGAATAAATATATTCCTTTTGCCTACCAGTAACTGCCTACACATATAAGTAAACTCCTTTGCCTTTCATTAGTTAGATCAGTTGGCATTCAAGGATGTTATGGTTTGCTAGGGAAAGAGAAATAATGATTTTCATGTTCACTTCAAAATAATGCGTTCAGTGACCCTCTATAATCTAAAGATGTCAAGAGCCCATTTGTCCATTCAATACTTACCCAGCACACTGACAAAGGCATTAGCCAGCAGGTACCCATGTTCATTAGAAGCATTGCATTGGTATACAGCACTGCTGCCACTTTGGATGTCCCGAAACATAACAGTGTCTCCCGTTACTTCACGGCTCGGGTTGGGAGTAGAACCTTTGAGAAAGACATAAACATAAGTGATACACAGTTTTTAGCATTGCCATTAATAGGGCTTGGCTAATCTGCCAATTTTGGTTTCTCCACTTTTCTCGTTTTCCCAAGTCTTCCATTTTCCACATCAATTTGTGTCTTTTTTAAAGTCCTCATGAAAATTCACCAGAATTTAAGTGTGAATTTATTTTAATATACAGTATTGCATGTTTCTATGCAATTTTGCCCAATATACACATTTTTGCAAAGCTGAACATCTCAACATGGAAATGACTTCCTTTTCTGTGGTGCTTAAAGGCAGATCCCCATTATCATAATATAGTTCACTATGGGAATAAATGAATTTGTTCAGAATTCTGTCTTCCCTTTAAAAGATTAGCATGACTGATGCTATGCACTGGCGGAGGAAGAGGAGTGGGGGGGAGCGCACCGCCCCTGGCAGCATGATCCCTGTGGGGTGCCAACACGGCTGTCCCCCTGCCTGCACTGGGAGCCACGCCCCTGGGATGTGCGCCAGGCCCACCCCCACCTGCTCTCCGCCCCGCGGTGCTGGTGAAGCTCCGCCACTGATGCTATGTATGGTCATCAGTTAAGATCACATTTACTTGAAATTACAGCATTTTCTTCTCCACACCCATGAAATCAAGATACATTATAAGCCATTATCTTTTGTTCATAACAGGTTTGCTTACTTTCTATAGGTTCTCCATTCACCAGCCACTGGATGGAAGGCTTGGGGTTACCATTGGCTCGGCAAACCAGTCTCCCATCCTCACCAGGAGCCAAAATAAGATTCTCTGGTTCATCCAACCAGTAAGGAGCAGCTTTAGAACAAGAGAGTGAGAGACACACACCAAAGTGTATTATAGCTATCTCAGCAAAGCTCCTTTTGTGTTCTTTCAGCATAGGCTATACTGATTAGTATAGAAAAGTGACTGATAATCATCCGTCTGTACCATTTTTTTAAAACGCACCATCTCAAGAACAGCTGAACATGACCAGCATAGACATATACAGCAGACACGATAAGCCTGTGTCAATAACACTTAATAAAAATCCAGCAGCAGTAAGCAGCCATATTAATTTCCCACAAAGTATCAAAGCAAGGTTTTCAGGCATTGTGGGAAACTTGAGTGGCCACAAAGCACTGCCACCACCAGGCACGGCTGGGGGACTCTGTCCTAGGAGGGGCTGACTAAAGGGCACTTTGCCCATGATCCTCTCAAACGTGGAGCTTGCCTTGGTAGATTGTAGTTTTATGGGAGGAAACCAGCACTTTGGTATAGGTTATAAAACAATTAAGGTCAAAATTGATGTCACTGCTGGAAATGTTTGGTTATTATTACTAAGTGTTTTTTGTGGATATTCCACCGCCAGGATAAGATACAGCTAGGGTTCTTCTTATATAACACAGGGAGGAATCACCTTACTGGTAGCAAAAGAGTACAGTGGTACCTCAGGTTACAAACACTTAGGGTTACAAACATTTTGGGTTACAGAGTTACAGACTCCACTAACCCGGAAGTAGTACCTCGGATTAAGAACTTTGCCCCAGGATGAGAACAGAAATCGCACGGCAGTGGTGTGGCGGCGGCGGGAAACCCCATTAGCTAAAGTGGTATCACAGGTTAAGAACGGTTTCAGGTTAAGAACGGACCTCCGGAACGAATTAAGTTCGTAACCAGAGGTCCCACTGTACTGTTCTCATTCATGTAAATAAAAATTCTATTGTCTCTTTGCTGAAGTCAGTCTTTTTTCATATTGACAGGAACAGTAATGTTCTGGAGGCACAAATTAGATCAACCTGGGTTGAGGAAACATGCATCTCTCATAATGACAGAATGTTGTATAGGGGATGTATTCTCCCTAATGATATTAATGACTAGGTGTATTAAGTCTGAATGCTCATCTATGGAATAAATATTCCTAGGAACATATATCAAGCATGTGAGAAATAAGAGTTATCTTGAGTCCTTTCCCTTGACATCTGGTTTTCAGCATGCAGGTGTTTTTTTTAAAAAAAATAATGCAAGAACATTCCATCCTGAAATCTCCCACCTGCAGTCCAGTTTCAACACATAACCTTCAAGTAGTACAGTTTCAACCCATAACCTGCCGCTCGTGTTAATCAGAGAACGCTGTTATTGGGTGGCATATAAATGTGGCAGATAGATAAATAGCTCTTATTTCAGCAACAGGCTTCATGCAGTTTAAGAAAAATACTTCCTGAACATTTCCCATAAAACCAAGCCAGCAATGACAGGCTTATGCTCTCTTCTGCTAAGTACAAGGAAGATATATGAGCCACAAGCTTAGATGGCAGAGGATTTCAATAGTTTAGCTAGAAGGGTGTGTATGAATGAAATATTTCTTATCTTTGGTTACTACAGAGGAAGATTTCCCAGGTTAGCCTGATCCCATCCTTCTAGGACAGAATACTCTGTTCTCCATAAATCCCTCCCAGGTGCCTTTTGATTTGCTAATTGGCAAAGGAATAAGAATGGTATAGTAAATATGACGTACCCTTCACTCTCACCGAGATTGTGTGGCGGCTAGTTCCCACTTTGTTGGAAGCTAAGCAGAAGTATTCCCCAGAATCTTCCTCAGAAACATTGGCAATATGAAGAGCCTTGTTGAAGTTCTCCAGCTTGGTCCTGCCTGCTGGGAGATCACCTCCTTTCTTGTGCCACACGATGTCTGGTGTTGGGCTACAGGAAAGAGGAGAACAGGGTTTGACATGAAGCCTCTCCCAACATGAAATGTACACTATAAAGGAATTCCCTGCAGCCCAGCTTCTTAATTTAAAGCTGGGGTTCTCACTTAGCATTCTCTCAAAATCCCAGACAAGCATTGCCAAGGAGGTTGTGAGGATGTACCTTCACTGAAGAAAACCAATGATTTAATGCTTAAGAACATGCACGTACAAGATTCTGTGTTAAACCCCTGGTTTCTGTGGTAATAATATTTCAGGGAGCAGTTCACAGAAAGACTTTGGTCTGAGAGAGCCTTGTAAGCCATTGACACTTGAGAATAGGCAATTATGGGTGGTATCCAACTAATGTGTGGTGTCAGTGCAAGGATTTATCTTTGTACAACAAAACTTTCCCCTTCTCTCCTTCCCCACTGCATACTCCCCCCCACTCTGTTCTGGAGGGGGAATCCCTGGGACAGATATGGGGTGGCATGGGGGAGGAGAAGGGGGAAGTGCCATTGCCCATCCTTGCACTGATGGCACCTGTTAGTTGTATAATAAATATTGAATCTGGCTTATGGGTCATGTAAATTGCTTGAATGAAGCTTCCTACTGATAATCACTATTTTGTAGTTACAGGAGTTAATGTTGGCAGTATAAACTGTGATCACTGATCTCTACTGGTAGATCACTGGACGCCTGTGGCAGATCACTGGCTCCCCCCCCCCAAGAAGCTGAACAACTTTGGCTCCCCTAAAAAAAAAGCTGAACAACTTTGACCTGAACCCCCCAAAACAGGGCTTTCCTTCCTGCCAGTTTATAACTGTGAGTAGATCACAGTCTCTTGGGAGTTGGCCACCCCCGCCATATATTATCCCTGTACTGCTCTTGAAAAGCTCTCATAACCATAGATATTACTGTTGATGTTAACAACAGTCAAGCCACATCCCATTAAAATGAATGGATTTTAGTTTCCCATTGGAGCCACGTTATTTCACATCCTTAAAGGAGATGCTATTTGCTAACACTCCAATAAGGAGGAATCAACAGTCAGCTGTGATTTTACCCCCATGAAAATCTGCAGGAAACATAAGATCTAGACCAGGAGGATAGAGACGTATGTGACACACCATGGTTCCCCTGATCCCAAGTGGTACGTACACTCCCGAGGCAATGCATTCCAGCAAGAGGTCCTCCCCTCTCAGCACCATCTGATTGCTTGAAGTCCCAATGGGGTACATGAAGCTGGGGTGCCTTTCTGTGATACCTCGGGCTGAAATCAGGACATAAGGGGGAAAAATACACACTTGTAAATCCTTCTTCTCTACAGAGCGACTGGAAATGAAAGACAACCAACAGCAGGAGACAGGATGTAAACATATCAAGAGGCACAGAAAATCAGAGTCTTTCCAACCCCACAGACTTGATGGGGAAGTCTTTGTAGAGGTTGAGGCAGATGCTGAAATGATAAATTGAAATGGAAATAACAGACAAGGGAAAGAAGGAGCAGGGAATGGCAAGAAGGAATGGTGATGTTCCTGACGGATCACTTTATTCATAGCAAGAACACGTCAATTTAAGTAAGATTTTGCATTTAACAATGTACATGCTTTGACTCTGAAAAGCAGCTCTTGTAAAATTATAGATTTCCATTTCTCTTCAAAATAAATTATTTCACTGTAGTCAATGGGCCTTGACAAGGATAAATGTAGCTGGACTGTTGTTTCTACTTGAGAGCAAATACAGAATGATTGTCATTTCTACATTATCAATTTCAGTCTGGTGAATTTGCTAGAACTAATTAGGGATGTTCTGGGGGAAAAAAAAATAAATGTGACAAACACAGAGTTTAGATCTTATGCACTAAATTACTTCTATCCTCTATAATTACTTTCTGCGATTTACCACTCCTGTATCTCTCAAAAATAGATTTATTTTGTAATGGGCTAGTTTGGGTTACAAATGACTCCCGTACAAAATACACAAATTTTCTCTTCTGAACATAATAGTGTTGCCTACTAAGAAAGAGCGCATAAATTTCAGTTGGATAGGAATGAAAATAACATAGTAGTGAAATATTTCAATATCTACAGGGCCTCATAATCCAAGACCCTTCTTCGTGTGCCTCCTCCATGAGAGGTCTGGAGGGTGGCAATATGAGATATAATATTAAAATTAAAATTATTATTTGTTTTTTTATACTACCCTTCATCTGTAGATTTCATGGCTGTTTGCAGCATAAAAATACAAGATAAAAGCAACAAATACATAATAAAAACAAGAAAAGAACAAACCAGCACCCTCCCCAGAATAGATATAAATACAAGAAGGCTGCTCACATAGGATGTAAAAACACAGTACATAGACAGAGCTCTTTTCTGCACCAGGCAAGCAATAGTGCAACACAAGACATCTGCGCATTTAAATGAAAATTAACCCAGTAGCATGATGACATTACAATCTGTGCTAATGAATGGTGTCACAAGACATTATCACAATAATAATAATAACATAGTTATTCTGTGCTACTCAGTGTGGGGACATCACTTTCAGGAACTGGAGATTTCCATAGATGATGACACACACAGCCTATAAAGAAGGGGAGCAAACGTTTAAGGCAAGATGACTGATAAGACAAGCACCATGGAAATGTTAAAACACAGAAACCAAAAAAGTACATGGAAGACTGATAAAAAAACCACCACAACAGTTTTCCATAAATGCATGAAAGAAGTCTGCAAAGGAAACAGACTAACCACATGCATAAAACATAGACGTGGGCAAAGGAGACGTGATAGGCTGAAAGCAACAGAGGCAACAACAACAAAAAAGCAGGTTATTTTCCAGCTTGATGAAGCCACGTTAACAGTGGTGTTAAATGAGGTAAATGTCTGGCATTGGCCAAGAGATATTCAAGGCTAAAAGAGGAAGCAAATTATGGACTGGAGCTACTGGACTAAGATAAATGGATGCTGCAATGTAAGACATGTACTGAATGAATTGGTTTAGACAAATATTTCTACTACACTGATGAAAACTCCATCCTGAACCAGCAGTTCAGCAAGAGGCTATGTTCTGTTTACGGGCATGGGTGCTGAAGATCTCTCATATGTATAGGCAGGAAAGGAATGTAGGGTCAATGATAAACGTCCGCAAAATTAAGTTCACCTGCAGGCTGAGCCTAAGGACTTCATTAGGAAAACCCGCAATTCAAACTTCCAGGCTTGTTCACAAGCCACAGCAGCAACATATGAAATGACAATATATATGCAAGCATGTAGTTAATTAATTATTTGGTTAGCAGCATATCACTACAAAGTAAATAACTGATAGCAGTTACAAGACATATTTCAGATTGCTTCACTGACCACTTGCTTTGCATACAGACGAGACTTGGTTCAATCCCTGGCATCTCCAGGGATCTCTGGGAAAGACCCCTTTCTAAAGCCCTGGAGAGCACAGGGTCAGCCCAGGGAGTTCTAAGCTGGGTGGACCAATGGTCCACCTCAGTATAAGGCAGTTTCCTAAATTCCTATGTAATGGCTGCTATGCTTGGAATCTCTAATGTAAATCTCCAGTAACAAAATGTCCGCTCACAAACCAAAGCTTACAAAAAAAAAAAAGAGGCACAGTTCACCAGGAACATCTCTGGCATAAGCTTCTTTGAAACAAATGGGAATTTCACCAAGAACGAATGTTGCTGTTGTGCAAACCCTTACTTATTTCCAAGGAGCCTGTGGAAGAGATGCTAACAGTTCATTATGCTGACCATCTTCAGATAGAACAGCTGTAGTGTGATCATTGACGCAAACACATAGAATATAATTGTCATGTACATGCAGGATGTGTCTTGGACAACTGGGATAATTTACTCTTTTAATCCTTTGAATATTAACACACCATTAAAACACCACCACCACCACCAGGTTGAAGTGCTTTTCCTCAAATGCTTGTGGAAGAGCTTGCACCTGTGGTATAACAGGTAGGTAGGTTCTAGAACAGTCCACATGCTTTTCTCCTTTTGCTAGAGGATGCACAAGTGGAACAGTATTTCACTTTTATTGAGCAGCACTACAGTAGAATAAGACTGTCCTTCTATGAGCAGCAAACCCCTTCCACATGAGGAAGGGCACCATTGGAGCTAACACATTCTTCCAGATGCAATTCAAATAATAAAATTGCACCACTGAGGCTGCTGAACCACTGCACAACTGAAGCTAGTCCTGTTTACCAACTGTGTCCCCCGCCTCTTTTTTTTTATCCCAGTGCAGTTGAGCAACATCAAACCACAGTGGTGGTCAACAAATTACAGGTCAACTCAGCTCCATGGCCATCTTAAGACCAAGGCACAAAGTAACACAGTATATCCAGCTCTAGGAAGAACTGCTCTGCTAGAAAATCCTGCCTCTGGCTTGTTTAAGGCCAGTGGTTACCATAATGATACAACACCAAGTTTACCGTAGGGTACTCATACTGCCACATAATCATAATATCTCTGCTCCAATCTCTTCTGCCCTGTGCACACAACACTTTTGTTTCTGTGAGTTCCCTGTGAATCTGTCCTGGTTGCTGAAACAGACCCTGTAACACTGAAATAATGGAGTTCAGCTGGGCACCAGCTTTGCATCTATCACACCATGCAGGAGGCGCAGAGTTGTGCATTTGACATAATCCCCTTAATCGGATTTACAAATGTGTAACAGGAAAAGATTATACATTACTAAATTTCAAGCTTCCGCCTTATTAATATGCTCCTAGGAGTAAAATTATTCTAAGAAAGCTAGAAAAGTAAGGAATAGAGTATGAACAATATCAAGGAACAAAGCTCCTAATTTAATTTTCTATATTACAATTTATTTTAATAAAAAAAATACTTTTGATGGTGTAGCTCAAATATTTGATACTAGGTCAGCATTTTTCTGGATTAAAATGGAAATACTTCACTCTTACACCCAAAGACAGAGAGAGAAAGAGAGCACATTTCTCAATTAGTCCCCAGGTCAGGCAGCAGGCATCCTTCTTGGAACTGGAGGATAGCACAGTTATTATCATTCCCAATGGTCTCACCCTTCCCTAAGTCCAGTCACTCAGAGCTCAGGTATGGAACCATACTGTGTGGGAAACAGCAGTCGTTAAGATCTCCTGTGTGCCACTTCATAGGCTACATGAGGGAATCCTAGTGCGTCCTTGGTCTCCCTTCAAATGATGGTACTGTCTAAATACTGGCACGGGGAAGGGAAAATCAGTACTACTGCATTGGGCCGGTACATTCCAATGAGCACTGAACAATAGAAGCATCTAACCAAGTGTCCTAACTTCAAGCTGCACCTTGGTTCAGTAGCGGCTGGTAGTGTGGTGTGAGCATGGCATCCCAATGCTGCCTGTCACTGCTGGTTACAGAGAGGGAGGGGACAAGGCAGTGGGGAGCTTGGCGCAGGAATGTCAGATTGGTGCGGTGCAATCACAGCATCAGAGCCAACCTCCCCTCTCAATTGACAGAAACACATGGCATTGGGAAGCCAGGCCAGTAATGCAGCCCCACTCACACTGCCCCACTATAGCTTTGGTCTCTCTCACTAGCATGTTATGCTACCTCCTCTAGGAATCACTGTTCCAGACATTTAGGTGTCTGCAAAAACATCCTCTATCATGTCTCTCACCCACTTAGACTACAGTTCGATTCATACACACTGAGCTAATGTGAATTTCTTTTCCTCATATGAACCAGGCCTTGAGGAGTTCAGTGATTCACTGATGCAGCTGGGTGTAAAATTCTCTCTGTAGGAAAAAGCATCTCATGCCTAATTTTCAAACTTGAAGCTTGACCTGGACATTATCAGTGCCCCACAGTAGAGCTCAAAAAATGCACACACTTATGAGCTTAGGTGAGCCTTATTTAATATGAAAAAGAATGTTGACACAGCCATGAACAATGTTCAGATGCTATAGATGAGCTTTCAGGGTGTCACAGAGCCTGATAAGTACCAGTCCAATTTCTAGCGCTACTTCCTGATCTATTTGCCAGACTGGTGCTGGTTTGACTTTCTCCAACATCCATGCAAAAAATCTGGCCCTTTATGGAATCCATGCTGCAAGATGAAGCAATGGTCACCATCTTTGATAGCTTTGGAAGGTGATCTCGAAAAATTCACTGAGGTTCTGCCTACTGGTCATGATGCTCATATGCAACCTCCAGATTCAGAGGCAGCATGTAACTGAATACCAGTTGTTGGGGACTAAGAACATACAAACATGAACCTTGAAGGATCAGGCTAGAGGGAAGAATCGTGTTCTCAAAGTGGCCATCCAAATGCCTGTGGAAAGCACACAAGCAGGACCTGTATGCAACAGCCCTCGGTCCACCTATGATTCCCAGCAACTGGTAATCAGAGGCATACTGCCTCTGACAGTGGAGGTGGAACATTAGGAGGGAGCTATAGCCTTCATGCCCTACTTATAGGTTTTCTGGAGGCATTTGGTTGGCCGCTTAGGGAACTGGGTGCTGGACTTTGGTCTGATCCAGCACAGATCTTATGTTCACATCAAAAATGTTCTTGGAAATTAAGCATGCTTTGTCAATTTTTCAGCCAGAGAGATTAAAGTAGATCTGGCATAATAAAGATTTTCTATGCTAGGTGCACAACAACTACCTTCTTTTGCCATGGGAACGCTCGAGTCTGCATCATGTAACCATCACTATTCTTCAGTAAATTGTGGCTTCCTTTTCAACAGCTGTCCTCTATGGGCATCTCAAGGGCATCCCTGATTCTAATTAAAGGAACATTTCTTGTGACTCTTCCATTTACTTAGAACATACTGTGCTGCAGGCACTTTGCAGGGAGGGGCGAGGGTTAAAAGAAGAAGTTCTAAACACAAATGATTGATTTCAGTTAAACTTGCTTCCAAACATGAGAAGCAAGCTTGCTAGAGTAGTCCCATGGCAGTTTTTGCTACTACAAAACCAGCCTATCCATACTTTATATGGTAGCTATGTTCTTAAGACTTTTCACATTGTAGCATATTCTTCACTTCAAATCATCAGCCATGTTTTACGATACAAAATTTACATCCTTTATTCAGACACCATAGCATTACACTGTTTGATCTTTTAGATCTTACTCTGGCCAGTCTACATCCAGACAGCCCAATTAGAAGCTAATGAAGGAGTGCTAACAACCTTAATGGAAACAGTGTTCAAGTTTGGGCTGTTCTTCACTATTTATCTACTATATTTGTATACTGATTTTCAACAAAATTGGCTCTCAAAGCAGTTCAAAACAATAGTTGATCTACAGGCAGATACTATTCTCAAAATATAATTTAGAAGACTATTAAAAATCAATCTGAACTATTTATTATTGGATTAAACTTTAATTCAGACAGGTGAGGTGGATTAAGGAAACAGAAAAAACCCTGTTGAGAAAGCTACACTTAACAAAATAACGAAGACGACTATAGCAGACACCTAGCAAATGTAGCAGGATCGCTATCCTAAGCATAAGTATGGGCTCTGACTCTCAACTTGGACTAGTGGCACTGGAGATAGAGATGCTGTAAACTGATCAGCATCATGACCAAGCCCAAGCCAGAAACTCTTGGATCAGGGGCCCTTCAATCAATCAGGATATCTGGAGTTTTCAGCCCCCTGAGGAATTGACAGCCTTCATGTTAGGGGGCCTGTACACCCAAATTGGCCTGTCAATGTAAAAATGCAACACCAAAATCCAAAGGAAAAGAAGAAAGAAAGGTGGGATATAAATGTAATACAAACCAACCAACCAACCAACCAACCAGGAAGTAGGAAAATGCATGCTGCTCCATTTTAGAGTACTAAGTAAGAAGTATACACCCATGTCCCCAATAGATGGTTGGTGGTTCTAGCAACCTACAGAAATGGATTAATCTCAAGAGAATTAAAAAGGTAGGCTTGGAGTGGAAAACCTGTTCCACACAAAAGCAAGCGGCTGCTAAAGCCAGGTTTAGGAGGAGGATGGGGACAGGAAGATCCATGTTTTGCAACTCAGATTGCTTGATCAGAGAGGCAATCTGTCTCACTGCCTACAACAGAACAAATTCTTTCAAGCCTAATTTCAGAGAGGGGAGAGACGATGGTAGGGTACCCAATAGATAACAGGGTAAGCCTCTGAGGGCACACATGTGGCAACTGCGGAGCACACAGTCTCCAAACAATGAGAAAAGAAATCAAATGAAATGTACACAAAACACAAGTTGGATGGGGCAGAAATTGTTAGAATTCCTGCTCCATGATTGCAGTCATGGGATTTTTGTCTATCACATGATGGTATATGTTTTAACTCCACAAAATGGGAAGTGACGGAGACTGGATGTTTGTGTTACTGTGTTCTGTGAAGTGGGACTATCGTCCTTTTTCTTTTTCTCTTTGTTGTCTGATGCTACAGAGAGCTAGATAGCTAGATAGGCACTTCCAAAGCAGAGAGATGCACAACTCTCAAATGTTTTTCTTTAAAATAAAAGCAAGTTCACAAACTATTATTTGCAACTAACTGAGATTATGCCTGTGTGCACAATTTATTTCACTATAAACTAATACACGTCCATTTCTAATCTATTGCAAACAAAAAGTACTTTGTTTCTATTTTCTGCAAACTCTCTTCCCCTTCCACTGAAGTTAATCCCCCTACAATTGTTTACATTATCACACCATTTGCACACAACTTTCAGTATACCGCAGAAGAATGATTCAGGGCCCCCAGGGAGCCAAGCGATTGTATATCTAAAGCACAATTTATAATTCAGGCTTCTCCTAGTGTTACATTCTCCTGAGGAAGTATTCTTCACTTAGACAAAGATGAAAGAACAAATAATCTTTGGAAGCATTAAAAAAATGCAACATTACATACAAAATTACATAGATTATCAATCATGAAGGAAAAATCAAATGGTTTTTTTATCATCGACTACTGACAATCATAAATATTATAGACATTTCTTTTAAATGGACTGAGGAAAAAGGCACATTATTTTTTATGTGTAGATCTCATCGTCTGTGTGTATTCAGTAAAACTTTGTTGGAGAGCTGTTGTCTTCGCAGCTAGGTATTGATCCGTGCTATCTAAACAACGAGGTTTAGATTAACAGAATTTGACTACCACATGTGATTTTTAAAAACTCAGACTGGACAGGGTAATTTTTAAAAACATATATACAGTACAAAAGTAATCCATTTAACACCACATGAATAAAGTGCAACATCACATGTATGAACTGATTTGAAGACATTACCAGCATCATTGCCAACAGCTACCATTAAATGGAGACACATTTCAGGTGCTACAGACTAAACAAGTGCAATTTGTGGAGTCCGAGTACTCAAGATGGGAGACATGTAAAATATATAGGAAAAGTTTAATATGTCCATGAAATTGCCTTGTTTTCACTGACCGACCAAAAAGTGTTATTAACACAATAGTAAGTCAGGTTAGGTACAGAGGAGTTAGAACGTGAAGTTCTCCAGAAGTCAGTATTGACTCACCACTGTATATGTCAGTGTGATTTCGAAAGGACGTTTCATTATGGGGATGCTCTGTAATAAACAAAAGAACGTGAGCGTACCAAAGGCAACAAAGCATGCACTGAGTAACAAAAGACGAAATGGAGAAGAGGTGTACAAAAGGAAAAGAACACACACACACACACAACAGAAATTATAAAAAAGCAAAAAGCAAAATAAAAAAAGAGGCAATGACATACACATAACATCCAAAAAAAACCTTCAACACAATTTGGAAAGAAACAAAGAACACAGCAACGGAAGGCAGCAATTGAAGAAGACGGCTTTTTTCTATGAAATGCAAAATTATGAACTAAAAAAACCCAACACGCATTAACACAAAATCAAATATGTTCAGATGCGTTCCAGAAACATATGGATTTTTAAGTTTGACTTTTAAAATGCCAGGAAATAATCAAAACATTTTAATTATTATTATCAATAACTTTGTTAACATCCAGCTCTACTTTTGGGAAGAACAATTAGTTTGTCATCAGATTTGTAAAAAGAAAAAAGATAAAGAATGCATTCCTAATATTTGTTCCAAGGGTACAAGATGGATTACTTTCAGCTTTAACAATGAAAAAACAAGTTATAAAAGTATAAGATAAACAACTGGGGTTTTAATAGATCATGGAAGCATTATTAGAATGAACTGCCTTTCATCTTTTAAAAATGCAAAGCGATAAGCACATTAGAAATAATCCAATAGCAGCAGTAGGCTTGCAGATAAACCCACAAAAGTTACGGGACAGCATTTAAAAAAAATAACAACTGGATTACGACAATGCAGCTGAGCACCAGCATCCCGCAAAGCATGTCTTGGTATATATTATCCTCAAAATGGACACTTAGACCTGCTGAAGCACCCCAACTATTGTGCCCTCATTCACCTAATTACAAGGTGGGTGTGTGGGAGACTACTTGTAAGTCTTCATTACTATAACACTGAAAATGGCATAAATGCAGAGAAACTTTAATGTACCTCACCGATGTCGCTCTCCAAACCCATACCACCCATTTCATGAAATTCCATGACTCCATTTAGGATTTACATAAGAAATTACATAAGAAAAAAATGGCCATATATTTTAAACCACCTTTATTAGTCTTAGATTTGCTAAAATTGTCAGGTTTAAGTCTGACAGCATACCACATCATACTAAAAACCATGTAGGTAAATAAGGACCTAGGACACTTTGAAAAGCAAAGTACGTTTGAACACAAAAGCGACCACTTACATTAGGAAAAAATGAGGGTTTTTTAAAGGGGTAATCTGCTTTAATCTTAAACATTAAGGCTACACTCATGGGCTTTGTTTGCTCATCATGCTAACCCTTAAACTAGGGGTGGCTAAATTGTTGTCCTCTAGATATTATTAGACTACAACGTTCATCATCCCTGATGTCTCGACAAGCTGGCTGGGGATGAGAGTTGGAGTCTACAATGTCTGGAGAGCCACAGATTAGCAACCCCTTCCATAAACCACGTCTTACCATGAACAAACAGCACAATAACACACTCTGCCAGATCCTTCCCACTTCGTTCCACCTCTGTCAGGAGCAACAAACATGCCTCCTTGGAGCTGCCAAAACCTATAATTGTGGCTTGTTTCCCCATAAGCAAACCACATCTGGAAACCAAGGTTTATTCTTGGCTTGCTGATCATTGTGCATTTAGAGAGAAACAAGCCACAAACCTGATTTGGACAACATGGTAAACCAAGGACTGTGGTTGTTCCTGCTCCTGCTAGGTGGTGGTGCAAAACAAAAATGATCTGGCAGTGTCCACAAGGATACTGTCTGTTCACAGTAAGCCATAGTTTATGGCTCACTGTGATGTGTGAAAAAGGCCACTAGTTTTTTAAGGATTAGGACAACCCAAGTCTATTTTGTCTAAACTAGGCTTGGTAAGAAGTAGAATGACTACTATTCTGTATTTCCAAAAGAAGATCAATGTCCTAATCCTCAACACATTTGGAAGTAAATACTGCTGATTTCAAGTTAGTGTGTCTAGCATTACAGCCTCTTTACTTCCCTTTCAGATGAGAAAATTAATCATCATAGCAAAGCAATAACTTTTGTGGATTGAGCACTTATACAAAACAAAATACTGAACAAGTATCCAGATTTGAAACAAAAACAAATCACCGAACAACGTGCCACACAGAAAGGCAGTTCAGTTCCTTTGAACATAAGATGAAATCTATTTTACATACAGGAAGAAAGTGGTCCTCTATTGAAAGGGTCTCTAGGAAGGAAATGTGCACACAGTTTCCAAGTGAATATGTAAGAACAAAATGGCTGGAGACATACAGTACTCTTAATGAGCCTTCCAAGGAGCCACTTGTAACCTAGGGGTCACTAGGTAAAGGGCAAAGGCAACCATAGCATACAAATTAAGGGTTACCCATTACATACAACTTACTGCAAACTCTATTTGTCTAAACTGTTTAATATTTACATTTCTTAAGTGGTATCATAAAAACAGAAACTTAGCAACAACAAAGTCCAGGGAAAGCAAGGGTGGAAGATGCATTGTACAAGATATCTGAAGCAACTGTTGGGCAAAAGGAAGGGTACGGCGGAGGGCAGAAAATATCCAAGTGATAATTCTTTACGGTGTGGTGTTACAAGTAAACTTTTACCAGATGATCCACATGATCGTACAGGTCTTTTTAGGGACAGGCAGTCCTTCAGATAACCTAGTCCCAAGTTGTTCAAGGTTTTATGTGTTAGTAACAAGATCTTGACATTCCTCTAGTTCCTTTGTTTCAACATTCTTCCCTTAGATCAATAGGTGACAGGAGAAAACCTGCCTGCAGGGCCATCAATTAAGCATGGCTTCTAACACAGAAGGCGGTGAGCTGTGTTCAGAAGCTGGAAGAGCAGCAGGACTCCATCTACACTGCTGCATGGATCACTTCTGGGTAGGTGGGATCCATGCCACTTTTCAGTCACTTGACATCACTATGATGTCGTGACCCATTTTTCATTTGTAGTACAGCCGGTCTTGGGAAATGGCCAAATTGGGACCCATGCTGGGCCTAAATAGGCCTGCAGCCTGAATATTCCCTATGCCTGCTATATAGCATTAACACCAAGGTCTTGTTTTCCAGTCATGGAAAGCCATAATTAATGGCATGCCATGAGCTTTCCTCCTCTAGTGTGAGTGGATGCAACAAATTAAAATCCTCATTTTAATGTTATAGCTGAAACTGAGATTGCACTTTGTTTTGCTCAAACAAATCTGGAAGCTAAGAAGAAAACTTAACTTCAGATTGTGGTATGTTTGGGGCAAAACGAACCATGATCCCTGGTCTGGACATAATGCTAAGCCATGGCTCATATAGTTTATTGTTTCCATTCATGCTAGGGAAGGAAAAGGGGAATGACTGCATCTCAGTGTAGAACATCTGCTTTGCATGCAGACGGCCTACGTTCAAACCCTGGCAGCTCCATTTAACAGATGACAGAAAAACCTCCTTCTCCCTGAGACCTTGAAGAGCTGCTGGCAGTTGGTAAACAATACTGATCTAGATGGACAAATAGATTGGATATAAAGTAGGTTCCTATTATCTTTCTGCCTGCAGAGGAATCTACTTCAGTGACACCTCCCAGCTTACCAGGTTCTGTACTCATTTCCCTCCATGACTAGAGTGTCCAGCACTGGAGATATCCAGCTGCTGCTTGACAACCCTTGCAAGGACAGAATCCAAGACAAATGCATCAATTGCCTCATAGTCTATCCAGCCCTGAAGGGAGAGATCCGGAAAGTTCCAAGTGTTTGCAACCTCACAATCAACTGCTAGCACAAAAACACATCTCTTCTGCTAGGGTTTCATGGCAGCAGTTTCAAAAGTAACAGAGGTTAAGGCTTAATGCCCTGAGAGAGAGGAAGAGAGGCCTAGGCAAGGCCAAAAGAGCATTGTGGTTCTTAACTTCAATTGACATGTCTCTAGGAATTAAGTACAAAAGGCCATATCCTCATACAGAGCTGATACGACAGACTAAGGAGTATGCATGCCTTCCTAAATGCCACTTAAAAACTGGGCTGATTAGTACCAATTGGCTGTAGTGATGACTAATGAAGGAAGGATCTGCAAACTTTGGTTTTCTCATTTTCCTATTCCTAAATTCAGTTCTCCAATTTTTTGCACCTATTGACAGATTTCTAGAGGAAATCCTCACAAAAATTGCCCAGCATCCTAACACATTTTTGCAAGCAATTTCCCTAATATAATGCATTTCTCTATATTATTTTGATGAATATATTGATTTTTATGCACACTTCCCCCTAATATATACATTTTTGTAAACACTGTTGGTGAACTACATCACTAAATTCAGATGAGTGCAAATTTTGAGGGATGGTTGTGTTTCAGTCTTCATATTGTTTCAGAAAGTGCAAATTAGAGAGATTCAGCTTTAAATGCTAACTGAATTGAATTCCACACTATTCCTAGTGATAGCTGATGTCACTGAATTCAAACATCCCAATGAATATTTCAGTTCAGTTATATATTTCTCTTGTTATATTTGTATGTTTCCCAAGTCCATTAATCCTTGGTTTCCTTTTCTTAGAAACAAAGAAAACATTCGTCAAAGAAGCACACACCTCTTCTTTCTTACAGATGAATAGATTTAGTCCTTTATTATTGTTCTATGTTATTTGGCATCTAGTTGTGTAGCCACATTGAGAGGCTACTTTTGTAGGCTGGAGTTTATAGTAATCTTCTCCTCTACGCTCTCAAGACTGTAACACTTAATAGGGTCAGGAATGGCTCCAAACTTTCCTTCACTAAAATAGTGAGTGAGTAAGTAAGTAAGTAAGTAAATATACTCTAAATAAAATGAATGAGAAGTGAGATGTATCCCACCAGCAAGTCAGTGTCTTTCAATCATTTAAGATATTCCCTGTCCTAGAATTAGTATGCTGCCATCTCTCCTCCTTGCTCCTTTAATATATATCAATTTCATGAGAGGCAATTCAAATGTTCCAAGTTTGATATGGTCTGTTCAATTTGCAAATGTTGCTGCAGCAGCAAAACAATGTTGCAGTCAGTAGAGGGTTAAGAAGAATGTTAGTTTGTAGCCTGCTGATCTCTATTCCCCCCTCGCTTATTAAAATAGCAAGAATGAAATATAATCATGCTCTTCCCTCCATCCTTAGAGAAGATGCTCTTTGATGGGTTGAAACTGAGGTCATCCTGAAAGTAGGCAGAAGATGCCAATGCAGTTGCTTCCGCTCTGCAGGACATTCTACCCATGGAGACTGTTAGAGAATGCTTATTATTATCAATAATTCAGCCCTCTTCTGTGTGTCTTTTGGGTTGACTGTGGGTATGGCGCATGCTTCTGGCCTCCATGTTTTCATGTTCTCCCCACCCCATTTGGCATACAATGGTCTAAATAATTCAGATGTCATTGCAATCAGAGTGAAGCATGCCCTCAAAAGACATCCCCAGACCTAAGCAAGCAGTAATAAGAAGCTGGGCAAGAAGAAGAAAAGAAGAAGCAGGGGATGATTTTGACTTTAAGCTGGGGGACACACCTGTCACTGGAATAGAAGAACATTCAAATCAGTGAGGATTCAAATATAATAAATGAGAAAGTAAGCAGCAAGTTCACTTCGCTCTCTCCTTACACAGTTCCAAGTGCGACCTGTTGACTTCTATGGGGAATAGATCCATAGTTGATGCCATGCAAAGTGGGCTGGCAGTGATGTTTGCCGGTGTGCCCAGCGCCGCTTACCTCAAAGCATGCATCAGTGACATCCTGGGTGGACCAGAAATGCCCCGAGTGCCACTCATTGTACTAGAAGCAATAGGAGTGACTGACAACATGGCTTGGCTGAAGCTAAATACAATGCACACTGCTAATGCACATTTCCTTTATAAATTACTAAACATTCTGAGATGGTTAAAACTTTGGAAATACTGGACAAGGTTATATTGGCTCATTAAGGAGGGGGAATGTGCACAGATCTTTTAAAACAAGAAAGTTTTTTTAAAAAATACATCACCACCACCACACAAACTCCAATAAGAGGCCACAGTAGGATATCTAAAATGATCCAACATGCCATAGAACACTCCATTAGCACAATTGGCCTACACATCGTTTTGTGAGCATTGTGGAACACTGTTCATGCAAACAGGGAAGGATGAACTAAAAAAATCAAACAAGCCATGTGAGCAACCTGATAGGTCTTTTAAAAAACGATCTCTTGAATTTACTTGCTGTTTGATCATAGATATCCAAGCATTTAGTAAATGACCCCTTTAAAATACTGGGTGACATTCAACTATGTTTTACTCGGAGTAGACCCATTGAAATTAATCTTCATGACTAAATTAGATCTATTAATTGCAATAGATGTGCTCTTCAGTTGAATCCAACCCAGTAACCAAACCAGAGAAAACAGCAGTATATCATTTAAAAAAGCACATACAAACAAGTCCTGCTGCCAGAATGCTTGCTATCTAAAATCTTAGATATTCAAACACAAAGAATTATATCCAAACCACGTTACAAAATGGCTGATTCAGATATCCAAACAGGTGGAGTTTGCCCACTTCCTTACTTGTTTGTGTTTTGCTGGTTGGCAGCAACTATTTTGGGCAGGAGAGAGTTTTCCCCTTTTTTTGGCTTTTGCTGATTGGCTGCAGCAGTTTTAGGCAGGAGGCATGGAGGGAGAAAGCATGGAATAGAAATGTTCCCATAGGAAAATAATGGAAATCATCAGCTTGTTATGCGAACACTCACCCAACAAACGATTTCTTGGGAACACATTGTATTCAGAAAGCAGGACCTGCGTGTATGTGAAAAATATGTGGACACATGCTAGAACCTGTTATGTTGATATGTCAGCTGATGTCTCTGATGTTTACATTCCTCACAGATAAATAAGACACTATATGCCCAATAAGTAGAGTTGGCTTCAAAATGCATTTTGAACCTCCAAAATTCGTGTAAGCTGTCTTCATCTTCTTGGAGGAAGGACAGAGCACCAGTGTGTTAAATAAAGCATTTTCACACCTCTAAGAACATGTAGTAAAATACCCTCTCATAACTCAAGGAATGTTACAAAAACTGCCATGTTTGTAAGGAGATGGTTTCTCTGACTGTTGCCAGCACAGCAGGGATTGTGTTCGTGAAGTTCCAGCCAAGCTGATCATAGTAAATACTTACTGGTCATGACTTTGAGGGTATAAGGATTTTTCTGCTGGATGGTGTGGGTGAAGGCAAAGCGAGCATTACAGCTGTAGTCAGTCAGGGCATCCTCCTGCATGACATTGGAGAAATACAAGTCACCATTCTGTCCTTGGGAGACACGCTTGTCTTGGTGGATTGACTCCATGGCTGTAAGAAAGAACAATAAATCTTATTGGAACTCACTGCTCTGCACCTTTGTAATGGATAGAACTAGCGGCAATTATCTACTAGCCCCAGCAACCTGGAAAATACATAAATTGATTACTTCCAGCTAGCCTTGGACAGCAGAACTCAATTCAAGACATTTCCGATAGTTCAAGCTAGGTACTTCAAATTCTTACTATGGGTGAAAAGCAACACAAAGAACCAATTTTGCTTACTTGCTTAGTTAATAGAACTGTTATGCCACCTGCCAATAGGACAGTTTTCCATGCAGTTCCCCAAAGGATAATAAAAACAATAAAATCGTATCACAATATGAGTGTTCAGTGACACACATGAGAAAATCCACATAGCTCGCTGCTATAAAGACTAGTTACTTTGAAAATATGACCAGCCGACACAGTCAGTTTACCACATGCACATGCAGTCCACATGGAAAAGGAAATATTTAGATTGATAAGGTAGGTCTCAAATTTATTATGCAAACCAGCTCTTTCCAAGAGCTGCAGCCAGGGACATCCCAACAGCAGAGCAATGAGAGTAATAGCTTAGAACAGCATTTTTAAGGGCATTAAGGAAGCACTGTGCAATATGAGAAGTGCATCTCAGAATCCTGTATGAGACTTAATGAGATCCTGGGGTGAGCTCTAGAGGAGTATAACCCAGCTGAGGTCGTGGGCTCTGTCTGGCTGAAGCTCCATCTTCTTTTGTATATTAACAAGCAGCAGATATTGAATGTACCACAACTAGATTCTTTTCATTTCAGCGTTGACAACATGAGAGTGTGGAAAGGCGGAAAAGGTCACTCCTTTGCAGTTGTGCCATAATACTACCGAGCCCCATGAATGGTCAGTATAGACAAGGGAAACGGTAGCATCACCGAGATCAGCCTAAACCATTACACTCATGTCCTGTTAGGGAACCCTCTTAGTTTCCAAGTACAGTTCTAGCCTGCTAGCCAGTGGGAAGACTTACAGCTGCTCATCCAGAAGATAGCCGGAGGCGGCAGTCCAGGAGGGGGATTGCATGCCAAGATAAGATGAGCACCTTCATGAACCTCTTGAATGTCTAAGTTTTCCTTTGGCCACAAGGGAGACTCTGCAAATAAAAATGTCACAAAAGAAATTACATGCATACATAAAGGTAAAGGTAAAGGGATCCCTGACCATTAGGTCCAGTTGTGGCCGACTCTGGGGTTGCAGCGCTCATCTCACTTTATTGGCCGAGGGAGCCAGCGTACAGCTTCTGGGTCATGTGGCCAGCATGACTAAGCCACTTCTGGCAAACCAGAGCAGTGCACGGAAACGCCGTTTACCTTCCCGCTGGAGCGGTACCTATTTATCTACTTGCACTTTGACGTGCTTTCGAACTGCTAGGTTGGCAGGAGCAGAGACCGAGCAACGGGAGCTCACCCTGTCACGGGGATTCGAACTGCCGACCTTCTGATCGGCAAGTCCTAGGCTCTGTGGTTTAACCCACAGCGCCATGTACATAAAGGTACATGGTGCTAATTTTTGAAACTGCTCCATAGGGCAGTCACCATCCCATTGTGTTTTATGCACTTTATCTGGCTCTGCCGTCTAAAGCAGAGGTGGGGAACCTTTTCCATTCCAAGTGCTGCATAACCTTCTGGGAGCTGCATGTCAATGGTGGGTGGGACTAAAACCATAGTCACACCCCTTTCACACACAGGGATACATATCTTCTTCCCAACACAAGATCCATCCACATTATTTAACCCTCTTCCCCTTTTGTCAATATCAAAATTTATTCCAACTTTATACTAGCCTATACTTTACACTGCTCTGGCTTATGCAATATTAATTTTCTACGAAGATATCACTTGAATGCAGATTTTGGCTTTCTCAGAGAAACAACTGTGGAATTTAAGTTTTGAACTATCAAACCACTTTTGGTGTCCAGAAAAATTATGATTGTCAAGAATAAGATATATACTTCCTTGGTACCTAGCAGAGAGTCTCCTTCAGAATCTCACCCATGGATCACCCCTGAAAAATCCTAGTATAAAGGATGTGTTTGTTTTTTTAAAAAAAGTCAACCATTGAAGAAAGCGAGCAGAAACATCACTCTTGACCAATAAGGCAATTTGTGACTAACTTGGGAACAAGCAGGGAGGTAGTGACTTAGGTGTTATAAATAACAAATTACAGAAAGGCAATGAAGATAAAGCACTGATTCTCTGAGTTGCTGTGATGGAAGGTGACTTCTGCAATTTTGTAAAGTGGAACTTTGGACAGTGAACATAATCCGTTCCGGAAGACCGTTTGACTTCTGAAACGATCTGAGTTCTGAGGTGTGGCTTCCTATTGGCTGACAGCTGGTTTTTGCACAGCAGAAGCCACGTTGGACATTCGTATTCTGAGGAACGTTTGAAAACCGGAGCACTTACCTCCGGGTTTTCGGCATTCGAGAGCTGAAACATTCAAGAACAGAGTTGTTCGAGTTCTAGGTTCCACTGTATTAATTTTGAATGCTTTTTAGCTAGACACTGGAACTAGACTCTAACAGACTGCACATTAACAATTCTCAAATACAAAAAGCCCTTGCAAACACAAATGACACAGTGTATAAGGCTCTAAAATAATAAGGGTTCTAATAGTGTCATAATTATACTCACTTGAAACCTGCAGAAAGATTTTGTTGGAGATGGCTGTCCCCAAGTCATTCCGAGCAAAACACTGAAATTCCCCTTCATAATCTTCTGGCCTGCCACCACTACGGAAGTCAATATCCAGTGTACCTGATGACCAATGTCTCATGCTTACTCTTGGGTCCTTTGCAACATTGAAGAACTTTCCATTTCGCGTCCATAAAAATCTATAAAAATAGTTACATCAAAGAGACAATTACCTTCTTTGCACAGGAAGAGCTTTATCCAATACGGCATGATTTACATGTTATTTTGGATCCATTAACCCTTAATGCATTCATGAGTTGTATTTCTCTATTCTCCTATCTTGGAGAAGCCTAATGCAAATATATTAGCATACTTTCCTTGCTGTTATTGGTATGGGAGAGGAAATAAAGTGGTCAAATAATTTACACAGAATAGCCATCAGGTGGCATTTGCAAGTCATTTTTTGCAAGGCATCCAGTTACCAGGGCTATAACAGAACTTTTATGATACAAACTCCTCTAAACTACTCCAGAGATAATTTGCTATGGGTATTCCTACAGTGGTCCAATACATGCAATTAAATGAATGACATCTGAGCCATTCAACAAAAAACCCTTGCATTTAAGAGACGGTGCATGCTTACACTCACCATGAAAGGCTGCCAGAATAGCAGTGCTATTCTGACCCACAGTCAGGTGTGGACTTAGCCATTGCTTTGATTATAAGCACCTGTTTGGTTATACCACTCTGAGCTCCACAATGAATGGGTGGAATTCAAACCTAACAAATAAATTAGAACTGCACTCACGTGGGAGTGGGGTTCCCTTTTGCTTCGCACTCAATGAAGATGTTGTCCCTCGGATCTACAATATAATCCTTCACAGACTGCTTTGTAATAGTAGGGGGTTGAGGCACTGTAAAGTATATGCAAGAGGGACAGAGAAAGAGAGAATAAATAGGAGGCAAAGGAAGACATTCTCACTTATTGCCATTTGAAACGGCAAATTAATAAGAGCAAGTGCTCTTTCCAACATTATCCATGCCTCTTGTTTTTTTGTTTTGTTTTACAAACAAAGACCCTTTACAAATTGAAGTATGAACTCCACAGTCCATATATTCTAAAGAAATGCAAGGTTGTCGTATTTGCAGCACATCATCAGTTCTCTATGCACTGTTTCTGCCTTCCTGCTTGTGAAAGGCAAGGAGCACAATCCACCGATGTTTCTAGCCTGCAAGCCCTATCAAAATGAAATGAGCTGAGCAAAGGCGATTTTCTCAGTGGCTTGCACCCAAGGTCAGATTAAAATGGAAGCAGCTATTGTTATTCTAATTATTCATATCACACGATTCATCACAAGATCCATGGGCAGGTACTGATTAACTGAACTACAAAAACAGACAAAGCACATTAAAAGCAGAAATCACAGTTCAGTAAAAAGCACATTCCATCTTTTCACACTACAATACAGAGAAGATGCTTTACACATTCAGAAAGCCCAGAGAAAGAGAAATATTTCCAACAGGCACAGAAGATGCACAATGGCGGTGCTAGCCACATCTCAGGTGGAGGATGTTCTATAGCCACGATGTCATTGCCAAAATTAGCTGTTGGATAAGACATAGATCCATGAATTTCAGTAGATGATGGTATTACAAGAGAGGCCCCAGAAAATCTCAGAGTATGGGCAGGTCATAGAGGGAGAGATGGTCCTACAGGAAACCAGGTCCTAAGGCATTCAGAACTTTTTATGTCAACACCATAACCTCAAATTGGGCTTGGTAGTAAATAGACAGCCAGTACAGATCGTTGTGATCCGATGCAATATAGTCTTGAGCAGTCAAAACCCATGAGTGGCTGTGATTTGCATCAGCAGCAATCTCTGAACAGTCTCCAAGGGCATCCCTACATAGAACACAACAGAAACAGCTATAGTAGGTGAACTGGCCACAGCTGGATAAAGGCACTCCATGCCAATGAGACTATTTGGGTCTCTTGTGGCATGGAACAATTAAGAACCTCCTTCCTCGACTCAAATACTTCCCTAAGACAGTGGCTTGTACAGATTATATTTTCAAGCCTCTACCTTCCTTTGTAGGTGAAAGTATTTTTCCTGATGCAAAGCCACACATTTGAACTCTTCACAGTTTAAATTGGAACACCATTTCCTCTGCACGACTGAATGGAGCTAGATCTTCTAACCCTTTGGAGCTGATTTGGGGAGACCATGAGCTGCACACAGTAGGAGGGGGAAATGTTCAATTGTGCAAGCGTAAATCCTTCTACTGGTGGGACACATTAGTTGGATACAGCCAAGAGTCTGGCAGCCTGACAGCATGGGCTAACAGCATGGACATTTTACTCTTTCCCCCAGTATATGCATTTTTTAAAAAAACATTGGTTGGTTGGACAACTACATTGCAAAATTCAGAAAAATATGGATTTTGAAGGATAGCTGTGTTTCAGTTTGAATATTGTTTTGAAAGTGTGAATTTGATAGATTTGGCTTTATATGCGAACTGAACTCAATTCTCCCCATCCTTAGTGATGGCTGACATCACTGAATTCTGACATCCAACAGACTTCCAAAGGGTTTGCTGTTACCACCAATCAGCTGATCAGTACTGACAGCGAGTCCCCTTGCACTTTTGACAGATGTGTAACTCCAATTTAAACCATAGTTTAATGAGACATATGAACTGGGCCAATGAGTGCCATTTCTGGCAAGCAACTTAAAGAGACTATTCCTCTTCTCTGCCCACATTTAAAGGCACACACTTCTTCCTGCAAAATCCATCCAAGGCTACTTGGCTGGATAACTTTCAGGTGTAAACTGGGACAAAAGACTAGCAATCTGCTGCAGAAAATGAGTTCCAGAAAAGCATGAGATGACTAGTGGTTACAGTCAGATGTACCAATGTTGGTCTGCATTTACTGTTGATCTGCCCCTTCTCCTGCAACCTGCTGAGTCGCAGCAACAATTTCCTTTCTGCATGCAGACAAGTCTTTGCAAGATCAAGTGCAACAACAGAGGCTGCAGAAATCAGCAAATAAATTTTTCAGTATCTAATATCAGTGCACAGGCACACTGATAGCAAAATACTGCATAACAGACTTGCCATTATGACTAGGTTATGTGACCAGACAAAGCCATACCTGGACCTACAAACTCTATATGCCAATGCCCCACAATGTGGTGCTCCCAAATTGCTTGATCTTCACATAATTATCATCTGATAATTCAAGTATGGGAAGAGAAGAATCAGGACAGGAAAGAAACAACCACAGAAAAACAAGAACATGCAGATGGAGTCAAGGAGGTCATCCCAAGAGAGTACCATACACCCACATCTGAATCCACACGTAATCTGCAAATATATGTAAGATGCCACAAAGTAAGTTCATCCACTTAGTAGAGTAGAGCTCAATAAGAAGGTTTGCCTCTGGAGTCACACCTGGAAAAGCTGTCACCAAAGCTACTATGATGCACCATCTCCATATGTATGCATATGACAGCAGAGAACTGGGAAAGGTAAGCTGCAATGGAGCACTGCTGCTCTTACCAGTTGTGGTGTATTGGAGGGGGAACATGCGAATGCAGCTCAGTGATTCCCCCCCCCCCACAAGTAGGAGTAATTATGTTATTGGCTTGGCTTGGTGTTAAGTCTAGCCTGCTGCCTTGGAACAAGCCACAGTATTCCATTTCTCCTGAGGTTTTCTCTCTCCAGTGACCATTATATAATATATTTTCAGACTGCCAATGGCTTTAATAAGCTTTCCTCCCTCACACACACTCCTCTACCTCACACCGAGTTGAAAAGGAAACCCAAACCACTCATAAGAATTGGGGGTGTTGGAGAAGAGGACTGTCTATATAGTTAGGTCAATATAAAAGCTTCATTCAAACGGTTTTGTATCTTACCTGTATTTGATGTTACCGTAGCAAGTACCATATACTAAAATAACAAAGTTTCCTTAGTTTGGTTAGAACAGGCTTCCTCAAACTCAGCCCTCCAGATGTTTTTTGGCCTACAACTCCCATGATCCCTAGTTAGCAGGACCAGTGGTCAGGGATGATGGGAACTGTAGTCTCAAAACTTTTGGAGGGCCAAGTTTGAGGAAGCCTGGGTTAGAATATGATACAGCTTTTCTATGTTACCATCCAAGTGCTGAATATCAAGCTTCAAAAAGTAAGACTCCAGTGTTTAGTGCTATTAACCATGCAAGCAATGCCCATCCTATGGCCCTGTTTCACTTTGGGCTTCTTGGCTGTCTGCTATGCACATGGTTACTATGCACAGTGGTCCTGTGTTCTCTCCCCCCCCCCCCCCAAGAACTGGAGACAGCTGCTTTGGAGAAAAAACAAGTCAGTAAGTAAGACTTACATGTGTCTTGAATACTTGCTGTTAGTTCCAAGGTGTAAGCGTATTTTTAAAAAAGAAAGAGAGAGGAAGGGTTAGTCTAACACATTTTAGATCTAGTATGTATATATAGCTATCTAAAAAAGTTAAATTGAAAACTTAGCGTTTTAAGGATGGTAATGATTAGCTTATGTCTAGTACTCCGAGCTCCTGTAAAAAGTTACATAAAACATCAACAAAAGTGTAAAGAGAAATTCATAGGTTACAGTTAATGCCTCAAGACCACAAAAGCAATTCAACACTTTTAAGAGGTAGTTCCGTGCCACTCCAGATGGTTTTGGACCACTAGTCTCATCATCTCAGACCATTCATTGTACCAGCTGTGGCTGATGGGAGATGGGCTAGAGGGCCACAAGTTTCTCTTCTTGTTTTAAAGGACGGACAAAAGCCTCAAACAAGATCAGTTTATTGAGAGTGGCTTAAGCATGTGAAAGACCAGGCTGAGGGTTAGCCCACAGGTTCAAAAATTCTTTCCATACGATGTGGCCAACACCATCCTCAGTTACATGTATGCCTCTGGTCCCTTGGAGAATTTAAAGTATGGCCTGCTTGTCAGTAGCTATTTCCACAATCACTGTAACATTTTTTTTGACACAACAATTAAAGTGGGAAGTTGTATATGGAGATACTAATGACACATGTTCCATACAGATAGGGAGACTTCATGAGGAATCACTTTGGTCCATGCGAACCAGACCAGACAGCATTAGATATTTGGAGCTAGCCTACTTGTAAGGTTAACCATGCCATTTAGACTTCCACAAATCATTTAAAAACTCTAAACAGCAACCATGAAGTGGGGGGGGGGAGGATCAGGATTGGGAGCATGGAACCAACCCATTGTTTCCCTGCTATAGTCCCACTAAAAATAAAGAGTGTCTGCTCCCTCTCTCCCACTGAAACCAATGGCCAAAGAACCCCTTGGTTTATCTTTTGAATGGTTTCTACTTCTAACCTACATGAGTATGGTAAAGATGTGAAGTGTATCGCGCCTACTGTCCCTACAATGATGTTACTGGCCCCACCCTAAGATGTCCGAACATTAGCTGAAATTTATTAGTTATTCCTATTCTTATCCTCTTCTTTTTTAAATCAATTACGGTACCCATCCATGAGATTGGTAATTATCTAATTCTATGGCTACTAAGTTTCCCTAGGAGTCTCCAGTTTCTGTAAGTATATCTGTTGGGTTCTCCCTCCATACATATTTGCCAACAGCTCCAAAATTCTAAAGATGGTGAAGCAAGGCTTTCTCGGGCAGAAATCTATATTTATCATCAGCCTCCTCTTAAGAATCCCTTTGTCTGAATGCAGATGATGCTCAAGTTTGATTCAATATATTTTCAGCTGCCTCTCCAACATCATCAAGGGGAAGTTTGCTGGCTAAACAACTCAGAATTCAAATCTGATACCCTGGCTTCACTGGTGGACATTTGCTCTAACTCACCCCTGCACCTGTAGAAACCACTAATCTCTTTGAAAGAGGGAGGGCTTGAGGGTCTGGGTTCAAAGGGAAAAGAGAGCTCATTTGTGTGGAGAGTCATCAATTTGCAAACTTATCATAAACCCAGAGCAGCTGTAGCTATTTATGCACCACCTGCTTGATTTAGTAAAACCTGAAACCTTTCAAGTTCACAAATAGGAGTGATGAATTAATTAGCTGAGCCTCTGCTACAAACAATGGGCAGGCACCAGAGGGCTAAAGGAGACAGAGCACTTTGCTGTGTTCAATAAAAGGAAGATTAAAAATCCAATTCCCCAGCAGCTTAGAGAAGGAAAAAGGGACTCTAGAGCCTGATGCATGCAAAAGGGAAAGAAAACCTTTGAAATGGGCCCAGCTGGGTGAGGCAGATGTATTGCAGATCTCTTAATGTTTTCCTTTGATTTGGGGCACCCCACTTTTCTGTATCATCCTATTACAAGGTCCTGTGTTGAGCAACACTGCTTTGAAGTAGGCAATACTTCAAAACATTTGTCCAACCATCTCACCAAAAGGATATGCACTGCATCCACCCCAATATCTGCTGCCTAGTAGGATTGCTCAGCTGTCCAAAAAGCACAAGTTGAAATGAAGTGAAAGTCTAAGCATAATTAGGATGTCCCAAGGATGTCCCAAGGAGCTCTCTTGTAAACATACTTAAGACTGCAGCCTTTGAACTGAAAATGTTCCAGTTGATCACTTAGCTTTCTTTAGGGAAAGGGGTAGACTAGGGACACCGCTTCATATACATTTTCAACACAGGCCAAGCGACGGCATGTGCATGTTACATAAGAGGCACAGGAGGATGGCATCTGAACATTGTATGTGTGACACATATTTATCATGCAACAGCCCCAACACAGCAAATGGAAAGCCGTAAAACTGACATAAACGGCACATAAAACTGTACTGCAGTTACATAACCTCCAACAAAGAGCTAATCTTATACATCTCCTGCCCCAAGCGGACTATTATTGGAATTAAGTGATAATAGACGGAAGGTGCTTTAGAAATGCAAAAGTTTGTTTAAAAGCAAGCAAGCTTTAGAACAAGTACTGAGTGTGCCTTTTTTTTTCTTTCTAAGGTCCTATTACACTCATTCTTCCATTCAAAGGGAGGGGGGAACCTGTTACCAGTAAGAAGTTCTCAATCTCTCTCTCTTTAGAAAGTACTTGTATTTGATTCGACTGCCCCTGTGTTCCTTTTCCGAGACTCGCCTATCAGAACAAGTAGTGAGCTTTTTGATTAAGTGTAACCAGAAGCAATCAAAGCTTGTGCCCCAAATAAAATTATTAGCGCCCTCATCATGAAACTCAGTGTCAGATAGGCCTGGGGAGCCTTCACCTTTGCCCTTCCCTATGTTGTTGGACTACAATGCCCACCATCCCTGACAATTAGCCATGCTGTCAGAGGCTAATGGGAGTTAGAGTTCAATTACATTTGGAGGGTCATGGGTTCCCCACCCCTGAGTTAGACAATGCCAAAGAGACCTTTCAACAAAATCTGCATTATATTAAACCAACAAGGGACTAGCAGTGCAATCTGATGCAAGTTTGCTGAGAAGAAAGTTCCACTGTGTTCTCTCATAGGGAGGTGATCCTAGCTAAGATCCTAGCCTAAGTGTCTTCCTTCAGTACCAGGTCCCAGTGACTACAATTGTGTGATTGACTCTGAAACAATAAAATTCTCCTTTGGGGTGTTTGCTTAGCTCTGTTTGAGCTGAGATACTTTCTCTGCTAATGTAACAGAGCTTTGCCTATTATTATTATTATTATTATTATTATTATTATTATTATTAAAATTTTATTAAATATTTTCTTTGGTTACCAAAATACATACGTTGTCTCAATTTTCATAAAGTCCTTTCTATAGATCAGACACATCCGATGTGAGACTTGAAAGTTGTATACAGTATAAGGTTGGGGAGAAGAGACATATGGAGAGAACTCCGTTTCTTTAAACCAGCTTCCTGCTAAAGCAGTTTTTGCTAATTCAGTTATCTTAAGCGTGGCCATGACACCCACTGCTAACTAATGCCAGGGTGGGTGCCCATGCTTAGAACTCTTCTTTTACATTTCCTGTGAAGAATAGGGATGAACAACAGATGCTTCCAACCAGTTTAAAACAGCATTAAACAAAACTTCTATCAGGCTGCTAGGGGGGGATGGCCTAAAGTCACATGATGCAGCAGGCTTGTTGAAATTTTGCTGAGCTTTGTGTTATTCATGCATAGTAAACAGAAGAAAGAAGATACTGAAATGAACAATCATTAAATGCACCCAAGCCTCATGAATGCAAATAGTATTGCTTAGACTCGTAAACCAAAAGGCAAATATGTGTTCTTTCAAAATGTTTAACTATACATTTCCACTCAATATTCACAAAAACTCTGGTGATTCATACCTCTTCAAATCTTTTTTCTTTTTATTTGTACTTTAAACATTAAAAATGTTTCAGTTAAAAAACTTAAACATTTCAATGTTTCAGGTACAAACAATAATAATAATAATAATAATAATAATAATAATAATAAAAGATTTGAAGAGAGATGAATCACCAGAGTTTTAATGATTGTTGAAATTTCACAATAAGGATGCTGGGCAGGTGTAAATGTCTGTATACAATGTATACAGGAAATGTATACAAGGTCATATGTAAGAGGTCCTTATACCATCATGTAAACTGGTAAAGCATACATATAGACAAGCAAGCATATACTGTATATAAATTAGGGGAGATTCAGATCCCTTAGTCCAAATCTCAGGTAAAGGGTACTGACCACACCAGCTTTCCTGTTTCTGAGATGAGATGAAGGTGAGTTAGGAGCCTATTTGTATGCCAGGAATTCATGAGTCTCTACAAACCACCATATGAAAGTAGGATTAATTCAGTGTGATTTGAACTCAGAAAGTAAACCACAGTTAACAGGTTCAGCTACAACAGGATGCTAGTTATCACATGGTAAGGGCCAGATGTTCTTTTTGAATCATCCCCTTGAACCATAGGTCAGTAGTAAAACATGCAGATAGTCCCAGGTTGAGTCCTAGACATCTCCAGGGAGGGCTGAAACATTAGATAAACCGCTGTGAGTTACTGCACCCAATACTGGGATAGATGGACCAATGATTTGATTCCATATAAGGCAGCTGTCTATGTTCCTAGTAGGAGTCAAGATGAGAACATAAAGCAATCCCAGACAAGAGCTTCAAAGCTCCTGAGATCTACTTTTCTAGGTCAAATAATAAAAAGTATATTCAGTACATTGGTCTGAAAATGGCTTTTCCATTCGTATTGTGAAACGAGCTTGGGTGTTTTTTTCTCTTCACTGGAATAGTTTGGCAGCCATTCCACTAATAACCATTTAAAAACCAGCAGTAACAGCCATGCTAGTACAAAAAGAGAGATGATCTATTTACATGACCAAGAAGACTACAACCGAACATTATGGCCAGGCACCATTAGTTGCTTTTCTAGCTGGACAATCATAAACACATAATGAGCTGAAATGAAAATTAAACCATCCTCCCAACACATAGAAAACAGATTGGGCCATGGAATGAAACCATCAGGCAATATGGACATCTAAAATGTTCTTTGAATATGTCATGTGTTCTGGGTTCACTTTACATTCTGTGAATTTGCCTTTATATCTTTTGTGTCACCTCCTTACCCCCAAGCAGTTGAATATAAATATAAATATAGTCTAGTTCAAGTTACAGATTCTGTTTTTTTACCCAATTATGTGCTTCCAATGACATTTGTCATGAAAGCTTAACTATCTTCAGAAATCGAACAAAAAAAGTCAGGGCAAACATCCAGTCTTTTCTCTAACCATTCTCTAACCAGGGCAGCTTTCCTCAGCCTTTTATTGGGACTACATTATGGCGTGCCCAATAGTCAGGGATGATGGGACTTGTAGCCCAGCAACATTTGAAGACCTCAGGTTGGGGACAGCTGCCCCAGAGATGGAACTGAGAAAGTAAATAAATAAATGAATAAACAATCAGTGGACTTACGATCCCGAGGGACTTCAATGGCTCTGATGAGGTGATGAAAGTATAAAGCGAGCACCACTCCCGTATAGGTTAGGAGATATCTTTGCATTACCATTTTGAATATTTGGCTAAGATCCTACGTCCCCAGTTTCCTCCAACAAGGCAAAGTGGTGTCTTACTACCGTAGTGCAGCAGGATAATATGATTTACTGTAAAAAGAAAAGAAAATGATTTAATGACATGCAACTAAGATTCATACATACTGTATTCATCTTTCTTAAAAAAATATTTAGAGGAAGACTGCAAAAGGCAAGCAAATTCCACATTTCATTTAGCCTTTTGTACCCTGGTAACTAAGAAGAGGGTCACACAAAGGATTAAGCCACTTTCCCCCTGACCTTTTCTACTCAGTTCTAATAGACTGGGTAAATACACACACTAGCTCTACATGACACCTTATTTTAGGCAACGGTTCTCAACTTGTGGGTCCCCAGATGTTGTTAGACTACAACTCCCATCACTCCTGAACTCTGGCCTTGCTAGCTAGGGGTGATGGGAGTTGTAGTTCAACAACACATTGGGACCCACAGGTTGAGAAAGGCTGTAGAGGAAAAAATAAATAAATCAAATGTTAAAATTCAGAATTGTAAATGTAGTTTATGCCCCCAGATTCTTAAGATTTGTTACTCAAGAATAGCTCTAGTGAGGTTTGTTAAGTTACTTGACTTGCGTTCAGGCACACATATTTTTCTCTTTCCTCTTTGCAACTAACACTCAATATTCTGTGGCTTCTGAGAATGCTCAGCCCTTTAACAAACCAACATAAATATACTTTTTGTACTTCTACAAATCTTTCCCCCCAAACATGTTGCTATCTTCCTTTTGTTCCTGTTTCAGTTCTAGTCCTGTCAACAAACCCCAGTGGTGACTGCATTGCTATTAGAGGGAGTGATAAAGAGGGCTGACTTTGTAGACACACCCCCACCCCCACCCCCACCCATACATACACATACACATATACATATACACACCCACACATATACCCACTCCCACCCCACAGTCTTACACACACAGTGAAAAGCATGCACCTCCTACCAATTGTGTCCTGTACCCTTGAGCTGGTTGACAGTATACTGTAATTATTAACAATAGTACTGACTTCAGTATTCTGCAACAGCATATGCTACCAGGTCAATTGTCACTTCTGTATTTACTGAGAAAATGATGCTCAGATGCAACTTCTCTTGGTAAGGAAGCTTTCCACTTTTTAACTCAACTTTCCAGATAGCCTGAGATAGGAAAGGTGAAAAGGATTGCCTAGAGTAGGGGAGGGAATGGGGAGTGTTCAGAAAGAGACACAGCATCACTTTTCTTCTGCTTAACCTTCAACTTGTGTAGAAGTTTTGTTTGTATGTTCTGTCTTATCTCACTGGTGGCAGGGGTGTAGGAAAGGGGGGGGGCTGCCCCAGGTGCCATCATGGAGGGGTGTGTGTGACAAATTATCAAGGAACAATTAGTGCCCTACTAGGGTGGTTCAAAAAAACCAAACTTTTTTTAAAATACCTGCTCCGAAGGTCTTATCTTACTACACTAGGGATTATATAGCTATATATGAAATTTCATGCATATCAGTTAATATCTTGATCCTCCTCCATGAAAATAGCTGTTTACTTGGCCATTTTCCTATGTCGTGAAGGCTGAATTTTCAATTCAGTGGAGAAGGTCAAGATATTAACTGATATGCATGAAATTTCAGATATAGCTATATAATCCCCAGTTTAGTTAGATAAGACCTTTGGAGCAGGCATTTTTAAAAAAAGTTTTTTATGAACCACCCTGCTGCCCTACCCTCCACTGGGCTTCCCGGGTCCTGGAAAGTCGGCCTATGTGAAGAAAATGAGACTAGGCTGAGTAGATTAGGTCTTGCCTTGCCTTCACCCCGCCCCCTGAACACAGCCGATTTTTCTTGATTTTACTGCTGTGGTTTTTTTTGTTTTGGTAAACCACTTTGCAGGTTTTAAAAAATAAATTTTATTAAATAAATAAACAATAAATATAAATAAAATAACACAAGTCAAAACACAATCCATCCTGTAGATTTAAGTATACGTCCATAGTCGCCTACTTATTATCAGAGGCCCAGAATCCGCATTCCTTTGTAAGAAAATATGAAATAACGTAAGGCAATTTAAAAAAAAAAAAATCAATTTTTTTTGGGGGGTGACAAGAAATTTTCCACACCAGGTACCACCTGACCTTCCCACGCCTCTGACTGGCGGAAATCAGCCATTGTCCACTTAGATCTTGGAAGTGACTTCTGTGTACACACACAATGATACAGAACTTAGTGCTTTTTTAAATTCATGAAAATAACACCGCTTTTGTCAATGGGAAAGAGACTAGGTTAGAACAGCACAGACCAGTTTGTAAGACACAGACTGCATCTGTTCTACTGAAGTCTTATTCTGAAAGACTAAGATGCCCAGCCACCATCACTCTGGTGTTAGCATATTGAACTTCCCAGTACCTCTGAGAAAAGAGAGGAATGCTATTACCATAATCATGAAAAATGTGCAAGAAACTAGTGATATTAAATAATAGCTCAGAAATTCTTGCAGGGGTGCAGCTGCTACATGATTCAGAATGCTGCAGGTGGTGGTTTTTAAAAATGTTAAAACCTGCTTTCTTCTTGTCTCCTGAGAGCCAAATTTCAAGAAGGATCCAACACATGGTTCAGGCATGCAGTATCTTCTGCTCAAACAATAGTGCTTTAAGAGACTGAAGGAAAAAAACAATAATAAAGAACTGGAAAATATTCCCTTGGTCATTAAAGATATGTCTGCCTGACAGCTTGCCATGTTCTTCCTTATTGCTATAAGATCTGCTCAGGAATTGAGTAGGTGCCCTGGGAAATCTCAGGCATCCTTTATCCTATACTCAAGTATTCTTTATACCCCTATACTCAAAGCAGAAAAGCTGTTTGCTGATCCCCTGCAAAGCATGATCACAGAACTAGAAAAAACAAGCTGAAGCACACTACGTGTGTGCACTGCACCAATTAGATATTCTGGAACACCACATTCATCTAATCCCCTAAATGAGGAATATAGGAAGCTGCCTTATACTGAGTTAGAGCTTTGGTCTATTTAGCTCATCATTGTTCACTGACTGACAATGGCTCTCTGATGCAACAATAGTAAATTGGTGGGTTCAGTGGCAGGCAGCAAAGGGAGGAAATGGGTGCAGGTGGTGCTGTGGGTTAAACCACAGAGTCTAGGGCTTGCTGATCAGAAGGTCGGTGGTTCGAATCCCCGCGACAGGGTGAGCTCCCATTGCTCGGTCCCTGCTCCTGCCAACCTAGCAGTTTGAAAGCACATCAAAGTGCAAGTAGATAAATAGGTACCGCTCCAGCGGGAATGTAAATGGTGTTTCCGTGCACTGCTCTGGTTTGCCAGAAGCGGCTTAGTCATGCTGGCCACATGACCCGGAAGCTGTACGCCGGCTCCCTCAACCAATAAAGCGAGATGAGTGCCGCAACCCCAGAGTCATCCGAACCTGGACCTAATGGTCAGGGGTCCCTTTACATTTACCGTACTTACAACAACATGCAACAATCTATTTCAGTGTGCAGTGCTCCTGTTCAGGATTCTAGCCAACCAGTCCTGTCTTCTATTGGGCATTGCCAACATTCACACATTCACTGAATTTCGGAAATTCAAGGTAACATATACACAATTATGGATCTACTTTTGAAGTAAATACAATCATACTTAATGAACATTATAAATTATAAATCATTTCACCAGCTAATATAATTCATTGTGTTGTTATCAAATTAAGTATCAAGTGCTTACATGCGGGGGATTCTAGACTTCATACGCTTTAAACTTACCTTCCAGTGCTAGATTGCTAATCTCTAGCACAATGACTGAGTGAAATAACCAAGATGGTTACAAAACAGACATCCCATGACAATTTCAGGCTGAGAAACATTCTGACAAGTCTTGACTTAACACGCACACCCGTCGCTCTGGCAATGTGAATTTAAAGGCAAACAAATGGGGATAAATCACTCAGTTTCAAAACACCAAAAACCTGCTTCACAAAACTACTACAATAACTCATCAGAGCTTGCCTCATCCCTGATTTACAGTTTATCTTGAATAGAGCTATAAATATCTGGCTTCCATTTAGACATGCAGACACATTTGCTCATATCTAAAATAAAAACAAAGCTGTATGAGAAAGCATCCCCAGACTTGTCTTTCTACTCTGTGTCCTTGTCAGAGTTTACAGTTGTTGCACATGGACAATGGTGCAAGAGGAAACTATTGGTAAGGCAAGGAAACCCCAGTTTCATGAAATATAAATACGCAGCAGCAGTTTTGGCTGCAGCTCATCAATGCAAATAGCAAATATAAGAACATGAAGGCATTATTGCACTGGTAATAGTTCATTTAAACAGCAATTTTGTCAAGGATGTTTTAAGAACATATTGAATAGTTTGGACTAAATTGGAGGAAACCCTTGATGACGATGTATACATACTGGCCCAAGGAGATGGTGATGAGTAATTAACAGACTGCCACTTGATATGCTCTTTTATATATATCAGAGCTTATCTTGTACAACAGGGAAAAATATATTCTACAGCTGCAGAGAATGGCAGATGATCTTCTCTTTGCTTCTGCAGTATGACCCATTGGTTAATTCACAATTATTCCCCACCACCTCTCCATAATATGCAGGGAAGGGACCAAGAAATGCCCTTATTGAATTTGGGTAATGACGTCTACATTCTCAGTCCTTCCCATGTACCAAAGAAGAGGAATTTAGCAAGGGAATAACACAGTTTTCCTGGGATAGTAAAAGTAGCACCAGCAGTTTACAAGCAAGATGACAGCCATGATTGCTGATTCATGGCCCTGTTGTATTTTAATTGAAGACAATAGCTGGACTAGGTGAAGAAAAAGCCTAGTTCCTGGAGAATAAATGAACAACTGTTTGCTGCTTACAAACATAACCAGAGAGGAATATGGACTTCAACATCAACAAGCAATAAAATATAGCCAAATATATAAGCACATTAAATCATTCCCAAGCATGCCTCTTATTCTGCTTGTACAGTGGTGCCCCGCAAGACGAATGCCTCGCAAGACGGAAAACTCGCTAGACGAAAGAGTTTTCCGTTTTGGAGGTGCCTCGCAAAACGAATCTGCTATGGGCTTGCTTCGCAAGACGAAAATGTCTTGCGAGTTCCTGGGTTTTTTTTTTCCCTTTCCCCCTCTTTTTCTAAGTCGCTAAGCCGCTTATCTGCTTATCCGATAAGCTGATAAGCTGCTAAAAGCCGCTAAAAGCCGCTAATAGCGCTAATAGCGCTAATCCGCTAATCCCATCAATGGGCTTGCTTCGCAAGACGAAAAAACCGCTAGACGAAGAGACTCCCAGAACGGATTCTTTTCGTCTTGCGAGGCACCACTGTAAACCACTAAAGCCTGCAAGTTCATTATGGAAAGAATTCAAGTTTCTAAGGCCTCATTAGATCACCTGGTTTAAAGACCATCTCACAACTGGAAGAATCCACCCTCATAACACATCAGTGACAGATTTTAGGCCCTCCCCCACTTCCTTCCTTAGCAGCCTAAGGCTCTGTTGTATTGTCTCTCTTCATTTCTCTGTGTATTCTGGGAGACGGGGTGGGGGGAGAGAGACCTGGTTGCAGCAGGAGGGGGAGACTCCTTGGATTCTTCAGCAGCCTGCCTCATCCTGTCTCCTGGCCCCGCTCCTCTCCTGCCTCTGGGTCTGGACTGCTCTCTGCCCCAGTCTCTTCCTGCTCACTAAACACTGTTGCCTCTTCGGTGTCTAACAGCTCCTCCTCTCAGTCTGCTCCCTCTGACCAGGCATTGCCGTCCCACCACCAATCCCCTGGCTCTGAGCATTTTTCCCTTGAGGGATTCCCCAGCTAGTGCCTCCCACCACTTTTCTGCATGAAAACACACATTGCCGAAGGAATACGGGAACAGGGTGGTATGTAACAATAGTGTACCAGCAAATGTCTTCGTTATATGCAGGGGTCTTAGATGATGTTTGGTAAAACTGGGAGGCTTCCATCAGCCTGCCTTGGGCATCAGAGGAGGCAACCACACCAGATGTTTACAAGGCAGCACTTCCATGCCAGTAATGTAGTCTCTATAGTCAGCAGCTGTGACCACCGAAGGGCCCCTGTGTGCTCCTGCCGCCACCATAACCATAGTTAGGTGTGTTGAGTTGTACAGACAGAGAGAGCTGAGGAGCACAGTGGCACCCTTCTCCTCCCTCCAGGTCCTGCTGCACCCCTGAGAGTGGCCAGGCTGCCTGACATAGTGAGAAGCCATGATGGCTTTTCATGACAGTCCCAGCATTTTCAAGACAGTTGGAGGTACTATATAAGCATCATGACTTGTAGTCACTGATGGCCTTATCTGCCACAAACTTGTCATGTGTCAGGGGATTTGTACAACTGAACCCAGAGGCTCGAGGAAGCCAATGAGCTCCTATAGCAAGCTCATCCATTACAGCTTAGGCTTCTGAGCTAGGTAATCCGAGGCAGTACTCTATATAAGCAGGACTGCAGATCACAACCAACAACTGCATCTTTTCTTTTAATAATATACATTTTGACCACAATCCAGCAAAACTTTGTGTGTATGAGTGCAAGTCTCATTTGATGCCAAACTAGCATAGAATACCTCCACCACCACAAAAGGGGGTGCATTCTTTCCCCCCCTTACAAAGAGTGTTCTGCTTTTAAACAATTTTTCTTTGCGGAAAGTATGTCTAAAAAACTATTTGAAAAGTTACGGATTGGGGAGAAGGTTAAATACACAGAGGCAACTGAGCTAATGTTCTGTCTCCCAATCCAGCTGGGTACAGATAAGTGGTTGGGACAGGGCATGAAATGAATTCCAACACTTCTAATCCAAAATCAAAATTCATGAAAATTTGGCACAGCACTAGTCAAAACTTGCCAACCTTACTAGTTTTCAGACTCATAGAACTCATACAAGGAAGATATGGCAAGACAAAGGCTCATAGCACTTATCTATGGCGTGTGGCTTATGAATATATTTCCATGCAGCTTTTTTTCAGCCATGATCTACTCTTGGTTCCGTTTGCAAAATGTACTGTTAGGCTCTGTTACAGATTAAGCCATGTCCTGCATATAATGCCTATCACTAAAATGCACGGGTAATTTACATATGGAAGCCGGCATCTCTCTCTCTCTCTCTCTCTCTCTCTCTCTGTTCCTTCAATCAGTGATATGCTAAATTCAGCATCTTATTCTGGGAATCCAACACTGCGCGCGTGCACTCACCCACCAGCAAATCCTCTCTGTTTGTCCCAATTTCACCAGTCAGATTAGAGATTAAGAGGGGTGTGATTTTTTTTAGCTTGTGATTCCCCAACGGATGTTCTAAAGATGTTTTCCCAGCTGTCGCCAAATATAAATATAACAAAAATAAAAACTTCATGACCATTACTCTTAGCTTCTAACACCTGATACACATGTTATCCAGTATTTCATTCTGTTGGACAGGTATGAAATGAGTCATTATTTGCAAAACAAATTTGGGAGAACAGTAAATTTTCTGAACTAATCGGCAATCCCCTTGTGACCCCTCCACAATCCTAGCTCTGACTGCATTAAAAAAAAAAAGTTGAGAGATCAATTCCTGGCAAAATATAAAGTTTGGCGCTCACTGACAGAGCAACATAGGACCAAAGGACTAATTGCACATTAACGCTAATGCATTCAATGGGGACCAGCAAATCAGCTTTCGGAGGGAGAAAATTAGAGCAGAGAAGTGGCAAAAAGGGAATCATAACCTATGCCCACCAGCTGTTTTCCCAAAGAAAAACCCCACATGGCTTTTTCAATTTGGAGTAAAAACACAGCTGGTAGTGAAAGGTTACCTGGCCCTCCTCCTGGTCTTCCACTCTAAATGACTTTCTCAATTTCCAAAGCTACTTTGAAAATGGTGCCAGGTGCTAGTAATATACTCAAAGAACCATCCAAAGTCCCTGTTGCCAAAGTTCTGAGGAGCGGTAAAGCCACCGCTGTATCTGCAGCTTGGCCATTCATGGTGGCAGGAGTGGAAGGTGCAGGGCAGATAGATAGATTAGGCCTGATCGCTGCACAAGCTCCAGGCTGGCACAGCAACTAGGCCCAGATGGGGTTCAACGCTGGTAGGGTGTGACAGTGGCTTAGGATGCAGTGGTTCTCAAGCCAGCTCAACCCTGCCCCACTTTTGGAACACCATGTTTCAGGGCTTCCTGCTGGGCTCTGCTGAAAGGGATAGTGCTGGCGGATCGTCTACCAGCACTCATGTTCAGTGGGCAGAACGGAGAAATTTGCACCAATGGAGTGACACTTCTATCACTCTGATGATGCTGGCTGGCAGAACACACACACACACACACACACACACACACACACAGAGACACACACACGGTAAAGGTGTGTGTGGATTGCAGCCTCAAACAGTTCTCAAGAGTCAACTTGATGGTGTCTTGTGAAAAGCTAAGTAACAAAGGAGATAGACCATGGAAATTGATATACTGCATGGGAATTAGGAACTACATTAAGAAGGCAAGTCAGTTTCAAAATGAATGGTATTCACTGTATGATAAAAATGAAAGACAGAAGCTGTCAACCTACAGGCAATGCCATTCATATTTTTGCAGACATGTTAACAGAGTAAACAAGATCCAAATGCAATCTCTCCAAATGTAAGAAATCTCAGTGCCTGACAGCTCCACTGACATCTTTTTATGAGCGGGCAACTCACCGTTTTCCTAGAAGCAATTTGCTGCCATACTTGTGCGAGTGGGTGGTTTGCAGTCAGGAGACACACACAGTGCTGTTTGCCCACAGCTGTACATCAGATCAGAACACAGCCCACGCTGTCCCGACCTTTTCTGTCCCTGAGACTGAGATTCCACCCACACTCTTACTAATGCAAAAACGAAAGGGTTTAACAGAGAAATGCACAGAGATGCTGACAGTGATATAACTGTGATTTCTTAAATGCATGACTAATTCCCCCCCAGGTTTATCAGTAACAAGAACTTTATTTGTTGTCACCAAGCTAGCTTTGTAGATAAAAAGAATTGCATGTGGGTTCCAGGTAACAGGTGTTATAGTGGAGTTCCACTAGATGCTGGCTTCAAATGAGGGTGAAAATATATAGCCGTTTTAAGAAGTGCATAAACATAATGGCATTTTCCACAGATAACACCATGTTTGAACATCCACAATCAATCCAAGAGACTAGCCATAGTCTGTTTTCTGGCAGCAAACCACCAGTGTGAAGCCATGAGCTGCTGCTGGCTAATAAACCATGGCTGGTCTTAACTATGGTGTAGTTTTACATCCAAACCACATAAGTCTTACTTACAAAGCATGGTTTGTTTGTCCACCCTACCTCATACGTTTTTCAAGTTACAGGTGCATGAGGTAAGAGCAAGTGGAATAAAAACCAAGTGTGGGGAATCAAGCCATGTTTTGCTTGCTTGTTTGCACTCATTGTTTGTTTAACAAACCACAATTTAAAGGCTACCTGGTTATGGTATCTCTTTCAAAAGTTCCACATCTCGTGATTCAGCACAGGCCAAAAAATGCAAAAAAAATACAAAAAAAAATTTCACACAAAAAATAAGAGTAAGGCCAAAATGGATAGTCTGTGCCGATGGGACAACTGGGGAGGTCAAAGGAGGTCTGTTAATATGCTTCAGATCCAGCTTTCCCTATCTCTAGTATAGGTCTGCCTCCGTATTTTGAGTCTACAATATTATGTAGTGAGTGTGCTGTTTTCTCAGGTTCTCTTCTATGTCTCAAGCCCTGACACTGCCCTTTTGCCATTTCAAAATGTCAAATATTTTTTAAAATACTCTAATTATTCATGTTACTATATGCCATTTTAGTCAAGTTTTCAGAGTCAAGGTACATTGACCCCTTTTATTATCACTGTGTTAAGTGGCTGCCTTCAGGCTACCCCAAGAGAGTGTCAGGGAGAAAGAAAGACAGAGCGATTTCACACAGCAGGCCAGCAAGCTGCTAAAAGCAAGCATGATGGGTACAGGCCAGATGCAGAATCAAACAAACCCTGAATAGAAATTTCACTGTGTTGTTTTATGCCTTGTGAAGATGCATATTACATGCTTCTTTGCATTTAGATTGCATATTGCAGTGCTTAATAGTATGTAATACTCCAGGATGAGAATTCAATCTTACATCAATGTCTGATTGAAAAGGGCAGATAAAGAAGGATTAAGTATTGCCAGTCAAAAGCATTGCCAAAATAAAAATCTCTAGAATCAAGACTGAGCGGTAAAAATATCTTTATCTAGACAGGGCTATTTACACACACACTTACCATGTGTGTGTGCTAGGGTGGGAAGAGGGGGGTTGTCTTCATTAACACATCTCAAAGTACACATTTCAATTTTTTCTTCTGGAATCACTTGTTTTGTACAGTGAAAGTTATAATTACTAAACGAAAAGGCAAATAAGAAACCCAAAGATCTGTTTGGCGGTGCCAATGTTATAAAGCGCAACCACTGATCTATATTGCAATACCATCAGATATACTGGCAGAAAATCTCCCTGATCTCAGGCAAAGGCCTTTCTCATCTCTGCTAATAGTGATTAATTAGCTACGGTTGTCAGTGTTTGAACCTGCTCTAAATGCCCAGGGCAACTAACTTTTAAGCTGTCTACTCAAATGTTTTGTGGGAAGAGACCCAAAAGAGCAATGCCATGCCAGCTGTAGTTCCTAGTCATATATACATCATGAGGCATCCTTGTTATGTCACATTTTGTGGGTGAGGTTTCCTATCAGTAGAAAGTTGATACCCGTCTTGCTGTAGACAAAAATGATTCATGTCAACAGAGGGTGAATTTAAGTGGGGGGGGGGTAAGAACAAACGAAAGAGTGGTATCCAGCTACGTAGATCCACTAGCAGAAGGACTTTCGGCTGTGAGAAGGAACTTCCCCTCACTCTCGTCTCCTCATGCACCCCCTAAATCTGTTCTCAGATCACACCATTGGCCCATTCAGTTCAGCATTTGCCCATGCTGGCTGGCAGCAGCTCTCCAGGTTTTCAGCAGGAACCTTTCACAGTCTTACCTGGAGATGCTAGTGGTTGAACCTGACTCAGGTACAGGATCTGTTCTGCAGAGCTTCTCAGGTTCAATCCCTGGCAGCTCCAGCTAGGGCTAGGAAAGATCCCATGTATGAAACTCTGGAGAGTGCAGACAATACTGAGCTAGATAGACCAATGGTCCGACTCAGTATGAGGCAGCTCCCAATGTTCCTGTGATTATTTGCATACAGAGCATGTTTTCTACCACTGAACTATGTCTCTTCCCAAAGGGATCAAACACTATGTAGTTACTATTGCTTGACTTTGATTTTAAGACTTAGATATTTTTTGTATTACAATTTTATAACCCTTCCCACTATCTGTATGCCCTGAGGCACTAAGTCACCAAAGAACAGCTCAAAATTGGAATGTGTTGTTTATCACCAATATTTTCTGTTTAGAGAGTCCAGACATCCCCAGACTGAGTACTCCATCCTTTTTCCTTTTGTGTATATAACATATTGCATCTCCACACACTTTAAGGCACACAGTTTATATTTAGCTTTAAATTAATTCATTTCCGGTATCTGTGTGAATAACTACTCTGCTATGTAAATGAGAATCTAAAAGTAAACTTCATCCAAGTACTAATTATAGTCACAATGAAAAATCACACAGTACTAAACTGCACCAATGTACAAAAATAGCCACAATTATCATGCTTTTAACAAACAGGAAGAATATGTGGCTTTTAAAATGCAGATGGTAAAATTGGGAAGCCCAGTTGATTTCCTAATTATCTCTTTATGCAGAGCTTTCACTTGTCACATAGTAGCCAACTAAATAAAGGCGTGATTTTGATCACCATTAATATAGGCCATAATAGGCCATAAACTATGGTTAGGAAAATTAGAGCTGCATGCTGGTTTATGCAGCTCAATCACTCTATACGTACTTCCTTCCTAGATGGGAGAAAGAAACTACAGAGCAGCTGACTTAGCATTATAAACCAGCACATGGTTTGTTTCTTTCCAAACAAATCATGACCAGAAACCAAGGGCTGTTCTTGGCTTCCCTCTTGTGGTTTGTTTGGAGAGAAACAAACCATAAGTGATGTTTTGCCTGTAATTCTTTGCCTTATGGTTTTTTTCTCTGCTCTGGAAGAAGGGAAGGGATTGCTCACACATAGGCTGATTCTTCTATCTACGGTTATTGGGAACATGGTCATTGGGATTTTTAATTACCAAAGTTGTGGGAGAGCATTACTGTTCTTTATTATCACCACAGTGGGGCAGACATAGTAAATACTGGCTCAAGTTCAACCTTGAAAATTATAGAAAAGGAGTAGCTAAGAAGTCTAGAGAACATTTATAAAAGTGAAAAAAGCACCAATGAAAAGCACAGAGGCGAAGATAAGAAGTGAGAGAGAAAATAATATTTCCTTGGCAAAATTAAAGAGATGAAATATCCCAGAACAGAGAACTGTTTTTAATCAGCCTTTCAGGAGTATCAGAGTACTTTTGGTAGCAATTAAGCATTTAAAGTGTATTTACAATTTACAGAATGAACATAAAAATGCCAGTTGCTAATATCCCCAGGAAGACACTTTGTGATTCCTGCTTTATCGCTTTTAATCACATAATTACAAGTGATTCAGTAGTAAACTGTTCCTGTAGAGGTTTCTGCATCACATTTCAAAGAATACAGCAACTTGTTACTGGTTTATACAAGGTGAGGGATCAATTTAAAAGGATGTTAAAAATGTCATTTGTAGGAAGAACATTTTAGGGCCTACTTAGGATTACTTGTCATACAGCTTCCTTTGCTCATACATTTTCCCACAATACATGGCCTGGATTTCCTGGCTTCCATCTTTATAAGGAATCTGTTTGTCACTTTTGGCTGTTGTCATACATTATAAAAACTATCACAAATCCAGAAGACAACTGTAGTGGCTCTGATTCTACATCCTGTTCTGACAGTTCTCCTAATCTGTCCTGAATCACCTCAGTTTTATGACTGACTGGAACAAGCAGGATAACCAGGGTGGTTTCTTTTCCTTTATTTTTAAGTATGTATGAAACACAAAAGCTGGTTTTACTCTCTTACCTCTTTATGCCCTACACCATTCTTGAACATAAATGCCGGCAAAACAACCTTTATTCCAAAAGTCATTTACAGTATCCTCTCCAACCCTTTGGCTCCAAATGAAGGAAGTTCTGTGCCACAGGGAGCCTAACACAATTTATTCCTTTCCATCAGATGTCCTTCTAGCACACCAGTCTCTTGGGATACATTATCAATTAACTGCTCATTAAAATTTCATGCCTCAACCCTCTCCTCCTCCCCCCTCGCTATTTCCCTTCTACCAACACACTGACCAAGCTAAAGGATCTAAAGCCCATCTCAAGGCCCATCTGCAAAATAGAAAGATTCCCAATCAATGACCATTTCACAGAACCTTTGCACACACAGCCCCTGCATCTCCCACTGACAGCTTTTGTTTCCCCTCCTGCAAGGCTCTCCATCTGCCTCTTTGTGGAAGTGCCTCCTACAGTAATCCATATGTTGTAGCTGTCCATCAAAGAACCTGACCAAATGAAGAGGTCAGAGGAAAACCCAGTTCAGGAAGTCACAGGTCAAACAAACAAAGGAAGTCTCATTTCCATTCACTTGCTTTTTGAAAGCGGAGAATATGAGACAATCTCTGCATGTTTGTCTATTACTGGGATTGACTTGGATGACAGAGAGATGCTGCTTCTGTTTAGATTCCTACTGGGATCACGGCAAAAAGGTAAAGGACCTATGGACGGTTAAGTCCAGTCAAAGGTGAATATGGAGTGCTGCTCTCATCTTGCTTTTCAGGATGAGGGAGCTGGCGTTTGTCCACAGACAGCTTTCCAGGTCATGTGGCCAGCATGACTAAAACGCTTCTGGTGCAATGGAACACCGTGACAGAAACAACAGCACATGGAAACATGTGAGAATGCTGGTGGCACTGTGGTCTAAACCACTGAGCCTCTTGGGCTTGCTGATCGGAAGGTCAGCGGTTCAAATCTGCCTGATGGTGGTAAGCGCCTGTTGTTCTGTCCCAGCTTCTGCCAACCTAGCAGTTCGAAAGTACACCAGTGCAAGTAGATAAGTACGGCTGCGGCAGGAAGACAAACGGCGTTTCCGTGCACTCTGGCACTCATCACAGTGTCTCACTGTGCCAGAAGCAGTTTAGTCATACTGGCCACATGACCCAGAGAGCTGTCTGTGGACAAATGCTAGCTACCTCGGCCTGAAAAACAAGATGAGTGCCACACCCCACAGTTGCCTTTGACTGGACTTAGCCGTCCAGGAGTCCTTTAACTTTTTCACCTTACTGGGATCACTCAAAGGAAAGAATAAATCAGGGATGGAGAGCCTGTGGCTCTCAAATGCTGTTGAACTCAACTGTCAACAGCCCTAAACCAGCATGGCCAATGGTCAGAGATGACGAGAGTTGAAGACCAGAAACATCAGGAAGGCCACAGGTTCTGCATCCCAGCCATAATGTGGTATCTTGAGTATAAAGTACCTTCTTTGGATCTCTCATTTATATTAACAAGAATGCTTCATGGTAGGTATGATATCTTTGTCATAAATGGACAATATTGAACATAAAATACATTTTATATCAGGTTGTTGTTGTTGTTGTTGTTTGCCATAGTTGCAGAATAAATGACCGACAGCTGAAATCTGAAATTTATTTGATTATTTATTTGTTTAGCTTCAGGATATAATATCCCTCTTTTGTTACTTGCAAACAAGATGAGAGCCATGAACAAAATGTCTTCAGTTTGAAAGCTCTTCTGTTTACCAAGATCCTTATCCTTAGTAAAAACAGCTAATGGTTTTCTGTTAGGGCCTAGATTATATTTATTTTATAAAATTTATGCACCACTTGTTTGCTAAACAAACAACAACAAAACCCCTACTCCAAGCAGTTTTCAAAGAGAATAAAACAATAAAATTATCAATAAAAACCATAGAAAACAATTATTTAAAATGTTTTAAAAATCAGCAATACACTAGAAGCAGATTAAAACATATATCAATATTTTTCATATCTGGGTAGGTTTGTCGAAACAAAGATGAAAAGCATCAGAGCCCTAAGGTCACTATTAATTCAATCAACAATCTAAATCAACACTAGAAAAAGAAGAAGCAGATGGATGAAAACACTCATATTATAGAATTTGAAAATAAAATTATGGAAGAGAAGGAATTTATTTGGGACGGGCATAGTGTGCGTAGGTATCAACGCTGGAGAGCTAAAAAGCTACACATAAAATCTGAGCTACTGTTTGAGCAGTACTATATGTATATATTATATGCTGAGATACCCAGATGTTTATGGACAGACTGTACAACGATATATGGACCTCCTGCATTTGTCATTGTGTGATTGTGTTGATTTAGTCTCATAAAACACTGAATTAAACTCTGTTCTGTTTATTATATAAACAATTCGTTGCAACATATCATGACAGCTTCTCTGGTACAACTCAAACAAACTTCATCAAAAGTTAATTGCACATTCCAGAAGAGTTCAAGAGCCAGAAAGGAAGACAATAATACTTTCATTTAAATGCATAACTAAAAGTTGGGATCTTTTTTTTGTTTTTGTCAGACCTTTTCTTTTAACTACTCAACACCCATTAAGGACCATTTTCAAGGGGGAAACATATATTTCTCACAGTCATTGATTCCAATCACCACAGCAATTTTCACAGTACACTGCACCCAACCCTCCTACTCTTTCTCTCCATCTTGCCTGATATGTCACGGATGAATATCCACTGGGAGGATCTTTTGAGTAGTTCACAGCCCTCAGGCTGTATGAATAAAATGCTGGTACTAAAATGGATGTTACAAAAAAGCATTATTATTAGATGGCTGGTTCTAAAACTGCACACAGACCAAACAATGAGATGTAAAAGGAACAAGCTATATATTAGGAAATTTGGAAAGGTGGCATGAGCTGGCCAGTTCCCAAACATCACCATTGAGCATTGCAAACTGACAAAATTATTGTGTGGGTTGTTGTTGTATTTTGTAAAAAAAATACCACCTAGAGACTGTGTGGACAAAATGATTCTTCCCAAGCCATTTCACTCCACCTTTTCAGAATAAGCACATGCCACAGCATATAAAATAGAAACCACTTTGTGTTGCTATAGCAAAAGGCCAGAAGAGCAACAGCTGGCGTTGGAGCTCATCGTTCTAGAATCCAACAGTGCTAATAAACCAGTCATAGGCAAACTCAGCCCTCCAGATGTTTTGGGACTACAACTCCCACCATCCCTAGCTAACAGGACCAGTAGTCAGGGATGATGGGAATTGTAGTCCCAAAACATCTGGAGGGCCAAGTTTGCCTATGCTTGTAATAAACACTATAGAGATGGTATGTACAGCAAGAGCCAGTGTGATGCAGTGGTTAGAGTTTTGGACTAAGACTGGGAAGACTCAGTCTCCACTAAGCCCCTGGGTCATTCTCTCTCATGCCTAGCACACATTTGATGTTGTAATAGTTAGCATGGCCACAATGGCTGGGGCTGATGGGAGTTATAGTCCACAACACCTGGAGGGCAACAGGTTGATGAAGGCTATTGTAGTGTGCTATGAAGCCTCACAATTATAATGAGAGCCTCCAACCCAACAAATTATGTTCTTGGCAGCTACTGGGGGCGACAAGGAGATTTGCAATGTGATGTAAGACATCTGTGCAGCAAGTCCTTTTGTCCTCTGGACTAGACTGAGTACATGCAGCAACTGGTAGTGGTTCTAAAGCAAAATCAGATAACCTGTGACCTTCCACATGTTGTTGAACTCCAACTTCCATCAGCCCAGCCAACATAGTCAGCAGTCAGGTAAAAAGCAGATTGGGCTATGGGAAGGGATTTCAAATTTTGGTCCTTGGGAAATATTTATTTATTTATTAACTGCAACATTCATCTCTCTCTGTCTCTCTCTCTCTCTCTCTCTCTGTCTCTCTCCTATCCCATGGGCTTCTCCAACAGTGCTTTCAAATGATGCCGTTCCGTAGAATAAAGAGATTCACCTCACTGCATGAAAAGGAAATCCCCACTATGCTGCCCAAGCTCCCCTTAGCCCTGCAAATAGTCAATGCAAATCAAGGAAGTGAACTGCACAGGAAGATAGACTATACATATGAGGTTGCTAACATGTGTGGAAACACCCTTCATCGCCTCTCCCTAAAGGCAGCAGCATCTGTCATTTTAAAATTAGCCGATTACTAATCTATAAATTCACATTTGGAATCGCTGCAGCAAGGTCTGGGTTTCTCTCTCCCAATCACATGTTATTTGCCTTCCATCTGTTCTACAGTTTCTCTTTCAAGGAAGGCACACAGGGGGCATTGGGATTTTGGTTGCTGATTTTTCACTTCTCCACCATGCAATTTACAAACCAGCGTCCAAGGAACCAGGGCATGGTACTTGCACACACAGAAACACATTTTGTGACACTTGCACATGCAAAACAGCCACAAGTTTTGCCTGCATGTTTCCCAACAGTATCTCAGAATCTTAGGAGACTTTCCCAAATACTACAAAAAGGTAGCAAATGTTGTCCATACTTTGGTGGCCTGTCTGGGCTACTGTAATGCACTGTATGTGGGGTTGTCCTTGAAGACAGTCTAGAAACTGAAGCTAGTGTAGAGTGAAGTGGCTAACCTGCTAATGGGGAAGCCTAATGGTGTCACCGGTTCTGAAAGTACTGCACTGGCTGCCAGTGAGATACAGAGCCAAATTCAAGGAGTTGGTACTAGCATATAAAGACCTAAATGGCTTGGGACCAAAGTACTGCTCCTGGCAAACCTGATTATCACTGCTTGCAAATGTTTTCTCCAGTCTTAGGTTGAATTTAGGACTATGGGTCAAAGAGCTCAAGCAACCATTGCATGTCCAAGGAGAAAGATGGGCCAACTTTCAGAGTCTTGCTCACTTGCTCTACTGCTTGGTCTGTGAATAGACTGTGTCACCTTAAAGAGCCCATTTAAGTTCCCATGCATTACAAACAAAATTATAAAGCTGATCTCTTTCACTCATGAGGCAATGAACATACAGTGGTACCTCGGGTTACATATGCTTCAGGTTACAGACTCCGCTAACCCAGAAATAGTACCTCAGGTTAAGAACTTTGCTCCACGATGAGAACAGAAATTGTGCTCCGGTGGCGCGGCGGCAGCAGGAGGCCCCATTAGCTAAAGTGGTGCTTCAAGTTAAGAACAGTTTCAGGTTAAGAACGGACCTCCGGAACGAATTAAGTACTTAACCCGAGGTACCACTGTATGAGGAAATGTGTGGTATAAAGGATATGGTATCCTAAGGGATTTCACCCAAGGGTCTGCACATGTCTGACACATTGCATATGGGACAATTTCTATGCCTTTTACAGTTCTTTAGAAATGAAAGTTTCAGCAGAAGTAGTTTCTCACATCATAAGGCACCCAGGGCTGGAAGAAGCTGCAAGTGCAGAAATTCTCCCTTTGATACCCCCACCCCCATTAAACCAGAGCCTTGTGCTGTAAGCAATCTGACACGGCCATCTTCTATTTAAATTCTAACTCACAAACAGCTTGAATAATGATTTCCGAATTGCTAATATAGTGCTTCCTCTCGAATCCTGCTTTCTGTACTGCTTGGCTATCCTTCCTGGCTCATCTGCTTAAAGATGCTGAGCACATGGAACCGTGGCTAAGGTTAACATATGCAAACAAAGCACTGTCCTGAAAGGATGCAGATGGAACGCACTGAAGTATCCATTTGGCTGAATCCACCAAAGTAACTGGGCCAGTCTTCTCCTTTCTGCTCATTGTTTGTGATGCTAAATAATGGTGACCAGAGCATGGGTTACATTTCAATTTGTGTCTTGGTGGTGGCAGCAGCAGCAGCAGGAGGAGGAGGAGGAGGGGGAAAGCAAAACCAAGGTTGAATAGCTGTGAACTAATTCAGCCTCTCAGAGGCTGTGGCTCATGTGGCTGTCTGCAACAAATCCCTACAGCCAAAGATGCTCAGAGGCGGCAGAGGACAGAATCGCACAAAGCCCCCTAACCTTTCTCTGCATCCAATTAGAAATCAGAAAGATTAGAAAGCTGGCTGCACGGATCGTGCAGCATGTCAAGAAGAGACTGATGAAGGATAAGGATATTTAAGGACATGAACTGTCCTCATTTATTAAACCCAGAAGAAAAACCCACAATTTGTAATCAATGTGGGGGAGGGAGGGGGAAAATATTCTGCTGAGCCACCTCATGCTTACTGCCCTTGAAATTCAAAGCATGAAACATCTCCTTCTGCCAAGTCTACTCCAGCGTTGGAAGGAACTTTCAGAATTGGGAACAGTGTTGAATAAGAACACAAGAAAAGCCATGCTTCATCAGTCCAAAGGCTGATCTAGTCCAGTATTCTGTTCTCATAGTGTCCAAACAGATGACCACTAGTAGGACATTAGTACAACACCTTCTCTCCTACTAGGATGTATTTCCAGCAACTGGCAGTCAGTGGCATGATGCATTTGACACTGCAAGAAGTGCATAGTTATCGTGACTAGTATCCATTATAGCTGTTAAGTTGGCAGCCACCACTGCATCTTACAGTATCAAATTTCATAGTTCATGCACTGTGTGAAGAAGCACTTCCATTTGGCTGCTCTTGAATCTCCCACCATTCAGCATCAATGAAGGACTCACTGATGCTTCTAATATTCTGAGAGAGAGAGAGAAAAAACTTTTCTTTGCCCACCTGCTCCACATCACCCACAATCTTATATACTTCTGTCATGTTCCACATATTCCCATTCAGTTATTGAATATTATGAACTTTTCTCATTGCTGATTATCATGCAATCATCATGAGGATAGTATCCACTATTTTCCAAGTCTTCTGATGCATATAAGATTTACAAAGCTAGTCAGATTAGAGAGATCAAGGTTTAATTTTCTGATCCATTCCCCTCACAGAGAAATAAAGCTGTTTGCACTTCTCTGGCTTATAGCAGTGTTCTGAGAATAAATTCATCAAAGTTATGACCTGTGAAACAGGCATTAGATTAATTTGACACCTTAAAATGTTACACAGGCAGCGCTGGCTCTTCCAAACATATGAGCTAACATAAGCTGGCATCAGGGATGAACAAACAAAAGTTATGATACAGAGGTTCAACTTAAATAAGCAGGAGGTCTCCTCTAGGTCCAATGCCACCTTCTCCAACCTGGTGGCTTTTAGATATTGTTGGATTACAACTCCCATCATCCCTTACTATTGGCTATGCCTCTGGAGATGGCTTGTCTAATGGTTCTAACACACCACAGGCCTTGTAGGGAGGGGGAATTCTCAGAATTATCTTAATAAAGTAGAATGTCTTACCTTAATACTGTGGTTCTAGGTGTTTGTTTAAATACTCTTGTCTTAGTCCCGGGTTAATACTGAACAGTCTATAGAACAAGAAAGAAATAAGAAAACTGAATACCCAGCTTGTAAACTGATAACAAACAAACTCTCATTCTGTCCATTAATGAAATAAGACAACGATCCACCACATCCACTGCCATACCTGCAGATGTAAAGGATGTAAAGATGTAAAGTATTGCTGACAATGTATTCCAAAACTCTGGCTAATCCCACTCAGTGATTTCATGTATATGTTAAACAGCATGCAGGATAAAATCAAACCCTAAGGAACCCCACATTGAAGGCTCCAAAGTGCCGAAGAGCAGTCCCCAAGCATCACTCACTAGAAATGACCTTCCAAGTAAGACTGGAACCACCGCAAAGCAGTGCCACCTGACTTGGACAACCACTCCAGAATGATACCATGGTCAATGGTATCAAAAGCCACTGAGAAGTCAAGAAGAATTAACAAAGACATATTTCTCCTGTCTCTCTCCTGAGAAAATACAGGGCAATCAAAGCAGTTTCTCTGCAAAAACTAGGCCTAAACCCAAATTGAAATGTATCCAGAAAATCAGTTTCCTCCAAGAGCACCTGGATCTGGTCTTCAACCACCTGCTCAAGACCCTTGCCCAAGAAGAGTTGATTGGCCCTTAAGGTCTTCTCTTGGTGGTCACAAAGCCTCTGAGCTCCCTCACTTCTCACTTCCCTTTTGGTCATGAGGCGGTGAGGATGGTTACTTTGTTCTCCTTTGAAAGAGTGCATAGAACAGAAAGAGGAAATCGGAAGAATGACACCCTTTCCTACTTTGTCTTTCAGCTCTATGTGCTTCAATGGTCAAATTAATTCTACTAGATTTGACTTTTACACAGATCCCTTGGAAAAGGGAAGTGTGCATGCATGTGCTTTCTTTCTGTCTGTCTGTCTCTAAGGAAGAAGAGCTGATCAGGGTTGAGGTGCAGGGAAGAGATAAATGATGAAAGGAGTAGCAACGACAGCACTCATTCAAAAATGAAGATGTGCCTAGGGGCCTAAATGTGTTGGCAACCTGTTATCTAAATCATGCAAAATGCCCAGTACAGTGGTACCTAGGGTTAAGTACCTAATTCTTTCCAGAGGTCCATACTTAACCTGAAACTGTTCTTAACCTGAAGCACCACTTTTAGCTAATGGGGCCTCCTGCTGCCGCTGCGCTGCTGGAGCACGATTTCTGTTCTCATCCTGAAGCAAAGTTCTTAACCTGAAGCACTATTTCTGGATTAGCGGGGTCTGTAACCTGAAGCGTATGTAACCTGAAGCGTATGTAACCCGAGGTACCACTGTAGTAATGAACCCGCGTAGCTTTCTTGTGAGGATCAGTTATATGGCTATTTAATAAAACAAAGGTAAGAAGGAACCAACTTATAGGGGCCACCTTGTATCTACAATACTTATAGCAAGAAGCCTCCTGCCTAAGACCCTTCCGGTCTGAGTGTGAACTTTTTCCTCACTCAGCAGCTCTAGGGAGATTAATAATAATAATAAAATAGTCCCAAGTAATGCAAATTCTCATTTCCACTTCTATGAGGGGATTCATTGTCACTGCCTGTGTGAACTATTAGCTGTCAACTTTAATAATTATTAATTTATACATGCTAGCCACTTCATTGACATCTGTGAGGGAAGCAATTCCATACAACAGCAAAGCCTTTAACCTGTGACTACACAATGCAAATGTCTCCTTTAGGCAGATTTGGTTTCACATATATACACAGCAACATTTTGTTTCTAAAATCGTTATAGGATTGAATTCTTTGGAGTCCTCATAATTTCTCATTTTGTGTCTGAATAATTAACTACAGGCAGGATCTCATATAACTTTTTTTTTTTGCTATCCAATAAAAGCTGACTAAATTCACATATTTTAGCTCAGTATATCAGCACAGTTTTATTAAAATAACATAAAAAACAATGGAAGAAGTAACGGTCTAGACACATACGGTTAAACATTGTTAAACACTTAAACCATTCTTTACAAAACTGATTTCCATGTTCTAGCAATGCACAAGACTAAAATGCACATAAAATACCCATGTGGAGTGTTAGGGGAAGGGTAGTACCTCTGGTGTGGGATATATTGTGCTCCTTTGGTCCCCACCCTGCACTTAGCTCTCACCTGTAGCTCCTACAAGCTGCCAGCAGGCAACAGCAGCCACATCCTAGAAACGGGTTCAACTGGCCGGCTAAACCAGGTAAAGGTAGCTGATGGGTCTCAGATCCTCAGTGAGTTAGGGGTGTCCCTCCATGTGAAGGTAGGCTCTGACAGATTGAGCAGATGAGACCAATAGTTGGTCCAATGGTCAAGAACGTGGTGACTGCACATGCTGTATAGCAGCCTTTCTCAACCTGTGAGTCCCCAGATGTTGTTGAACTACAACTCCCATCACCCCGAGTTAGCAAGGCCAGAGCTCAGGGATGATGGGAGCTGTAGTCCAACAACATCTGGGGACCCACAGGTTGAGAACCACTGCTGTAGAGGGAAGTGAGGGGCAAATGGGGCTCATCAGCGTGGAAAGGTAGCCCATCTAGTAGGAAAACTTTGATCCTAAACCTCCACTGCCTTGCAGCTATCCTCATTCATGAGAAAGGCTTCAGGAGTAAATCCCAAGGAAAAGCATGTGCCCACTGCTTTGCTGCACATCTTCAGGAGAAGAAAAGGCTAATGAGTAAACCCTACAAAAACCCAGACTGGAGTTTCTAAGACAGTTGGATGGCACTTTTTACAGCTCCTGGTAACTCCTGGAGTCAAGCTGGTGCCAAATGTATTGCTCTGCTTTCCTTTGGACCACATTAGTGAGGTCGAGAGAAGGGTCTGGGCATCCAAGGATGCTCCATTATCTCAAGCTAGGGTAGAATATGCTTACACCCCTCAGCTAAAGATGGAAATGAGAAAATACAAGGTCAACAACTCTAATCTCAATATGTTTTCAGGATGCAAGTCCCATAGACTGCACTGGAAGCAAGTTTTACTATGTAGATAGTGGGTTGTCCTAAACATGCCTAAATTATTCTGAGTCAGAAATGATGTCCTATCCAAGAAAATAAACAAATTCTAGGAAAGAGAAAAACAAGCAAACAGCATACTCATATTTTTTTTGAGCCTTAGGCAATAACAACATCTGTTTCTTATGTCAATTTAGACTTGCAAAGCTTGGCTATATCTCAGTTCCAAAGCAGAGATGAGGCCTTGCCAATAGATGGGAGTTTGAAATTAAAGACTTTCAGCCCTTGCATGACCAGCTTTGTGAAGACCCCCTAGGTATAACTATATTCTGTGAAATCTGTCTCTCCTCAGATTTCAGTGTCAGAAGTTTCCCAAGCAGCAGATCTAGTAAATTTACAGCATTAACAGTGCAAATACAGTTGTCATACCTCAAGCAATACTGCTCTTCACAGTTTGTGTGAATAATAATCTATACTTAAAAATAAGGAAGTCTTTTCACAGAAGAGTAAAGTCACTGCAATGATTACATGGCAGTATGGTTACAAATGTCTGGTCATTCACTCCAGGAAGCTGTACTTATTTCAGGAAAAAGCTAAGTATTTGAGTCTAGTCCAGAGGTACTATAGAATCCTAGCCAAGTTCAATATGGTTATTAAAGTTCTCTAGACATGTCTCAGTGCCACCCAGCACTGTGCACCCTTTTGAACAGGAAGATTAAATACACATTTAAGTTGCCCTCCTCTTCCCGATGTCCATTTTCCCAAAGCACATCTGGTTTCCATGTGCTGCAAAAATGCCTTTGACATTTCTTTAAAAACCCCAGGCCCTTCAAACAGCTGTGACAGACTAAAGGAGCACTGAATCTGACATTCTATCCTTCAGCTATCTGACGTGCAACCTTTAGATAACATTGCAAAGCGCAAACGTGGGTGTGGGGGGAATGAAACAATTAAGCGAAAACTCAGGGAGACAGGCAGAAGTGGTGAGAAAGCTACAAGAACTGGATCATCTACCTGGTTATTTTAAGAGCACAAGACTGCCTAGCAGCCTAATGCCCATTCCAGTTCCCCCTGCTTTTCTTCTCAGGACTGCCTTCAGATGTCACATGGGGGAGAAACACTAAAATAATCTCTGAACTTCTAGTAAGCAGGTCCATTTGTCCATCCTATTGGTTCAAACACCTTCTAAACTGTGAGGTACCACTGTGATGGCATGCCCCCTCACTCCCAAAGGCAATACACTAATACAGTGGTACCTTGAGTTACAAATGCCTCAGGTTACAAATGCTTCAGGTTACAAACTCCGCTAACCTGAAAGAGTTACCTCGAGCTGAGAACTCTGCTCCAGGATGAGAACATAAATCGTGTGCCAGTGGCGCAATGGCAGCAAGAGGCCCCATTAGCGAAAGCATGCCTCTAGTTAAGAACAGTTTCAGATTAAGAACAGACCTCCGGAACGAATTAAGTTTGTAACTAGAGGTACCACTGTACATCAAAACAAGAAAATGGAGAAGCAGCCTGTGCTAAGGTATATGCTGCCTAGTCCCTTCATGATTCAACATATTGTGAAGGCCACTTTGGTTTAACCCATAGCCAACCATACTTTCCCCTTCCTTGAATATTCAAAAACCAACATAGACCCAGTGGCATCACTGTTTGGACCTTTGTTTCTGTAAATGCCACTTCTTCTGATTAGCTTCAGTCTTCTAATAAACTTACTGCTAGTGTACAGAAAACTCTATGATTCTGGACTAGGGTATCTTAGAAATCGCATGTGCCCCTGCATCCCACCCTGGACTCTTAGATCTGTGAATGAAAATCTGTTCATGGTACCACATGTCCCCGTGGTAAAGGATGCTGTGATTCGAACAAACCAGTTCTCTGGAATCCTCTTCCCTTAGAAGTGTAGAAAGTCCCAACATTTCCAACATTTGTTGAAAACTTTTCTTTCCAGCCAAGGTAGTCTATTTTATTTCTCTAATTCTAAATTCTTGTTTTTTATGATTTAATACAATGTTATGTTCTCTATTGTGTTAAATATCTATCTCCATAAACCACTTGGGGATTCTCTGAATGCTGAGTGGTTTATAAATCCTAAAATAAGAAAAATAAAAAATAGTATTTTCTGTTAACACTTTTTCACTTTTAACTGCTATCTTCTGAAATCTCATATAATCAGGTTCATCAGCTTCAGTATACAGTAGTACCTCAGGTTACAGACACTTCAGGTTACAGATTCCGCTAACCCAGAAATATTACCTCGGGTTAAGAACTTTGCTTCAGGATGAGAACAGAAATCGTACTCCGGCAGCATCAGGAGGCCCCATGAGCTAAAGTGGTACCTCAGGTTAAGAACAGTTTCACGTTAAGAACAGACCTCCAGAACGAATTTCCGGTAAGTTCTTAACCCGAGGTACCACTGTATCATCAAATAGTTTCTTTGGGATTGGATATACAACACTTTTTCATTTAGAGTTGCTTTCCTGAAATACACGTCCCCCTCCACAAATAAAATGCACATTCTTGTAAGCATTTCTTGAACCAAAGCTGCTCTGCAAAATTTGAAAAGATATGTGATCTATCTGCATTCTGATCCGCGTCCAGGACTGGTGAATTGGGTTGGTTCAGTTTGAGATACAGCCCAAACCAATTTCTCTTCCATCCCTAGTATGCTCATCTGATGGTGAAACCAACTTCAAGCATATACTATTTGGGACATTAAAACAATTGTCTTTTGATATAGACATGTGCTGTTCCACAATCTCCGTCCCTCCCATCTTGCTTGAGAGTGCCACTGTTTACACTCCCTCCTCAAATATATTTAAATAGTAGCATGAACAGAATGAACCATTGAGCTCACGGGGCGGGGACATACACACACTGGACTGTTTGTTTACTTGAATGTTTAATTCATGGATGTTTGTGGTGCTTCATTCTTTAAAAATTGTGAAACAATTTTGCAAAGATTCAGGTTGGTGACTTAGCAGATCTCTCTCATAATAATGTGTGTGTGTTAACATTTGTGATTTAAAGGTGGACTCTTGATCCAAAGTTATGGTAAGAAAGACCTACTCACTCAGATGCTTCTGAACACTAAGAATGTAGAGCATAAACTCTGGTCTTTCAGTTTATGCATACCACTCCTCTCACAGTTTCCTTTACCAAGTCTCAATTTCAACATTATTTACACCATACACAGACTTCTGGGAAGAGAAATACATACCAGCATCCCTTATCTATTCCATTTTCTCCTAATATCATTCCTTACTTAGCATCATAAAACAGTTAATCTTCCTCACCGCCAAATAGCAGGTTGTTTTCTTCAAAGTCTCTGACTTTTGGGAACTGAATATTTTCTCACTATTTATTTGCATCCTGGTAACACAGAAAGGGTTTTCAACACATCCCATCCCACCCCATCTGGTTTTTGAATCCCATCCAACCAGTTTAATTACTGTTAATTGGCTCAAGCGATTGGCATTAGCTTAACAAAGTAGGCACAAGTGGCTTTTCTCTCCTGTGGGATCAAACGACTGTAGTGTTGAACTAATATATCTTGCCACAACATATAAATACAGGGATAAGTTTACTGGATGGATTTCAGGCCCATTGATCTCTGTATCTTCTCTCTGATGGTAGAAAATGCTTCAGAGAAGGCCCAGCAGATCAACCAAAGATGGCACTCTCATGTTTTGCCCAGCAACCATGAGTGTTTAATATGCTTTTCAAGGTACCTGAAAAAAGGGAGAGGCCAAAAACTGAGATGGTTTTCTTAGAAGAGCCAAGTATTTCAACATACAAAAGAGTAAAAAAAAATATTCATTGCTATGCATAGATTCTCTCATTTAAATGTTGCCTTGCAATCTGAAGAGAACATTTGGTGGCAAGGCAGCTCCCGGGTCCACTCAGCACATCTGCCATCATTATCATCAAGTATGACAAATGCTTCAGAGAAATTCTGTGGCACGTATAAGTGTGAAAATGGTAGCAAAAACAACTGGCTTGTGCAGCAAAAGGGGACACAGTGGGGGGTGCTGGCTGGAAACAATAATCAAGTCTCACCAACACGGTTCCTGCAGGCACCAGCATGCCCACCAGTTCTTCCTATGGCACTCACAAAATGTCTCAGTACATATCTCCTTAAGAATCTAACACATGAATGATTGTTTGCTCTTCCTGTTCAGTTCCAGTTTGCACTGGCTCAGCCTCTCCTGTATTAATCAAAAACACTTCCTTAAACATGCCCACATGTAATTGGATACCAGGACTAGACATCCACCCTCCCATCCATTCTGAAGAGATGCAAAGAGCTTCTATTTGTGAGGAAGCACAATGATGGCTGATATAGCTGTGTTTCCTCCCATTGGTGGTGGTGGGTGATAAGATGCCCATGCCATTGTGAGGCCCTGACTCTTTTCCTGTGCTGTCATGTATGGCAGCCTTTTTGCCACCCAGCTCCCAACAGCAACCATTTTTGTGACTGGCTTCTACAGCACTTTCTCAAAATTCTAAATGTGTCCTCTGGCCTAAAAAGGCATCTCAGGTTGCACTGTGGGATGGGTTTGCTGCTGCCAGGGAAAGGATGCTGATGCCCTGGTGGGGTGCTACCTGACAAGGCTGGCTTATCAGACAAAAACATGGAGTGGGGCAGGATCACTTACGTCAACCATAAGGGCTGGCTGGTTGGCCCTTGCAGAAGCCGGACTACTGACTCAGGCAGCATTCCACCTGAATGGCTTAGATGTCCTGGTTGTGGGGGCCCTCCCTCTTTTTGCTAATAGAGTTCACTCAGGGACTTCCAGCACATAAAACACACACTGTTCCACGAGACCAGACCCTCCTGCAGCCCCAGTACTTCTGGCATCTTTTACTGGATCCCGAAACTGAAGGTGTGGAGACATGTATATCCCATGATGTGTCTGAAGCCTATCTGTTGCTGCAGTTAAGAGGTTAGGAACTGTTCTGTGACACTTACAGCGTGGGTTTGAGTTCTGGAAGCTGTGTCTGCTGTCCGCAGCATAATATGTGGATTGGGGGGTTGGGGTTGGTAAGGTATGCAAAAGATGAGCAGGAGCATTTGTCTCTATTATTCTGGTGGCCTTCCTATCAACTCCTCAGGTGGGTCACAAACACTTATCCCAAGAGGGACAACTGTATTTTCTGTAGACATCTTGCCATGGAAGCTACATGAGTTGCATAGGCTCTCCCCACTCCTGCTTTTCTTTCTTCATCCCCCTTAAGGAGATTTGAACCCCTGTCAACAAGAATACCCAGGGCCTGGCTGAACAGTGTTCTTGTCGGCTGGGCCATGGGTCTGATTGAGTAGCAGCTCTCTAGCATGGTTTTATGATGATGCAGAAATATTACTGGGTGTGTTTGTCCCCATCACTGTGGCTAGTCAACATCGCCAGCACTGTCCCAGATTGGTTGCCACTAGCAAGCTTTGTTTCCATGGGTGCAGTGAGCAACTCTACAATCCTATAATTATTTATTTTCTGTTTGTGTGTTTTCCCCTTCCACTCCTGTTCTGGCAACATGCACAGGACAAGGTGGACTTTCCACCAGCAGAGTGCCAGCGTTATCGCTTCCCTCCCCAGCATAATTAGAGAATAGGTTTGCCCTGCCTTTTACTAACAGCATGTTCTCCTGCATGCCAAGTTTTTCCTGTTAATCTGCCCAGAAATTGGAGCTTCCAAGTGACACACTTGGGGAAAGGAGAACGAGAAACCTGACCTTTATGTGAGTGCCAACATGGAAACGGAGTTCTTTTGAATGAAAAACTTTCTTAAGCATTAAACTTTAAAAGTCATTGTAAGCACCACATTTCTTAAATATGAGAAACCATTTTTTTCCAAGCATGCAGAGTTATACCTTGTTGCCATCTCCTGTTTATGGTATGTTTAGTAATTCTCAGACCAGTCACAGGTGGATTCCCATTTAATTTGTTACAGTTTCATAAACAAAAACAGATTGAACTTTTGCATCAGTCCTACTAACAAAGCTTTTTTATTAGCAAATAAATGACAGATCAACTCTGCTTGCTTAAGAGCTAGGGTTGAATTGCTGCTGGCTGTGACTCCTCATTTAATACATGTTCTTCCATATATGCTGCAAGTCAAACATGCACCCTGGTACCAACTACGTAATGTGAGGCTTTTTAATGGCCATTCTGCTCATTTTATGCAAGGTAATATGGTGTGCCATAAAACCACCAATTCTTTTAGCTAATGTATCAAGGGGTCTTTAACCAATAGATGGATTAATGCAAATGATGTTCAAACAATATGGGCTTTTTCCTAGGAGCACATCACACAGACTAGTTATTGCTTAATTACTTTTAACCACACCTGGGCCCAAACCAAGCTACTTAGAGTAGAATGAGATGCACATCAGTTATTTAAAATTATAACTATAAAAATTATAAAGTAAACCAGAATAAATTAATATTTTGAAATTATACAAAATATAGGGAATTTTAAAAATGGTAATCATCAACATCTTCTACAAAAGCTTAAAGCAGATGTGGAGAGCCTGTAGCCTCCAGCTTTTGTTGGACTAGAACTCCCATCATCCTTGACTAGGGGTCAGCAAACTTTTTCAGCAGGGGGCTGGTCTACTGTCCCTCAAACCTTGTAGGGGGCCGGACTATATTTTGAGGAAAAAATGAAAAATGCCCCACAAATATCCCAGAGATGCATTTTAAATAAAAGCACACATTCTACTCATGTAAAAACATGCTGAATCCTGGACTATCCACGGGCTGGATTGAGAAGGCAATTGGGCTGGATCCGGCCCCCGGGCCTTAGTTTGCCTACCCATGTCCTTGACCATTGACCATACTGGCTGAAACTGAAGGGAGTTGAAATCAATATAAGAACTTCTTGTTTCACTGAGCTCCGGACTTGGTGCCAGTTTCTTGCTGAAAAGTTCCTTGGCTGTTATTTGCCCCCAGATGTGCTTTTCAGGGGCCATTAGCGGCTGGTGGGGAGTATTTTTGTCAGGAAAACAGCATAAAGCTCCAATCCAGATCAACAGCACACTCTGGACTGGGCAGCCCTGGCTGTTTTTTAACCAAAACAAAAATGGTGAGTTTGTCTGCTTTTTAAAAAGCATATTTATCACACCGTGCAATCTGGCCCTTAACAAGCGTTGCTAATTATGGAAAAAGTGATGAAATTCAGTTGTTACTATAGAATACTAGATCATTTGGCTTTAGAAAATGTGTCTGGCATTATTGTCTGGCATTATTTAGTGGATTATAAACAAATTATATGCTTGTTACTGGAGGCCAACATTTTTTTTTCTTATCTACATAAACATTTCCATACTTTGCAGAAGATATATAAAGTTTCCGTTTGGCTAAAACCAATTATTGGAGGGCAGGTGGGTGGGAACTCAAGAATTTTCTATTGAGCATTTTAAGTGGGGTGTCACGTGACAGCTGGATGCCAAACAGTTGCACAGACTCCCTCATTCTCAAACATGCATAAAATTCTAATAATATCTGCAGACAAGAGGAGCTAGGCAGAATGAAAAGTCAAAGAACAATTCATGTATTCATACCCCAGCTCTTTGTTGCTTTAATCTTTTTCTGCTGGAAGAAATGTGTTATATTCCTTAGAAACATGGTTCTCAAATCTCTTGCTGCCTTATTGTCTCAGTGTTTGATGGGAAAGGAGCCCCACTGAAATCAATTGAATAATTTATTTTCTAACATATATACAAAGAACTGCAACCTTAGTCAGTGTATCACAAATAATGATATAACCCCACACCCTTAAGGTCCCGGAAGTCAAATGTGTGTCCAACACTGCTCAAATGGCTCTCTGAAAATATACAGTGGTTCGGCAAAGCCAAATGCAATCTTAGACGCTGCAGCTTACAAATCATTTCTTTCATCGCAGCAGAACTTTAGTGCAGGAACCTGATAGAAATATATAATTTTTAAAGAGATCCTGATAAGATGAAACAGACTTTCCCTTAGAAAGGGAAATATGGCTGATTTGAACGATTTGCCATGGACGTCTCCAGGAAAAAGAGTTCTCAGTAGGAAGAACATTACTGTACTCATGTCACGCTTGCCGACTTCCCCTAACTAGCTAGTTGGAGAACAGCATGATGAACTATATGGGTCATTGGTCAGCTCTCAATGATGAGCCACCATCATGTGGTACTTTTTAAAGCATCCTCCCTCTAATACTGGAGTGCACGTCAACTTTCAATTTTTGTTTTAAAGAAGCAAACAGAAGTATTTGTTAGTATTCATTTTATTTTTATCCCACCCATCCCCCAAGATGCTCAGTATACATGGATTGTCTCCATTTTATTCTCATGACAAACCTGTAAATTATGCTGAAAGTGTGTGTGCATATAGCGTAATGTCTGGGTGAGCATCATGATTCAGCAGGGATCTGAACTTAGATCTTCTGGGTCTAAGTACAACACATTAGACCACACTTGCTCACTATGACTATTGCCTTACAGGCAAATTTCTGTCCCACCGCTGGCCTACTATTAACCAATCATTACATTTGGACTGAATATCACCCATATTTCTTTTAATATAGACTTGTCTGTCTTTTCAATAAAGACTAAAATGTGTCTGGCACATACTCTGAATCCTTGTCTGAGCAAACAAGGGACCGTGGCCAAGAAAGGGAAAGGCTGGGAGTTAATTTCAGTTTACCAGATTAGTGCGGTTAAATCCACCAGCATATTCCTCTTGACCTGCTTTCACCTTGAATTGTGATATAGGTCATCATGCCTATTTAAAACCATTTGCATCCCTTGAGGGGATGGCCTAAAGACCTAATAAATGTACTGAAGCAGAGCCTGCCACAGAAAAACAGTGAGTTCAGCTCGTCTTTCAAGGCCAGCAAATAAATGCTCCTTCTGGGCATATGGGGGATGACAAAGAAAGGGCTGATGCTAATCTTGTTTGTAGTTGCGCACACTGGTACAGCTCCTTCTCCCAATGGAGGAGTCCTCCTTACTTACACTACCAATTACAGTCATATGCTGGCTATCAAACATGATGATGCTTCCCAGGTTCAATTCCCGGCTTTTCCAAGTTGAGCTAGGAAAGACACATGTCTGAGACGCTGGATAGCTACTGCCATTCACTGTGTGGACAATAATGAGCCAGGTGAACCAATAATTTGACAAGGCACTTCCTATATTCTTGTTCCAAATGGGGAAATGTTAGGCTCTCTAAAAGCGCATCTTTTTGCGTACTGAGCTTCACAGTTATTCTGAGAAATCAATCCTCATATCTGGTCAGATAGTAATGCAAATGACTAAACAAAACCTTCAATATGCTATATTATTGTTAAACTTGGACATTTGCGTTTTAGTTCAGTCGGCTAGATAGTAATCCCAAGAAATCACCTACAGCAAAACGTTGAGTGCACCAGAGGAAGGGACAATTCATGTGTTTGAGTCAGCAATGTGGCTTCTTGGACATAGTTTTGTTTTCAGTCAATACTCAAAAGTCAAATGGAAATCCAAAATACTAATCAAATGCACTCCCTACGATTATATATGATCCATCCCTGCTTTCATTCATTCATTCATTCATTCAAAATATCTATGCTCCACTTTATAGCCCCTACAGCAGATGTTTTGGTACTACAACTCCCATCATCCCTAGCTAAAGGGACCAGTGGTCAGGGATGCTAGGAACTGTAGTCCCTAAACATCTGGAGGGCCAAGTTTGGCCATGCCTGCCCTAGAAGCTCTCAAAGTGACTTACAAAAGATCTCCACAATATAATAAAATCAATGTAGTATCAGAAACAGAAATATTGTTGGTGTCCATATGGTGCCAGGATCCTGCCCTCTTCCTGCCTACTACCCACTAGGCAAACCCACTGAACTCTTCTGACTTAAGGGAGTGGGGCCAAGCAGCTGGAACTTGCTTAGCCCATGATGGAGGCGAATATTATCTCAAGTGCCAAATCACAGTCTGAACTTCTGACAGATAAACTAGAAGCTGCTAACTGAAGATATTAGTTAGGGAATAGTATTTTAAAGCAACACTGCTACAGTCATAGTTACAAGGTAAAACGCTAGATCAGAGGACTTATTACATGATCAACATTTCAGTAGAGATACTTTTTATTGTAACTAAAGAATGCCCTAAAACCCCTGAAAACCCATGACTTTGAACATTTAAATAGTTTTTTTAATGAACCTTTTATGAGGTTACCGAGATTTTTATTCTTTTGGGATTGGCAAAAGACTCCCATCGCCAATGAATCAGATCATGCTTTGCAAAAATAAAAAAAATAAAAATTACACAGTCCTCCATAATAGCAACACAATCCATTTGTTACAATCCATGGGGAGCAAGGCAGTTTCTTGTATCCATAACAACCTGCATTTATGCACAGGGATTCCCTAGTGAATTGAATGATCAAAAATTATTCATGAAAAGTATGTGTGATTCTAGCCTCCGGTAATGCATAGAAATTGCCAAGCAGGGCTTCCACCTCCCCCTCTTCCACCCACATCACACAGAGTGTTGCCTTCTTCAATCGTAGCAGCCCCGTCCTCCTAGTTAAATAGAGATATTTATTCCTTGCATTCAAGTAACAGGAAAGTCAGAGCTTGAAACTGTAGGCATGGCTCATGTCTTGCGTTGTTTGACAGTCACTGCTTCAAAATCCAGCCTCTCACTTGGAAGAGAGCAACAAGCCAAAATGCAATCCTAGGGAGTAATAACCAGCTTAACCTCACTTAATAACTACTGCAATCACTGCTTACCAGAGGTCACACTTTATCTTCCTGGTTCAGATTGGACTGCTGATCTTAAAACACTCTGAACTACTAGCTTGCTCCTTGCTCTGCTGAGCACAGAAATATATTATCTTTAGAGACTCAGCCTCAGGTATGGAGAGACATTTCAGGAAACCAAATAGTATAACTGGGCTACTATGACTGAGATATTAATAGGGACTCTGAGTTCCGTGCACATTTTCAAGTAGATCTCATTATGCTCTTTCACAAGCTTTAATCAAGCTTAATGCTTTCATTTTCATGGAGATTAGGGCTATGGAGTTTCATTTACTAAGAGAAAGTAAACAATAGACTCCCTGAGGTATAGAAGCACAGACTGGCAGAAAAACGAGAGGACCCAACTCATCACTTCAGCCCCTTCAGCATTAGGGTACTTTTCATGACTTTCATGTCCACCAACATTAAGGTTCTCATAGCCAATGTTTTAGGACATTAGAAAAACCATTAAAGCAGGAAGAGGGTGGCACATGATGAATACGTGATGCTCTCTGTGGGGTCTTTGGCAAATCACTGCCCTAAGTGTTGCTCTTGGTCTAAGTAAGGGTATGAACTGTGATGCACTGTGTGGTGAACACAACTGAGCATACAATTAAGCAGACCTCAATATGGGGATCCTTTCCCAGGCATACGGCCAAGTTTCCTTCAAATCAATGTCAGCCATATAACTACTAACTGCTTGATACATTTTACATGAGATATTCAACTCAGTTCAAGAATAGAAGACTGACAGGTGTCCTTGCTAAAAGTTCATATTTAAATTCACATTTTAAGTCCCCAGATGCCCTGGGTGTAACCAGCTATTTCTCATCTCTAGCAGAGATAGTGCAATTGTTTAAAACTTAATTTAATCTTTTCTAGGTCAGGAATTGTTATTGATGCCAGCCAAGCTAGTGTTTTGTATTCTTAAAATTGAATTATGTGGAATCTGCATGGTAAATCAAAGTTGACCTTCTACTTTTAGTAGAAAGCACTGGATAGACAAACATTTGAAAGAAATGCAACATGAATGTGGCATTCTCTTTGCACAGGCGTCCTCTTTTCAGAGATCAAATTAACAAGACCATACACCATGACTTTAGCTACAATTAAACCCATGCCTTCAAAATGATTGCTCTTGGTCTTTGTCATCATACACACTGCTTAGTATTTACTGTATTTACAATGAACAATTTGTAAGGTTATAATCTATAAATCTATAACATAAGAATAGACATCTTGCAGTACTTGATATAGTGGGAATAAACTCTTTTCATCAGCAAGAATAAAATTACTCTTTTCTCAAGGAGACCTGAAGCTGAGCAAAAATTCAGGTTCTGATGGAGTTTTCAAACAGCAACAAGTCAAACCTACCTTGCTATGGGGAGTGAAACAGTAAACTCTGCTATCATGCAGCTTCTCTAAAGTTTCACCGATTTGAATAGGAGGCTCACAAAAAGGTAGCCAAAGTACATGGCAGCAGTGCTTGGTGGACTGGGCATTTAACTATCCTATCCTCCTGACCTGGTCAATATTACTTGCTCCTCAATCGGATCTGGGGGTGGGTTAAATGTTTCCAGGAAGGGGTTACCCTTTGTTGAGGCCAAGGCAGCCCAAACCAGAATGCTCTTCCCAGGGAAGTCCCAGAGAAGCACCAATGTTTCAGTGCCAGGTAAAGACCTATTTGTTTTCCTGGCCATTTGGGAAACAGTGGTGATATATTGTACTATATTGTTACATTTGTTTTTAATATGTATTTGTGTGTTTTTTAATGGATGTTAATTGCTATAGGACTTTTTATATTGGGAAGCAACATGCAGATTTAATAAACTGCATTAACTAAACTAATTGCCACTGACTTTGGTGACTCCATCAAGTACCTCTCCTGTGAAGAGCCCACCTTCCATCAGGTCACCTGTCTGAGGAAAGAACTGCATCACAGAAGCAACTCTAATTTCTATCTGCCATGCCCCAGACATTGCCACCAGTTCTGCTCCCAGATCTGATTGAGAGCAGTTACACTCCCATACAGGCAGAGCTATATAACTGTAGGACTACATGCCTGTGTTATAACAGCTATAACTAGATGAACTAGTGCCCAAGCTTATAGAATCTTAAGAGTTGGAAGGGGCCCGAGGGCCATCGAGTCCAAACCACTGCGATGCAAGAATTTCAGCTAAAGCATCCATGAAAGATGGCTTGTGTTTTTCTCCCTCACCTCCCCACCTATCCCCTTTTCATTTTGTGTCATGTCTTTTTGGATTCTAAGCCTGAGAACAGGGACAGTCTTACTACTGTTTTTCATATGCCATCCTGGAAGCATGTTTGACTGAAGGGTGAGTTATAAATGCTTCAAATAAATATTCCAAGCTCACAACTACAAGTGATATCTAAAGTTTGTAAAGGTCAAAATCTAGTTCTAATTAATCAGAATATGCACAACATATGAAAGAACAGCTGCTCTTTAGGAGGACAGATCTGTATTAAATAAGCACAATATCCTCTCTCTTCAAATGGTAACACGTTTAACACACAATATTCTTTTCAAATTCTTGAATACACTTTTATCTTTATTTTGCTTGATCTACAGTTACTTTGAATTTTGGACAACTCTGCTATTCAGGCAAAAAAAGAACCCCTTCACTGAAGATATAAATTCAGACAGACATTGGCTGTGTACACTTTACTGGCTTAAAATGAAGCAAGGTTGTTTTTTCTCACTGCATTTCAAGTCAAATTTGCTTGCTGCTGTACATATCAGCATGGGTTCATGTGCACTGAAGTCACCCATACCAATGGGTAGAGACTGGGTGATGGCGTCTTCACCTGATGGTACTGTCTGGTTGGTTTCCCTGCCCTGCCTCTGCCCCCAGAAATCCAGATGGAAAGGAAGTCTTCACAAATGGACACACCTGGGATTCCATGCAACTTGAATAAGGAAACCGTGCTCACGTTGGATTGAAGGAAACCACATAAAAACACAGTATTGTACAAGAAACTACAGTATAACTCTGGATCTTAGATAATATGTGTACATGAATTCAAAAACAAGCAGTGGAAATGCACTGTAGCCAGAGTAAACAGTAATGTGTACACAGCCAATAACTTCCTTTTCTAAACAGATTTATGATGACACTGTCTCAATAAGCAGGTCTGTGATGCTGAGAAAAGACTGGAGGGGAAAGAATTAAGGCAACAATATTTCCAAGTGTTCTTCCTTCTGTCTGCAACTTGCCCACACTGGTTTGGGTGGGAAAGAAAACATGCAGAGGAAAGAATCAGGCAATGCTGCCTAATTCGTAATTGAACCTTAATTAGATGAGGCATATGTGACTTAATGCTTCTCTCCATGCACAAAAATTTCCTGCATGTAGAAAACTGAGCTGTCAGGAAGGCTCTAGCTGCACTTTCTCCCAGAAATAATAGTTTTCCATATGCAGGAATGTTCAGTTAGGTAACCTTTCCACCCCTGCTCCAATTAACAAACACAGTTCCTTTGGGGGGGGGGGGGACTTCAGGTTCACATGGCTTGAAAGAAACAGAATAAACATGATTCCATGCCAGGTGCCTTGATAAGCTTCATTTATCTTGGTGCAAACTGCAATGTGCACCATTGCCCCTAAAATCCATCATGGATTATGTCTAACAATGATATTTAGCCAAAACAATTAGGAATGGGAGATTCTAGCTCAGACTCAAAAGTACAACAAAGAACGGACATCAACGCCATGTCTCACTCTTGAGTATTAAAAGGTACCTGGCTGTCCAACATCAGAAACTGAAAGTTGGCAGCTGGACTAGATGACTCTTGGTCTCATTCTTTAAAGCCATGTGTACTTGCTCTTTAGCCAGAAGGGTTCCCAGAACAGCTTACAAAGATCAGACGTAAGACATGTCCAATGTATAGCAAGACATGTAAAGCATGCCAGGCCATACCTAATTATCTTCTATCTTCTAAGCCTGAAGGCAAAGAGGTGTACTACTTTTAATGTACTAACATTCACTGCTCTTCAGTCCTAGGAAACAGGTCCATTGTTGGGGAAGCAGTGAGGGGAACCGAGTCCTGAGTCCTTTGTTCTGGACCCTCAATCTCCAGTCCCTTCTCCTGTTTAAAAAATAGATCATTTTTAAAAATTTTGGGTGGGATTCACCTAACCAGCCATGTTAGAAGAAGCCCTGTGCAAGGAATTCCACATATGCAATGGGGCTTTCCCCTCTCTTCACCCAGCGTGTCCCCTGAAATTAGCTATAGGGGTTTTGGGAGAACCCCCAGAACAGTGTGCAGGGGAGGAAAGGAATATCCTTTCATCTGGCAATCTGGAATGTTTGTGCAGATGGAATGATGGGAACAGCATGGCATTGAATCCCACACTTTGTTTACAGGGTGACTGAGAACATTACAAAACACAGCACCGTTGAGATCCCAGTCACAATGTGCCCAGAGGCACCTGTGCTAATATATACACAAGAAGCAGTTCTTGCCAACAGACTGCAGGTGTGGTGGAGGGCCCAATCCACATACAGTGTACAGAGCCCAGAATATCCTGTTGGCACCACCTAGCTCAGAGTAAGCCCTGATAGCCAGAGTTCTGTGGTTAAGTAACATGCCTGCCAGGAAACCTCCATGTGCTTCATTACCCCATGACTGGGCCCACATGTTCACACCTGGCTCCTTGGCTCTTGAATACCAGAAAGGCTCCTGCAGACCATGCAAAGAGGCCAAGAAAAGGAACTGAAAGAAACCTTCCTCCCGATGTCAAAAAATACAAGTGCTCTAATGTAGCATTGTTGGATGGATCCAAGCCTTAGCTTAGAAGCTTGAGTTATGTCCTGGCACTAGGACCTAGAACACGATCCTTGAGTTGCTGTGCTTGGAGCTATAGCTAACAGGGTCAGGCAGTAAGACACAAGCACTGAATGGTTTGAAGAATAATTACCACCCAAGCTCTTTTGTACTATTTTATAAAATGTGCTCACAGCACCTCTGATCCCAGTGGTCCAATCAGCACTTCTTATTAACACCTTCTGAAAATCCCATTTCCTTTCCTTCTGCACTTGCAGAAGTTACACATGAATGGTTCATTAATGAAATGGGCAAGGGAAACTGCCATGTACTTCACCTACTCCCCCACACCATATCTAACTCCTTTCACTTAAGGTATGATTAATAGTTCATATTGCCTTTGCTCCAATCGGAGACATGAAACTAAAGTATAATTAGAGAGCGCTTTCAAAACAATGGCATTGTGACATGCAATTATTATTTGGGGAATGTGTTGGATGGCAGTGAATCTCAATGAAAAGTAAAGTTTGTCACTTGCACAGGTTAAAAAAATTAATCAGACCAAAACGCAGCAACTTTCAAATTGCTTTGCCCAGTTAGTGTCTCAGTTTGGGGCAGCATGCCTCAATCCTTTTATGAAGATTTAAGATTTATTTCTAAAACTTTCTATACACTGAGCAACTCAGTTCTATGAACTGCTTTTACTTGTTGGTTTATTGGTGTAGAGAGACAGTCAAGAGACTTACAGCCTGCATCAAACACAAAATATAAAACAATAAAATATAATTAAAATAGAGAATAGAGATAGCAGGTAGAAAAAAGTAACCCTAACTGTTTAACAAGAACCTACAAGTGTAGGGGCTGATTTAGAGCTTTCCCACTTCAGTAATCAGCTGACAGGACAAGTTACTCCATGAATGTTTCATCCATGTCAAACCCAGAATTTTCTGCCAATGTCCTCAGTTTCTCTTTTGCAAGCCCTTTATGATACAGTGGTACCTCAGGTTAAGAACTTAATTCATTCTGGAGGTCTGTTTTTAACCTGAAACTGTTCTTAACATGCAGTACCACTTTAGCTCATGGGGCCTCCCGCTACCGCTGCGTGATTTCTGTTCTCATCCTGAAGTAAAGTTCTTAACCCAAGGTACTATTTCTGGGTTAGCACAGTGTAACCTGAAGTGTCTGTAACCTGAAGCATCTGTAACCCGAGGTACCACTGTATAACAGAGCATTTAGATATGCTGTCTCCCATCTACAAACATGTTTATTCTGCTTTCAAGGTTCAGATTTAAACAACTGTTTGCAAGGGGAAGAATCAAAAAAGATGGCTGGAAGGACATGGAACAGAGAAAAAGGGAAGATTCAAACAGGAAGGGAGTGGCAGCTGGTGGAAAGTCATAGCCCAGGCTGTGCTTACAAAAAAAGAATAAATATTAAAGTGAGATGTATTCTGAAGTGTTGGGGTAGCCCATCCCATTTCACCATCTGAGGCAAAATGGAAATTGCCGCTTCCTGGCCCCGCCCACCACCACCCACTTCCACTGCTGAGCTCCAGCACTCGCCCAACTTGGCAGAAGCTGGAGCACTCCTTCAGGTGTTGGCACTCGCTTGGCTTCTCTGCCTGGGGCGGGGGGGGGGGGAGATGAGCAGCAATGTCGTACACCAGAACGCCTCCCTCTTGGTGGCAGAAGCAAGTGGGGTGGGCAGGCACTTCACCCTGTGTCATGGGAGGGCTGGCTTTGCTGAAGTGGTAACAAACCTAGGATGGCTGGGTATACTGACTTTCTGAGCTAACCCTTACCAACCCTAAGAAACCTAAAATTTGTTCTCCTAGCTGTAGGAGCAGTCAACACCCATTACAATGCACTGGAACTAGTAGCTCTTGCTTGGCACAGTCATGACATACATTATGAAAGAAAGAACAGCATGCAAGAACCCATTTTCAGGAGGCATCAAATTAAGATATTCAACATTTGACTAGTTTTTCTGGAGGAAATGGGACCCGTTGTATTCAATGCACAGCTGTTGCTAGAACAGTTCTAGCTAGGCTTGCCAGATGTCCTAGGGCTCAGATCCTGAGACACAGGGAGCAAAGCCTGGGAGCTAAGGGGTGGCACCTGTCAGAACAGATGGCAAAACCCAGAGGCAATTGCTGATTAAGAGATTTCATGTCCCCCCCCTTTGGCTGATCTCTATCTAGCGCGAAATGAATTGCCCTATTCCCTATGTGTTTTCAAGATAGATTTGTTATGCCTCTCAGTCACTCGCTCCCCAAAGAGAAAAGTCCCATGTTTCTCGTGTGTGTGTGTGTTTTATTGTGATGCATCATACCACCTTTCTTTCTTTCTTTGTTTCTTTGTTTCTTTCTCTCTTTCTTTGCCACCCATCTGACTAGGTTGCCCCAGCCACTCTGGGTGGCTTCCAACAAATTAAAACACAGTAAGACATCAAAACTAAAAACTTCCATATACAGAGCTGCCTTTCTTTCATCCCCCCCCCTCCATTTATACCCAACCAACAGGCTGACAATAGGTAAACAAAAATGTTTTTTCCTGGGGTCTAAAAGAAAGCAGGATGCGCTCCAAGAGTGTCAAACAAAAACACAGAAAGGCCCTTTCTCTTGCTGCTACTTACTTCTCCTCTGGTAAGGATGACATTGGGAAAGACTTCAGCAAATGACCTAAGGGCATGGGCAGATTGCTATGGGAAAGGCACTTCTTAAGGTAGAATAAAAGATAGTAGCTAGATTCTACCTGCTGGGATAGATACAACTATTTTAAAATGTACTGCACAACTGCATGTTTATCAGTAGCATCCATTTATTGAGTAGGGAGAAGTTAATAATACACCTGCCCTAGGAAGAGTAAAAAAAAACCAGCTTACCTTCCATTATACTCCTGTTTTCTTACATATGGATCATCATATCAAGTAACCAACAGACAGCGGTCTGAGGTGAACCCAAGTTAGACTTCCTGTATAGTTTTCAATCACACAGACTCTGATCCATATAGTTTGGAAGAAAGACTTGGCACAAAGCTTCCTACTCATTTCCATGACCCTTTGCCTCAAAACTGCTTTGATCCTATCCAGTCATGTGGGTTTTCTGAGAAGTTTTGAATCTGAGAAAATTATGAAGACGTTTCTGCTGCCCTGAATTTATTGGGCTTCTGCTGGACTAAAATTGATTGGGGTCTGCTTTAACGTGCTTACCTTAAAAAGAAAAAAGGGGGGGAGTATGATGTATATGTATCAAGTTTTATTTTATGTTTTGGCAATAACATATAATTGAAGTATTGCTTGGGGGAATCCATAAAATGCACTTACTTGTGTGATTTAAATATAGTCAATAAGTGCATAGCTTCTCTTAGAAAGTATTTTATTAGAATACTTAAATATGGTTTGACAAGCTTACATTTCTTTACATTTTTTAAAAAATATGAAGGCAACGAAAATGTTAAGGCACTTATTTGAGCCCACCCAAAAAACTACCCTTATTTACACAGGCATGCATGCTCTCCTAAGAACAGTCACCTGAAGAAGTTAATTATAACTTTGAAGCTGCCTACTTTGACTGCTATTGTACCCATTCATTACATTACTTATTCATTTTATGAAACCACACATTTTTAGAAATGGGAAGTTTCCTGCCTCTCATTACTGATCACCTCTATTGTTGTTACAAAGCAGAAGGATGCCAACATGTTCGATTCTTTGAAGAAACCTGCCATCATTCAGAAATATTTATCCACTCAAAACATTTATAGCCTGCCTTTCTTTTTAAAAGCTCAGGGAAGCTTATAATACAGTAAAAAAAGGCCAAAGTTACAAGAATACAAGAGTAGCAGAATACAAAAAGGCAAGCAGACTACAAGATTCTAGGGACTCCCATCAGCTCTGAGTGTTTTTTAATTATGGGGGGTGGGGAGAGCCCAGGCTGCATATCTTTTTTATAGGAAGGGTAACATATTCAGAGTTCAGTAAAATCTTCCTTTTTAAAGCAAAGTATTCAGGTATAGAGGAGGAAAGTGGACAATCCCCTGCCCCCATACCTCATCTTGCATTGTATTCTAAAAATGTAGCCGGGGGGGGGGGGGATTCTATAAGTGTTCTAGTTCTGAGGTTTGCATCTGCGTTCCCTTAAATCAGTATTTTAACCACTGTACCTCTAAAGATATATTGCCATTTCTACCATGACTGGAAAATCAAAGTCACACAACAATCAAATTATTTCTGCTTTCCCCATCAGATAACAAAGGCCCAATGCATTTCTCCCCTATCTGCCAGCAGAACTTTGAATTTAGATAGGTGCATGTGAAGACACGCAATAAATCAACCAGAGATTCAAGGACAAGAACACGAGGGAGAGGGAGGGACACATATGGATTAATTTTATTGACAGTGCTAGAGCACAGTGCAATGCTAGCAACCACAGAAAAAGCAAAGGAGCTAAAATGAAACTATTGCCATAAAACAAAATCAGAAATCATGCTGTCATTTGGTTTCCTCAAGCAATGCTAAAGACACAGCTGCATTAGAAAACTCCAGCTCTAATCTTTTGTTTAGACTGGATGAGAGGCCACAACCCAATATTTCAGTGCTCCCTTCCTGAGGATGCTGGCATAGAGGTACTGGACCAACCAACTGCTCACTTACTCTTCTACACCATTTCATCTTATAGCACCTGTTCAAATCTAATCTACATCTCAAAGAATTTGGTATCAAATCAGCAGACCAGCCTACCTTTGTCACCTTTCACAATTAAGCCATTTCTCCTCCTCTTTCTCTCTTCCCTGCCAGGGCTATTCAATTGTCTTTCAGTCACTTTTATCCCAAAAGTGATGGTCCTCCAGGCGAGGCAAGGAATAATTCAGTCATGATTTCTAAGACGGCCAAGGAAACCTCCAAGCTGCTCAGGTGGGTGAAAAATGCTGCTCCTTACTGTTTCCAAGGAAGCAGACCTCTGGCCTTCAGATGCTGTGAAAACCGAGCAGACTTTTTCCAGGATCAAATATAGATGTAATGCATATGCTGCTGGGAAGGGAAAAAATCACTCTCTGCTCACCATCCCTCCTCCTCTGTGGCTTACATAGAGGCTCATTATCTCAAGCCCACCAAACCTTCAAGTGCCACAGCAAATGAGAGAGCACACCAGGCCACGTATTAACATCTATTGCACACTCTCCTTGTTTGGTCCTCCCCTCCCTCTCTGTGGATTTCCCTCGTGAATAATGCAGGAGTTGTAGTCCAAGACACTGCCCACTCTATGCTTCTCTCAGAGTCAGCTGAAAACAGGCTCAAGTGCCAGCTAGGGCCAGTCCCCATGTTCTGCACAGTGCAAGCCAGAGATCCTTGTACGGCAGCCTATTTTCTCTTGTTCCAAAAGATGCCGTCTCCTTTTTGTACCAGCTCTGTTTATGAAGCTAAGGAATCATAGAGGACAGAAAACATGATGCAGAAGTTAAACTATGAGGAGAGGGTGGCGGGTCTCATTTTCATAAACCTCAGGAAGGCCTCTCAAAAGTAAGCAGAGCTGTGCCATAAAACAAGGCCCTTTGATCATCACTGCATAATACTGTGACGAGGGCTCTGAGCCCCCACCCAGGAGAATATATGAGAGGTTCACTAGACTAGTTCTCTTGAGACATTTCTGTCTTCTCTGCTCTTCCAGAAGAGGGAGCTGTACTGCTGTCCCCGTTTCAAGAAAACCGATTACTGGATTGGCCATAAACTCTTCTATTGGTCGTTATTCATCCAGAGATGCTCGTTTTGAGTGGTTCTTCTCTCAGTGATTTGAACCTGTGACCACACGGGAAGTTTTTACCATGGAGAGGCAGCCACATACAAATGCCAAACTGGCCACCATTTTGTTGCTGCTGTGTTTTTGTTATGGAACCACTGCAATTTTTGTAGCAGCAGGCAATAGAGTAGGTTGAGTTTTCTCCTAGTCTCCACTACCAGATGCTGGCAAGTTACAGTACTAAGTACATCATCTATGGACATGCAAATCAAAATCTACATACAGATTGTTTCATGTTCTTCCTTTCAGAAAGCTGTTCTGGAGAGCCTTTACAGGATTAGTTTACACTGGCAGAGAACACACACTGCTTTTGCTATAATATATTCACAATTCTAGTTCAGTTGGTTAGAGTGTGGTGCTGATAACGCCATGGTTGCAAGGTTGCAGGTTTGATCAAGGTTGCAACTATGGGACAGCTGTATATTCTTGCATTGCAGGGCATGGCCCTAGATGATCCTCACATTCCCTTCCAACTCTTCAATTCTATGATTCTATGATATAGCTTCTGCAGGTTGTCTGGGGTACAGTAGCTATAAAAGCAGCAAATGTTGGTTCTAAAGTATAATGAGTTCCCTAAAACCTTAATGCAGCTTTTGGCGACCAAAATCTAAGCTGCTTGCACCCAGCTGATGGATTTTCTAGCTCCCAACCCATGCAGGTAGGTGTGACTCATATTCCAGACAAACGTGTACAGCTTCCCATCACAACATGCATCACTACTTACCACTGACTCTCAGACAATTAGAACTCTTAAAGAGTTACTGTTATAGCATTGACTGCAACATTATAGTGGCCCTTTAACTCCTTTAAAGAGTCCACTGTCTTGCTCACACAGTTGATTGGGGAAAGGCCTGTGCCTAAGTTTCCCAACAGGGTTTAAAACAAAAAAGTGTAAATGTAAGCACTAACCGCCTGATGCTATGAAAGCTTATTTCAAAGGCAGCCCACTGAGTTCAATAGGGCTTAGGCACAATTAAAACGTGCAAGGCTGCTGACTAAAACTGCAAGCAAATGCAAGCATGCTGGGGTCCAAGAGATCCTGGGCATGGACACATAGGAAAAGACTCATCCAGTTGCTTGCAGTACTTCTCTGCACTGGAGCTGTTCTGCTGAATCACTTACTGCATTGCTGGCAAAGCTGATAGGGGAATATTCTGAGAGCATTGCAGTGCTCCAGCCCCAGGACACTCTGCACAGCCAAGCTGGCTAAGTGTTTTAAGTCATACAGCATTGCAAAACAGTGGAGGCTTTAAGAGACAATGAAAGGATAATTGCTTCACAGCAGGAGCAAATATAGCCCAAACAGGACTGCCCCTCGGTTATAGTTGGCAGCTTTTCAAACACTTAAATGTTTGTGCACTGACCCAGGACCAACTGCCAAAAAAAAAAAAAAAAAAAAAGGAAACCTTTCCCCTGGCACTGAGGTCAGCATACTGAGCAAGTGCAGTAATAGCAATATCCACTCACCTCGATTTGGAATGGGTTAGGTCTCTCCAAGTCTCTCTTTTAGAATTCTTGGGGAAAGCACAGGCTTTTCCCAAGGATTTCCCCAAACTCAGGAAAATCCAGCCTGGGAGACTTCATCCAAAATTGCAACCCCTCTTGTTCATCAGTTTCCCTCCTCTGCTACCTTTTCTACACTGATGTGGTGGACCAGGGTGGTGGTGGTGGGGACAGAGACTGGCATCTAAGAGGGTTTTTACAAGCAAAGGGTACTCTTTAAGTATCCAGTGCTGTAATTAAGGTTTCTATGCATGTTCCTCTACTGTGAACATGATCTCTTAAATTACCATTATCTATTCTGGTCAGCCCTGAGTGCTCACTGGAAGGACAGATCCTGAAGCTGAGGCTCCAATACTCTGGCCACCTCATGAGAAGAGAAAACTCCCTGGAAAAGATCTTTATGTTGGGAAAGATGGAGGGCACAAGGAGAAGGGGACAACAGAGGACGAGATGGTTGGACAGTGTTCTCAAAGCTACCAGCATGAATTTGACCAAACTGCGGGAGGCAGTGGAAGACAGAAGTGCCTGGCGTGCTCTGGTCCACGGGGTCACGAAGAGTCAGACACGACTAAACAACAACAACATCATTCTGGTCAGTATGTCAAGAAGATTCTCACCCCCTTAAAAAAATGGTATGCTGCTTATGTATGGAGGCAAATTCCAGAAATAAGTGTGGGGGGGGATGGAAACAGGTGCATGTGAGGGACATGAAGATGCAATGAGCATCACAAAGTTGAAAGGATCTTTGACCCCCACCACCACCACCACACACAGACTCCAATCCAGAATCTGCAGTGCAGGATGCAACTATAGAACCCATCAGAGATGACCATCCATAGAATTAAAATCATTTTGAAGTGGGGTTGGGGAAAGGACCAGAACTCTGCAGGCACTTCACTCTACCACACCCACCAAACTTGATGGGCTGCATGTGCGTCTGTGTCTGCATGTAAGCCAGTTGCTAAGATCACATAACACTTTTGTACTATCACAAAACTGAAACCCATCCCCAAACAAGAAGCTGAATTATTAAGTGGTGCTACCATGAGTAGGAAACGGGTTTAAACACCTCCACACACACTTCAGTGATGTCCCAAAGTAAACCACTTCATATATAAAACATGGGACATCTTTTCCTTCACTTTCAAACCCCAGGTTTGGCAGGAGGGGAGGCTATTCCTCCTCAGTCATTTCAAAATATAGCTGATATGTACCGGTATTTATGCGTATGTATTTATATCCTTACTAATAACAAAAGTTGTCTTGGTAATGTATGTGTGGGAACATTATTTACCTCCTTCTCGGGATCAAGAGGTCTCTTTTTCAGTTTGGGATAACAGGGTGAAGGGCATGGTTTGGAATAACAGACTTTGCCACGACTCTTTATATACCTGAGGCAATGGTCTCAGTGATGGATGAGAGAGTTGAGGATGAGTGGAAGAAGAATGATAAACCCACTCCTTCTCACCATCACTTCTATGAAGAGAGCCCAGCTTGTCTGTTGGGGGAATGGATGAGAGGGATAGTTGTGAGCAGGATAAGGAAAGGACTGGACTTCTCCATCCCTCCTTCCTTCTTGAAACTTCATCTCGTTAGTTCTACAGCTTACACTGAAAATTACACACTAAAAGTCTTCTCCCTCCTTTTTTACACTGGATTCCATTTGGTGTAAGCATGCTGCATGGTTTTTGTGTACATACCACAACACACCACGCATCAAGCAAAAGAGCTGTGCTTACATGTGGCAGGAAGCCATGTCCCAACAAGTGTACCTTCTGCATGCACATGTAGTAGACAACACAGGGATGAATTTGCCACATAGCTTGGGTAAAGTTTTTCCCAACAAAGAATGAAAAAATAGACTTGTATGCAGCAGCCCTTAGGGGTATGCTCTATATTCTTCAACAAATCAATATATATTAATTGCATGCAAAGATTAAAGCTTGGAACTAGAGAGATAGTCTGGGGTTCTTCTCCATAGGCTTCTTAGAGGTTGATAGAACACTCATCATGGTGAGCACGGCAACAGAATTGTGGGTTCCATACATTAATGGTATAGCTGGAATGTAACAGAGGTAACCGACTGTGCCATTACAATTCTAACACAATTTTGTAACAGGAGTCATTATCAAGGTGACAGCACTATAGGAGTTACAACTGTGCCCTACCACTGTATCCAAACCACATAGTGACACCAGATGTCAGTCCAAAAGTTTCTGTAGCAAACAAGCAAGGGCAGATTTAGCTAGTGCTTTTGTCCTGGATGAATCTGAAGGAAAATCAAAATAAGCATGATACAGATGGGGGGTGGCGGTGGTGGAGGGAACTCAGACAGCAAAGTAAGCATATTCCCTAATAAGGAAGTCCAGGAGCAAAAGGTTACAATGGGGTCAACACAGACAATGAGAACCTGTCACTTCCCATCTGTATCTATGGAAACCAGCAAGAGGCTAGAAACAGAGCTGACAAAATTATTGATTGTGCAAAATTACATTCAGCCACATGTGACATTTAAACCTTGGTGCTTAGGTGCCCAATACAAGCGAAGTAAGAAAGCCTCTTTTAAATGCTTCCAGTCTGTATTTATATATAGGCAGTCAATGGTTAGCACGTACCTATTGCAGGGATATTTTTAAGATCAGGCAAAGTTCTGGGGAGGAAGGGAGCACACATGTAATCTTGCCTGCCTTGAATATTGTCAAAAGGAAAATATGTGTATTTCAACCAGAATGCAGTTACCACAGTTCCTCTGTACTGTAAGTAACAATTATGTGAAAGGGACAAAAGCAAAAGCAAAGCAAGTAAGCAATAAAGAATTCAGTGTCAATCAAAGCTGTGGGGGTGGAAAAATATGTTGAACTCCCAAGTGTCACCTTAAACATGTTGGTAATCAGCATCTAATTATCAGATGCATAGGGCTAAACAGTTTTCAGAAGCACCAGCATCACATTTCTATGTGCAGATGGCTTTGATCTCAACTGAGCAATTCACACAGACATGGTGATGGACCTCTTCAGGATACAAATTTCAAAGTTAAGGGGCAGACTTCTAACATCCCTGTGTTGCTCATCACTGCAGAGAAGGCTATTTCAAAAGTACAGCCTGGGCTGATTGCAATGACTGTGACATTTTAAAGGCTCCTGAAATTTAATTAAGACAGCTGACAGGGCCTGAGTGGGCCCTCAATTTGGTAGTAGTAATGGGCCTGCGGGTGCCAACCTGGGCCGCATCCAGAGTTGCCACTGTGAAGTTGTCTGGACCCCTGCCTAGCACTGCTGCATCCAGCCCCACACCTCAAATATTCTAACCCTGGAGGGTGATGTTGGCAGCACCTCTGGAAGCCAAGCACCGGCTTAGCTCTGATCCATTACAGCTAGCCACAATTTGAAATTACCCCAAATAAAATGCTTGACATCAATGTTAAACACTGCATTTTGAGAAATTTTAGACTGGTCCAGAAGTGCCACCCTTCAGGGGAGCAAGTGCAGCATTGTGCCCCAATGCAATGGTGAGTATAAGCAGCAGTGTCAGGTGAGCAGCAGTGTCAGGTAAGGGCCCCATGGCAGAAGGAAGTCATGTCAAACTCAGTAGGCCTTGCCAGCATGTCTGGGGTATGACTGTTGTCCAAATATGCCAAGTCCTGCAGCTGTGCCTGATTTTAATGGATGAAGGTTTCAATAGGTGAAAAAAAGCCATTCTGACCTAGTAGACTTGCATAGTTTTGAACCGTTAGCACTTACAGAATAGATTTACTGCTTACAATATACTGTAGATACAAAATACACTTACAAAATAGATTTAACATCCCAACGCAGAACCAAAAAGGTTAAACTAGAATAACTAATATAACATGGAAAGAAGAAAAGGGTCGGCTTTAGGTAGGTTTTAAGGAACACAAAATACAAAGGAGGTTAAAAAGAAGAGAATGTCTATGTGTGCGTGTTCAAAATATTTTAATTGAAAGTTTTCAACGTAAGATAAGAAACAATAAAAACCAGTCTAACCTAAAAAAAGAAAAAGGATAAAGAAGAGCGAAAATAAGAGAGAATAAAAAAGAAATAAAAAGGGGATATAAATTTAAATATAAATATATGGTTCAGTCTCAACTGCTTTGTTAATGTATCCAAACGGACTAGATCATCTTCAAATCTCTTGTGAAGAGTGAAAATAAAGAGATTTTCAGATTTGCATTAGCTTGTCATGTTTGCTGAACCCACGCTGCACAAGTCTGCAAGTTTATTATACTCTTAATTATTTGAAGTCAGGATTACTCGATGTCCTAGAACTTTCTCAGACTGCGGGGTGGGGAGAAGAGTACTTCCCTTTATGTACTGGGATGTGGTGGGGGGACTGGAAGAATGAAGTGCCGTGCAAGGCAACACATTTGCCTGACATTTTGAAGCATCTGTTCAGAATCAGTAGGAAGCACATGCCTCATGCACATACCAGCTTACACCAAATCAGACCCATCAGTTCAGTAGACGGTTCCCACAGGTGCAAAGTTACCTCCCTAGCAACCTATAAAATGTTGCCAAAAAAAAGTGGGCTAAAGTTATTAGGCAGAAAACCTCAACATTGTACAACGCTTAGAAAGGACTCTCATTTAGGCTACAGAATTGTCCCAAGTTCAGGTATGGCAGAACCAATTTGGAAAGCAGCAGAAACCAAGGTGAAAGTCAAACACACCACCCTAATCTCAGAAGGTAAAGAGCACCCAGGTTATTCAAGAAACTGGCACACAATTAACAGGAAACCAATATATCACCTTAAATGAGACATAAGAATTTATGATTTGTATAATTCTCTGTGTGTTTAGGTGCTCTAAGCTGCCTTGTAGAAAGGCAGGGGATTAATTTTAATTTTAAAAAGTTCTCCAAGGTAGATATTCACATTTATAAGGCATCAAAAGAAAGAACCAATGGCAAAGTACAATGATATCCATGTTCATTTTTTTAAATAGAGGAAGAAGCACATATCTTCTTTTTCCAAGCATCTCCTCCAAGATGGATCACAGGAATAGAAAGAATTTTTAGCATGCTCCTTCATACTTGTCCCAACCAGGGTTTCTCCAGATGAATAGGGGCAATTAGTTCCTATTCCAGGATTAGGAATAGAGTGCCAGAGGTGCCAGGTATGCAACTGTACCCATTGTTACTTTTGAAGGCCAGAATTTCAGAAGAACTAGAAAAGAAGGTCAACAGTTTTAGAAATCTGGTTCTATTATGCTATGCTTTTTTCTGCCTGAACAACAAATAGCATCAATAGTGGCATCAATAGCCAGCTCTTCCGCAGATCTCTGGACATAGCAATTTCCCACGGAATGCAGAGTGATCGAAGTCATTCTTTCAGAATGTATTACATAATAGAGAAAGACTCAGAGGTAGCAAGACTGTGATAAAGCCATGGGTGTGGTGGATGGAAAATGTGCTGCTGCAACCATGGAAATTGTTGCTGGCTATATCATTGAAAGTCTCAGATTCATGCTTAGGTTTCTTTACAATATCATAAGCATGTACCGGACTGAGGACAAATGTTTGGTGGCTGTTTCCATGCAGGGGAACAAGCAGTGCTCTGCAGATGAGTCAAAGAGCACAAGGCTATGAATGTTTATTCAGAAGTAAGTGCCATTGTGTTCAATGGGGCCTACTTCCAGGTAAGGATCCACAGGGCTGCACTTGACTTTCCAATTAACACCCACTTGAGATGTACTTATTCCAAATCCTGAAAGATCAAGTCCCAAGGTATCACTCATATGGATTAGGATGTAGCATCCAACAGAATGAAGGGAGATAAAGACCAATTCTCTGGACTTAAAAGTAATTACTGGAATCTTTTACTTTCAAGACATCTGCTTGTTGGCTTTGATAGTGTGTAATCTCTTTCATTGTTAGTATGCTGAATGCATCAATTAAGTCCTATGGTTTCTTACTAGCCCAATGTAAGGCTTAGTACAGCATCCTGACCCTGTAGCTAAGGTTTCCAGTTCCATCAGGGTGGGATCAGTGGAAAAGGTTCTTTCAAAGCAACAGTAGATGCTCCATTTTATAGAAGCCGGTGGTTAAACTAGTGTGATATTGAAGTTTGAGAGCTTAATCTGCTTCTCCAGAAACTTGTTCTTTCACCCCTCCAAGATATCACTGGTTTTGGCAGTAGCAACAATTCCTTTTCTTTTCTTTTTTAGCAATAGACACAGTGCTGGGATGGATAGAGGCACTTCCTGGGATATCAGTCATTTGATGAGTGGAGATGGGGAATAAGCTCCCTCCTCAGCTGATCTGCACAGATTCTAATGATTCTCAAAAGCCAGCCAAAGAGCCCCTCCAAAATGCCCAGGTTTTAGCAAGTCTCCAAAGGATGTTAGATTATAATTGGCTACCCTCTGCTTACTCTAGAAAGGAATGACTTTCTGCTCTTTGATGACTTCCAGTCTGAAGAATGGGTCTCATAGGTCTTCAACACTTCATAGAGGTATTGCAAAGGAAATATTAAAAACATAAGTGAAGTGGATTCCAGTAACATTGAAATGTTGACCTTTATCCAGACATTCATTAGCGCATAAAGTCAGATCTTACAAAGCATCACCGGCTGACCATCTAAGAGACCTCAACAGTCACCACCACCACCATGGCTTTCGTCTATGAAATAACTAAAAGGTGAGTGTGGCCACCAATTTTTCTCCATTCTTGTTTTATAACTTATTGAATCACTTCTAATTCCACCTTTCTTTTGCATTCCTATTGGTACTTGATACACTAGAATGTACAGAGGTTTTCTGCCTCATCCATTCAGCTTCATGTCAACACAATGACAAAGCAATCTAAAATATTGTGACATCACAAAAATGATTTCAGCTAAGGTCAAAACACAGGCAGAATGATCACAAGCAGGAAGGGTCATTTAGCCTGCAGAAGAGTGTTTGCCTAGCCTTAATCCTCATGATTAGGAAAAGTATGAATAGAGACTTGCAAATGAAACCACTGAATTACAGTTCTTCAAGAGGTTCAAAGCTATCACCTGTGGACTGAATGGGGACAAAGGATTTTTATCGTGCTACATGAGTCAATTGGCTTATCACTGCAGGGAAGTCTGTGCTATCACCTACTGTCTTTCTATGTGTGAATGGCCACTGTTAATAACGTTAATTATGTACACCTGTACTTTTCTGCATGTAATTTCCCCCTTCCAAACCACACACAAATGCACACAACTGCATGCATCACACATATATACTATACACTTGTAGCTCAGATTCACACTTCAAACACCTGATGAACTAGACTGTAGACCATGAATGCTTGGGCCACAAAAATAAGGTGTTCATCTTGTTATTTTCAAAATAATGTTTTGCAGATCTTGCACACCTCTCTCAGAGCATCTTTTACACCCAAAGTGCCATAGAAAAGAGACATTGTATCCAAACAGGAGAGCCTTTGTTGAACTATGGGCGGAAATCCAGGTATTTGGCAGAGAAAGTACACTTTCTTGTTTACTGAACAAAACATCCAAGTCTTTCCATTTCCAGTTAAGAAAGACCTTCTAAATGGCACTACCATCCCTTTCTTTCTTTAGTGCAAAGTAAAAGAATGGCACTGTCTGCCTCAGCCGGTCTGAGCATTGCCATCCATGACACAGCACTTCGGGCACTGTCACGATACATTTGCAGGTGGCCTTAGGGAGAAATTTCACAATTTGTATGGGGAGAAACTAAACTGACCCTCTGCAATTTATAGATCTTAATACCATTATATATGTTAGCAAGAGCACTAGTATCTCCCCAAACCAAGGCTGCTACATCCCCCACCCACACTGCAAGTCCCTCCCACCCACAGTGTCCCTTGGCTGCAACAGATGCAAGTGGTTCTGTCACACAGGGTGCTGAGCTGAGGGAGTGTAAAATTGAGAAGATCCATCATTAAGAAGATCCATTTCAGGGTGCTAAATTTTGGCCTCACACAGGATGCCATAATATGAAAGATTACCAAAGTCTGCCACTGGCTGCATCTGCCTAAAGCCATCCTAGCCTCCACTCAAGGAAACCAACCATCTCTTACAGGATAAGCAACAGGAACTTCCCTCTTCAGAAGCAGTATGACTCTAAATACCAGGTGCTGGGGACAAACAGCAGAGAATGCAGTTGCCCTTGTAAGCTTTCCAGAGGCACGTCAATGGGCATGACCATGAACCAGGAAGCTGCTCTAGACTGGGACAAGTGGCTTGTCGAAGACCACAAGCTGAGTACAAGGCGGAGGTGGAACCTTATGCTCAATAAAGCCCACAAATAATCCCCTCTACCCAAAATTCTTCTCTCCTCAAAAATTCATTGGCCATCAGATTCCTCTAAGTTAAATTACTGCAACATGTGATACGTGGGCTGCCTCTGAAAATGGTTCAGAAATGTCAGTTGGTGTAGAATTCAGTAGCTAGGTTGCTCACTGGGGCAAGATGGTTTGAGCATATAATACCAATCCTGGCCCAACTGAACAGGCTGCCAATTAGTTTCTGGGCCTAATTCAAAGTGCTGGTTTTGACCTATAAAGCGTTAAATGACTCAGGGCTGCAATACCTCAAGGATCGCTTTCCCCCATATGAACTGATCTGCACCCTGAGATCACAGTCTGATGTCCTTCTTCATGTGCCTCCTCCACGAGGTCTGGAGGGTAGCAACATAAAAATGGACCTTTTCTGCAATGGCTCCCCACTTGTGGAATGCCCTCTGCAGGGAGGCTCTCCATCTACATATTTTTAGGCGCCAGGCAAAAACATTCCTATTTGGCCTTTGGCTCATTAAACAATCTGTAGCCTTTTGAACTGTGGGGTTATTGTCTTTGTTTATTACTATATTCTGAATTTTTTAAATATATTGTAAGCAGGTCTGTGATTCCTGGATGAAGGATTGTATACAATTTAATTAATTAATAATAATAATCCCCTCTAAATCAATTCCTCTTTAATTTCCACAAAATATTCCTTTCCCCTGTGCCTTCTCACTTTCCCCTCATCTCATTCATGAGTACCTAGAGCTCTCCTTCAGTGCAACCCAACCACATGCAACAATAGTCTGATTTCAGTTGCCCAGCTTCCAGCTGAAAGGCATAGGATCTGATAGCAAGCGAGGCATGAGACTTCAAAAGGGTAGCCACTGTCCAATCAGCAGCCAGCCAACATGCCACTTAGTTCAGTCAGCCTCCCTTTCAGAACACCTCCACCTAGCAACCCCAAAGATGATAATCTTTCACTGCAGGGGTAGAAGGAAGGTGAACCTTAAGAATCACTTTCTGTGCTCCTTTGCTGGACCATCAGATCCTAAAATACAAAGCAAAGCAAAAGGACCAAACAAGGGCAAGGGAAGATGGTGATTTGACATGGTATTGTCAAGGTTCAGCCCTCCCCAGACCAAGGCAACAGGACCCCACCCCCTCAGCAGATCTCTACTGCCAATAACCCTGAAGATCTGTTGGATCTGCATATCCCTGCCTAAGGGCTGGAGGTCCCTGCCTCAGGCCCTTGGGATTCTGACTGGCTCCCAGACCCTCTTCCATCTACCCCAGACTCACAGAAGCAAAGGAGATGGTGAGCCAGGCAGAAGCTTCAGATACACCGCTGGCTGGCTGCATGTGAGGCTTCTCAGGACAAGAGGGGAGTGCTTGGAAGCATTTGTCTGGATCAGTACCAGGAATGGGCAGAACCTCCAGCTCTTCTGTAAGCTTCCAAGCTGAGCAGATTCATTGCTAAAGTGTCAGCCTTCCTGACCTGAGGAATATAGATGGGAGGGCTTGCTGGCATGTTAACTTGCTGGAAACCACAGGAAGGGAGAGTGCTCCTGCGCTCGTGTTCTGCTCCCTAGTTTCCCACAGGCATCTGGTTGGCCACTGTGGGGAGGATCAGAACTGCTTACATTTCGTTCATCTCCTGTCCATATATACTAACCACTCTTCTCTGTGTTAATGAGGGCCCCACACCTGCACTGTATACACAGAGGGGCTCCGCAGCAAATATATGACCACTGAGACATAGCCAGCAACTGAGGATGTGGCCCTACTTCCCCATGTAGTCAGTAGATGTATGCAGGCAGAACATCTGAACAGTCCAAAGGTCTTAGGAGAATCAGTTGCTTGTCTATAGGTAGTTTCACAGCTCTAATGCCAAACCAAGGATTTTTCAAACTTGAGGATGGTGGAGTTAGAGAGGACAGAGCCATAACGTGCCTCTTACCTTATCAAAACGGGTTGCTCACGTGTTGGGTGACCAGAAGAACTGGCAGGAAGCCACAGAGCCCATCTTCCATGGCTTCTGACCCAATTCCAGTCAGCAGAGCTCAGAAGGCACTTGGGGAATGTTACTGTTTGATAGTTTGTGGCCAATAACTTGGTGATCTCAGCCTAGTGATGGTCAACATCACTACATCATAAAATGTGTTGTCACAATTGATGCTGTGGTTAGTGCTCTCAGAGGCCCAGAATTCAGAAAGATTCCAGTTAAACTATCATTTACCCAAAGGGGAAAAGTCACCTTTAGTTATGGAAATAGCCTAGGCTTCCCATGTCATGTTTACTTAATAGAGCTGGTGGAGGTGGGGTGGGGTCATTGCTAAGAAGGCAAGGTGGTTTAAATCTCATCTAAGTTGTGCACTCATTTGATAGAACAGTGGCTTGCTTAAGTCTACTAAATTCTTCTCCTCTCTGCAGTACTAATCTACCTTACAGGATTGTTGTTATGAATAATGTAAGGTAAAGGTAAAGGATTCCTGGATGGTTAAATCCAGTCAAAGGCAACTATGGGGTGAGGAGCTCATCTCACTTCAGGCTGAGGGAGCCAGCACAGACAGCTTTCTGGGTAATGTGGCCAGCATGACTAAACCACTTCTGGTGCAATGGGACACCGTGATGGACGCCAGAGCACATGGAAACAGTGTTTACTTTCCTGTCACAGCGGTACCTATTTATCTACTTGTACTGGCATGCTTTCCAACTGCTAGGTTGGCAGAAGCTGGGACAGAGCAATGGGACCTCACTCTATTGCGCGGATTCAAACTGCCAACCTTCTAATCAGCAAGCCCAAGAGACTCAGTGGTTTAGACCACAACGCCACTCGCATTCCTACAGGGATAATGTACATACTGTATTTTTTGCACCATAACACTCACTTTTTTCCTCCTAGAAAGTAGGGGGAAATGTCTGTGCGTGTTATGGAGGGAATGCCTACGGGTGGCGGGGGGGGGGGGATCTGCTGCAGTTGTGAGCAGAGGATCCATGGTTCCCCTTCCTTCCCTCCTCTGTGGCTCACTTTGAAACAGCAAAGCAGGAGAAGAGCCGCTGAGTGGGGAGGAGAGAGGGACAGAGAGCCTGCTTCTTTAAAGGAGCAAAGCGGGAGAGGAGGGGAGCCGCTTACACGAGTGTAAGCGGCTCCTGTCCGGTTGGTTCCTTTAAAGCAAGCAGGCTTTCTGTCCCTCCTCCCCACTCAGCTCGCTACATAGCAGCAAAGTTTTTCAGCTCGCTAAGCCGGGGATGAGCGGGGAGGAGGGAGAAAAGCAGAGCCTGCTTGCTTTAAAGGAGCAAAGTGGGAGAGGAGAGGAGCCTTCTCCCCTTATACCCCTCTCCTGCATTATTAGCAGCATCCTTCTCTACACACCCTACGCGTGCTCCTTGTCCCTTGAGTGCTTTTCCTTCCCTCCCCACTTAAAAGGTGGTTACAAAGCACGGATCCACATAGATCCTCAGGATTTTTGCACTGGGTCACCCCAAATTCACCATCAGATCACATAGCATGTCCATGGCTACATCTTGCACCAAAAAAATCACGCACCCATGGTTGCCTGGGGCCGCAGTGGTGCAAAAACATGGTTACAAAGCATGGATCCACATGGATCCTCAGGATTTTTGCATTGGGCTACTCCAAACTCACTGTCAGATCACATGTCTGTGGCCACAGCATGAACCACAAAATCATACATCCACTATTTCGTTTAGAATATTTTTTTTCTTGTTTTCCTCCTCTAAAAACTACGTGCGTGTTATGGTCGGGTGCGTGTTATAGAGCGAAAAATACGGTACATTGAACTATCTAACCTTTTTATCACATGCTATTACCATTGTGTGTGTGTTTAGTTATATATGTGAGAATATATGAAGAAAGACCAAACAGACTTTTGCTGAAGGTTAATTGCTGTAATTGCTGAGGGTTAATTGCCAAAGAAGGCAGGAGAGAGATAAAAGACTCAAGGATTAGAGGTGCAATGCCTCTGAATACCAGTTACTTGAGAATATGAGTGGGTAGTGGGCCTTTGTGCTCATGTCATGCATATGGACTTTTCATGTACATCTGGCTGGCAACTGTAAGAACAGAGTTCTGGGCTAGATAAACTTCTGTTCTGATCCAACAGGACTATTCTTCTGTTCTTACATAGTACTGTATAGAGAAGTTTTAAATGTTTGATGTTTTACTGTGTTTGATGTTTTAATTCACTGGAACCCGCCCAGAGTGGCTGGAGCAACCCAGTCAGATGGGTGGCATATAAATTATTATTATTATGACCTTAATTTCAAGATATGTTAGCCTATCCATGCTATTTATTGAGTCTTGTCTGGGAAAAAGGCAGGGTATAATATAAATATAAAATATAATAATTTATCCAACCCATATTAACCACAGTACCTGAGGAGCTTGGTATGTCTTTCCTCAACTGAGGCACAGAAAAACTGTGTAATTTGCTGTGGGAATTTATCAAGTAGGGTATTTAGCTGAGCCAGCAAAGCCCTAGGCCTTAAAATGTCTGACTCACCTTTCTCAATGAACAAGATGGACTGGATTGTTCCACTGCAGTGAGACAGAATACTTATGCTAATTTTCAAACATCCCCAATGGGGTGAAAAATGAAAGGGATCAGGAAAAAGATAGTTTGTCTGAAAGACAAAGCATTATAGAACCTCAAGACTAGTCACCACTTATTAAGTAGTGAACATTATCTTCCATGGCATACTCCTAGATTTAACAAAAAGAAAATGGAAAAGATTATTACTTTCCTTCACTACCCCATCCTAGACCTCTGAGTGCAACCTAAATTTAAAGCAACACTCAAGAAAGTTACATTCTCATAGGGCACAACAATGCTAAGTTATTTGTGACCATGTTTTAAGTGGGGTGATGCAAAAGATTTTCAGATGTGGAGCACAATAAGCATTTGGTCTGTCAAAGAAAGAGTTTGCAATTTGCTCTATTATGTAACCCACTGTACTTCCTCTAAGAACACTGAATTCTTTACATTTGAGGTGAAATCAAATGGCAAACATCCTTTCAAACTACCAAAACGATTACACAATGCTTCAACATCCTCAAGAAAAACACAATTGCTATTTAAGTCCATGCAGCTAGCTACATTAAGGCTCAGCTACCAAATGTGATCTGACAGGGTGATATTTGCAATGCAATTAACTGCCTTCAAGAATACCATGCACCTTATTGTTAATTATATGTTTGTGAAATACTACAGTCTTACTTAAAGACTATCTTTCACTTTGGCTTTGTTGGCTGGTTCCTTCAGCAAGTCGCTGTTCTGAACATCACCGCTCATCACAATAGCTTTGAAATTCAGAAGAAATTCACTATATGCTTCACAGCTTTACAGTAACAACAAAATTTTACTTCTATAATATATGTAATCCAATTGGGCAAAGATAACAAAAAATTTAATAATTAATAATAATAATAATAAAATTGTCTAGTAGCACCTTATAGACCAACTAGAAGTCTGCTAGGAGGAGGAGAGAGAAATTGGGCAAACTGCCTTCCCATAAACAAGTTCAGAGAGCACAAAACATTCAGAGTCAGGTATTGTACTATTTATGTAGTGCCATGCACATAAATTACAATACGTCCTGGAACATTTTTTCCCCCTATAACATCTATAATACACAATACATGTTTTGTTCTTTAATAGGCCTCCTGAAATATTGCCTCTGGTGTTTTGGGTTTTTTTAGAGCAAACATAAGGAGATAAGAAACAAGGTTGTTCTCAAAGCAGAAGGGTGATTCATACCTTTGTGAAAAGTGAATGAATGGCCCTGCTTGACAATTCCAGGAAGAAAAGCTAAAGCGCCATCCAGGACTAGCAGTGCTGAAATCTTTGTAACAGCACTTCATAAAGGACTGTAGTAGCAGAACAACCGTGGGGCATGCTCCTGCTATGTACTTAACCAGAGCCATTTATATGAGAGAACTTCAGGGACTTCACGGGCACAATCATAGGTAGACAGGAAGCTGCCTTATACCAGATCAGATTATTTGCTTGGCTAGCCCAGTATTGCTGACTATCACTGGCAACAGTTCTCCAAGGTCTCAGGTAGAGGTCTTTGCCAATACCAGCTACCTAAGAGTTTCTGAGATCTCCAGCCCAGAAAGTATGTGCTCTACCACTGAGTTATGACCCTTCCCCCATGGGTGCCTATTACAAAGGCCCATTTCTCTGCCTGCTATAGACATCTGTGTGTATGTCACAAGAACTTGAGTACAAAAGCCAATGAGCTCACAACAAGCACACTTGTTACTGGGCCTGTTGCAAATCTGAAAGCAAGACAATTTAAGCAATGGCATGAGAGTACAGTTCAGCATACAGACTGATCTTTATCATAGCAGAGCCATGCTGCACCACTGAGAACATTAGCAGCTCTCATGACTTTTCACAAAGAGAGTAGTGTAATTACAACATTAGGTGCTGGTGGTACCATATATAACAGAGAGGTACAGCCTGACTAAGCGCCAGTCATCTCTGTTACTATCAGTAGAATGAAGTCAACACTATTAACGCACTACATTAATGTCAGCTACACAATAAAACCTAATAGAGCACACTGCCAGCTTATGCAGGTTGTACCTACAGATTTTTAAAAGCTAAGCTAGCATCAACACCAATGTTTATTCAAAAGTGGGCCTATGTTCTAGCTATGCAAATATGTGAAAGGTAGAAGGGGTGCCTAATGGATTTACGCTGCTGCCTGTGCTCCAAAGGACAGGTTACTTAGAATTATTTTAATTACACTTGAATGACACAGGCTCTTGGAAATGAAACTAGAAAGAAGCACTCTCTGAGGATTCAGCACCCTGGACAGTTAATAAGACTAGTGTTGCCCTTTCCCAAGAGCCCTAATATTTCAAGGTAAAAAGGTGGCTTTAGATAATAGGCATTTCTCACTTGGCAAGGCTATTTTCCACATCAGCATAGGGATCTCCCACTCCACTCAAACGCAGAAAGGGTCACACATCTGCGTCATCATACTTCTGCACAACAAAGCCAGTCGGAGGGGGAAGGTTTATTTATTGCTTGCACTGCAAAATTGTCTTAACCCTCTTCATAAAAATCTAGGAGGATTTAAGTGTATAACTGCAAGATTCTTGAAAGCAGTACCATCTGAATGTTACTGTTATGTTTTCAAAAGACATTTCCCTTTGGAGAAAGCTCGGGAAAGATGTTTTCCCCTGGAAAGCTTTGAAACATCAATTCACTATATACATTGAGAATCATGTTAAATCCCTTAACATCCAAAGCTTATCTTCTCTTCATTATGGCTCTTGTCCAAATGAAATCCAAAGCATCCTTTCTGTGTCAAGTCATGGGGTCTTTTCATTCAGAACAGCAAGCAGAGGATCAGCTTTCTCCAAAACCAAAACCAGCATATTTGTGTTGCTGAATATGCAGCAACTACATTGCCTTTGGTAGCACTTGGCTATGTATCAATTCTCTATGCATACATTGCTGCCCAGAGTGTTCTGAAAGATGGGTGGGATATAAAATGATGAAATACATAAGATTGCCTGCAGGCTACATTTGAGCTCTATTCAAATCACAACATGATACTGAAGGTGTCACAGACACAGGAATTGGCCTAGTTGAACCAACACTTGATTAGAGAGAAGTAATACAATGAATATTAAGTGGTATGATTCTACAACTCAGACTAGCTGTCTACATAAATATAATCAAGATGGTAGTATTTGACTAATGGGGTGGGGGTGGGGGGGATAGGGAAGAATCCTCCAGGTGCAAAAAGCTGTGCTTATTGAGTCCAATGTATTCTGATTACAGTACATTCTTCAAGGGCGCTCTTAAGCAAAACCAACTTGAGTCTGTGGTCCCCAACTCTATTGCAAATGACTGGAAAAAATTGAGCTCAACGCATTTATTTATTCACTTCTCCATTAGTTGGTACCTTTGCATATATTTTTTTATTTGATGCAACACCAAGGATGCAATACCAAGCAAGCACATGTCTGCATTTGTCTATATTCATAGGACCCTCTCCCCACATATAAACCTCCTAGTTTAATATCTGCTTTGAGGCTTGCAGAAGATTACATGGGTGGTGACTGGACATGTGACTGGAATTGTATGGAGCACCTCCGCAGGCAAATCAATGAAGCACCAACATTCTTAAAGGAAGACAGTTTCCATCTTTCAAAAAATTTCCTAAGATTTTAAAGGGTGATGTGTGGTTTTGTTGCTTTTATCTTGTTGATCATATAGGAGGTTTTTAAACTGCTCTGTTGACTCCGATACCTGCTGCTGCTTTGGCTCTGTTGATTTCATTTGTTTTATTATTTGGGGGGCTTCTATTGTAGGCAGCTCTGAATATTTTTAACAGAGAAAAGTGACACATTAATAATTCTGAATTAAATTAATTGGGATATATGGGGTGCTAGGAGAGGGGTAGTACCTCTGGTGGGGGACATGTAGTGCTCCTTCTGGGGTAGTTTGTCCACCTTTGGTCCCCACCCTGCACTCAGCAATCACCTAGAAGTGATTGCGACAGCAGCCACACCACAGAACCAACTTCAACTGGCTGGCTAAACCAGGTGAGGATAGCTGATGGGTCTCAAATCATCCATGAGTTAAGGACCTCCCCTGCATATGAAGACAGGCTCTGGCAGATTGAGCAGACGAGACCAACAATCAAGAAGGCAGTTTCTGCATGTTCAGTAGAGAGGACAGATAGGGCTTGTCAACCTGGTATCCCATCCATAAGAAGGAAAACACTGACCCTAAATCTCCACTGCCTTGCAGAATATCTTTGGGAGAAGAAAACGCCAAGGAGTAAACTCTACACAAACTGGGAGTTGAGTCCCTAAGACAGCTGGATGGTGCCGTGTATGCCTCCTTCCAGCAACTCCTGCAGCCAAGCTGGCGCTAATCGTATTGCTCTGCTTTCCTTTGGACCAAATCAGTGAGGCTGAGAAGGCAGGGTCTTATAATCTAAGCACCCCAGGATCTCCATACACACAGCCCTGGGCTTGCGCCCCAGGGGAGGTCACTTCAATGCCGCTAATGCAGTGATTTGACTTCACCTCCAGAGGTGCACTCCACTGTCTCTAGAGACAGATGCCAACAACAGATGCATTTTGATATACCCAATGGAATTCCCTGAATTCCCTCTGTTACAATTATAGAAATAAGGTGGGTCCTAAAATATAGAACTTAAGTGTCGAAAGTCAGGGCAAAAAGGTGTAACACAGATCTGTATGCATAGGAAAGCTGCAGACTGGTACTTTATAATGTGTCGTGTTTATAAATGGTGTTTTGGAGACTTGTGGCATGTTGGGTGCATCTGTTACCTAGATTAATGCATTTGACAAGCAGCACATGCTTCTGAATGCATTAGTGCACACTTCAGCTGGCTTTAACTTCATACAGTGGTACCTCGGGTTAAGTACTTAATTCATTCCGGAGGTCTGTACTTAACCTGAAACTGTTCTTAACCTGAAGCACTACTTTAGCTAATGGGGCCTCCTGCTGTCGCCGTGCCGCCGAAGCACAATTTCTGTTCTCATCCTGAAGCAAAGTTCTTAAATTGAAGCACTATTTCTGGGTTAGCGGAGTCTGCAACGTGAAGTGTATGTAACCTGAAGCGTATGTAACCTGAGGTACCACTGTATAATGTATAATTGTGTTTCCTTAAGCAACACTGGGAACTGTAGTTTTATAGAGGCATTGATAATTCTGTTGGAGAGTCCTCCTAGATTTCAAGAGTAGGTTGGGTTCACTATTACAACTGCATTTGCAGTTGCATCCTAGGTACACCAAGCATGTTTATAGTATAGTTTACTGAATGTTAAAATGAATTATACATGGGATAGATTGGGGGTGGAAATCTTTCACTGAATTAGCATGGGATATGCTTGCAGTTCAGGAAGGCACTGAAATAGCTTTAAAACATACAAGCAAACTGACGCCCTTACCTTAAATGCCGGTACAGGGCATTCAAAGCACAGCAGATGCCGATTGACAGTAAGTCAGAGAAAATGCCTGCAGAAGTTGAGATAAAGGAGAAGGAGGATAGAGAAGTATCAACCCTTCAATCTTGAATATATAGTTGGTAGCTGCTTCACATGGGCCATTTCTTACTACACATGTGAAAATGAATATGGGAAGAGGAAGCAAAAACCCTGGTATCTATTTTGACAGGTATGCACACATGTAGAGCTGATGGCAAAAGACATACAGTCTCCTGCCATCATTCCCCTACCTCCCCATTCCATTTGCTGTTTAATTACACACCTACCTCTCAAAGCTCGTATACAAAG